TTAGCAGTAGTCCCTCCATCTGAATCAAACCCTCACCGGTGGGCCAGAGGAGCATCAGGGCCCACTGTATGATCGCCCTGCCAAATCGTTGCTAGATTACGGACTCTGTACTTTACCACGTTATGTATACAATAGTACGCCTTAGCTTCGCGTACCTTTTACACACAGATGTGCTGTCCGAAGAGTTTTTGCCGATCTCAGATCGTGAGGCATTTTCGGTCCCTTTCTAGCTCATTTTAGACACACCGACAAGGGTTTCCCAATCTCGCCTTTTTATCTCTCTGCGTCCGCGGAGGTCCGTCTGACGGTCAATTTGTCTCTCGTAACTATGCTTGGTATTGCATAATAGACCCCCAAGTACTCCGTATTCACGTACACTGTTAGCCAAAGCGCAGTTCGCCAAGCTATTCCTTCACCCCAGAATTTCATGGAGAAACAAAGGCCGACAAAGAAGGGTTGACCTCGGAAATAATATATGTACGGAGTATGTCCTCCGTATGTATGTACATATATTCTCCGTGCACAGAGTGGCCTCACCCCAAAACCTGATTAGGTATGGTGCCATATGGTTCCCGCACCTGCAGGACAGCTTTAAGCCTTTTGAGACGAGAGATTTTGTTTCCCAGTCTAGATGCAATATAAATACCCCTTTTATTGTATATATTATCCCGTGTTAACTGCGGCTATTGAGGGTATGCGTTGTCCCGGATTCTAAATTTATTCGTTTTCAACTGTCTTCTTAAACTGCCCATGGCAAATAAACCTCGGAAATGCCCCGCGTGTCTGTGCTTTTCATACTACTGCCCGTTTAGGCTTGAGTGTCTCCCGAGGTCTACCTTAGCCAGGTACCTTCGTATGTACTCCGTAATTGCCCCCCAATATTGAGGTTTCTTGTTCCACATCATTGGACCACGCAACTTGGGATTATATCGGTCCCCTCTCGGTCTTGGCTGGTGTATCTGGCCATTCGCCGACGCAGATCGGGAATCCCGTGTCGAAAGACCGACGCTCAAAAGTCCGACGCGGCACGCGGGAATTCGGCACGTCAGTTTCAAGTTTTGAGATGTTCCAGGTACCAGAGCTACTTTTCTATGGTTAGATCTCCCAATTTTCTGATTGCCAACTCTTCATGATTGAGTCGTGTGTGGTTCACACTGATCTGAAATCTACCCTCATTTTGCCGAGACACCGGGTAAATTGTCCTTGTTTATTCATCACTGGGAAATGAATTGCTGGGCGCCACCAAGTAATAGCGGTAAAATTCCGGAGTTTCTAACCACGTCAGCCTTGTCCATGGACCTGAATTATGTTGCTGTTGAGTTGATCGCATCGCACATTAGATGTCAAAGATCGTGTGCTACGTTACAGCTTTCTCTTAGCTGCATGCAAACCCTGTGTCGATCAGATCCAAGTAATCACATACGCACACGCCCCAAATACGCACAGTCCGCTGAGAAAAGCGAAAACGAACAATGGTCAAAATCCTGGTCCGAACAACTTTCTCTAGCTTCTTAGTTTCGGAGATTAACACCTTAGTCGAAGTCTCACTGCAAATCTAAATCTGTTTGAGATTGACCGTGGAGCTTTCACGGACAAATATACTATACTGGGTAGCTCGAGTGATCACGCACAAATCTAGGGGAGCAATGATGACATACCCTAGACGGAGTAAGCTCGCGCCTGATACCCGAAACAGCAATAAATAAACACACCTAATCCATTACAGTAGACGACTTACGCGACCTCGAACAATCCTCAAGATGCCAGATCATCGCATGCTTTAGCCTTCCCATTTCGGTCGTGATCGACAGGAGAACAAACTCCCCACACTCTCAGACGCGAACCTCACAACTGGCAAGTGGTATTTTGGGGATGCAAAGGGATAGTTTTCTGCCCTTGCTACTGGTTCCCACATAGGGTAGGTGCACATCACTATTTACGGTCATCTCATGAGTCGCTGGGATTGGCCTGACCTGATTCCGGTGTCGGGAAGGGTTTGTGTTATCTACTCCATACGGAGTACTCCATATATTATTAGACGGGGAAATAACAAATCAGTGACATGTTGTCATTATGTTCCCCTTTCTGTGATGCAAGGAAAATATGCACATAACGGACCTACATATGTACTGTGATAACAATTACCCTCTCTAGTATAGGGTAATATACCCAGTCAAGTAGACTAGTGATGTGCCCTGTGCGAGAAATGTCATGGGTAGGTTTTCCGAACTACCCTGTGCGCAAAACCTGTTGAGTCTACTCCGTACAATGCACACGCTCACTATCCCCCCCGTGGGCACAGCCAAGGATGTATTCGAATGGATCGATCGATAGTCTTCTTGGCTGTGTTATATCAATACAACATCAAAACATCGTGTACAGAGTCGGCTGCTTCTAGATTGTACAGACCGGATTAAACGTCACAGTATTGTGTCTCGGACTAGCTGTCACTGCCACTCGGGCACCAGTGATCGGCGAGGTTCCCGATCCCCCGTTTGATCCTGCTTTTCTCCAGGATCGGAAGCAATGACGGTGAGTGTGACGAACTACTCAATGCAGTACTTCGTATAGCAGTTGCTAGTTGCAACCTGTTACTATTGTTAGAAGGGATATTCGAGACTGCCTGCTAGGCTACGGGATAATCTCTTTCTCAATATGCGCCTTCGTGCGTCGATAGATCTGCATAGCCACCGTTTAAGTCCCTGGCCATCCAGTTCCGATTATCAATCTCTGCCGGTACCTGGTGCAAATCCCGGGGGGCGGAGTCGAAGCCGCATAATATGGCTCAAACACTGTTTCAATGTTGCTTTGTTGCTGTATTCTAGATCTTACCAGTACTGTATACTTGGGTATTGGAAGCTTATTCTGGGATACCTTGTCCGGACATGCCAAGGAAGACAGGGATAGATTCGTGGGGGGATGTCGGGGGATCGCCATGCTGCCTGGCGTGCATGTTGTTGTCTATAGATAGCATTCGACGCGGTGAGTGGTTGAATACCATCGTGGTCCTGCCAATGGGCAACAATGTGGGATTAAACTCCATGATCGACGAGAGACAGGTACAAGCCAAGATCTGACAATAGAAGGGGAGAGCAATTATGTTCGAGGTTCACTGCTCGGTTTCACTAGAGTCACTTGGCTGAGCAGTGTGATTACTCGGCATTGCCCATTTATGAGAAGTTGAGATTAGAACGGGGTGTATGATCGACTGCATCCTTGTCCTCATTGTCTTGGACTATCGATAGTCCGTTGTCAATCGGAGTCTCGATGACCTGGATACTCAAATACGATTCACCCCATAATAGAGGCGTATACGGAGTCCTCCGTACTCAGTATGGGACACTTTGATGGTACAGATCACACCTGAGTAAATATATGTTCAGAAACTACTCCGTACTCCATAGCAAGTAGCAACCGTCGACAAGTCTCAAAAATCAATGCGCGCAAATCATCCCGATTGCATCTCATCCCTGTCTCCTCCAAACAGTCTTGGCGCCGAGCCCCAGCTACATGAAAACAGACACTATTCAAAGATATCCTTGGCATGCGTGTCCAATATGATATGATGCGATAAAGTCATTCAATGATGTCAAGTATATTTTGTTTATCGGACAATGCGAGGAACCTCTCTCCCTTGATCTGCTGATCGCCCTCATCTCGCACCTGTCCACCAACGCCAAGCCACGCCGTGCATCCCTTCCGCATTATCGTCTTGGCGAGCATTCGGCCTCTGACCAACCCCCCTTTTTTTTGTCAAGCGTGAGGGGATGCATTCGGGCTTCGGCGATCGTGGGGTGGGGTGGAGAGGAGAGGGAGTCGAGTGTGAGGGTTGGTGATAATGCTTGTTATGTTTGCGTCTTGGCGGGGGCAGTGTGCATGCTTGTACTCCGTCCGTACTGCCCATATGTAACGACGGGGAATGTAGGGACGTGCTTTTTCTATCGGGTGTGTCGTCTGTGAGGGGATCGTGCCGCTGTCAGGGGCGCATTTAGATTTGTTCATGTCGATATGCCAATGTTAGGTTTATCGGCTTACTCTGAGGGATTTTATCCAGCCAAGACGGCAACTGACCGTTGGTCTGAATATCTGTATGCTGTATCGTGAAGGTTCGGTAGATATTTACTCCCAAGGCATCTTGGCTGTAGAACAATGCACGGAGGGAGGCCCGTGGAGGACTAGTCCAGCTGACCGCGGCCGGGCGTCCGTAGGTGTAGTTGCTGCACCGGGGGTTACACTGTATATTATGTGTTCCTTCTGGGCGTTGAGGTGCTTCTTGACTTATCTGAACGTGAATGAAAAAGCAAAAGTGGGTGTATGTGGTAATTGAATATATTTGACATGAGATCAATATTTGCTGTAGTAAATAGAAGCTATATTCATGTTGCATGGCATATAAAACATATATATTGCACGTCTAGGGTCGAGGTATCATGAATCACTTGAAGCAGATATGTGGATTCAATTTATGTGGAATTGAAGTTGTTGACATATAATTGCTTGTAGGATACAAATATATATCAACTGGAGATTCCATGAGGCTCCCGGTTTTCTTAGTATTTAATTTGATTGAGATTGTGCAGTGCAAGTTACAATTGTTTTTTTCTAGAATATATCCCTCAAAACTGTCATAGAAGCTGCAAGTACTACATTTACAAGCATCAATGCCTACGCTACTTGACCACATGTGTTTCAGCATCATCATTATCAGCATTTCACGCTTACTATCTATCGTCAGTCTAAAAACAGTCATCTGCATCAGTCCCGCATTCCTCCGATCGCAAGAATTTTCAGCAAGGAGATAGAGTAACGCCAGAATTTGGAATCCGGTCAGCAGAATAAGTTATGCCGAGGCGATGACGAGATAGCCCCTTGATGAGACTCGTTGCTCCGAACAACACATGCCATGCGGTTTCGTATCAAAACCCTGCGTCCACACCGAGGATCAATGTTTCAGATAAAAGCGATGTAACAGAATATCAGAACGTGAATCAGAACGTGAATCAGAACGTGATTTTTGATCCTACGGTGCAGGGTACCAAGGACCCAGGCATGTGTCTCTCAATCGCAAACTTAGCCCGCCAGCCCGAACAGTGACCCGGCATGAGCACAGCGGGATCAAGTCGTTTGAGATCAGCTACTGTGTTTTGGATTTGATCCGCGTCGCTCGTGGCGAGGTGAAATCCGCCGACAACGGCATGGACAGGTACCGTCCCGCCGGTGAGCTGAACGGCATGTTTGGTGGTGTTGACTACGCCAGCGTGACTACATCCCGTGAATACAACAAGTCCCTTTCCTAGGGAATATGTGAGCTCAATAAGCTTGTAAAAGGGGTGTAGGGTGGGCATACCCTTGAGGTTGCAGATGAGAGAACGTTCATCCTTAATGACCTCATCAGAGAACCATTCATTGTCATCAGGATCATATTGCACTGCATTCTTTAGACCTGTCTCATACGGCGTCACTCGTGGAATTTCCCCAGAGACAAGAAAAAAGTCATCAAGTACGGTGTGCGGTTCGCTCCGCTTGTCGACCACCGCACCTGCACTTTCAATTGCTTCAAAGGTAGGGTCAGCTTCGTGGGAAATGATATACTCGGGTAGAGCAATGCCTCTGTAGACCGGTCGGTCTGGGTGCAAGTCCGCGACCAAGTCGTCAGAGCGGCTCGCGGCTCGTTTGGCATCGGTTATCATGCGGATTGCTCGCGGAAGACCACCTGTATGAATGTCAGAGCAGTTGAAGGGAACACCCGTGGAAATGTTCGTTGTCATTCAGATTGACGAACCGGAGTGGTCTCGATGCCAATGCGACAGATGAATCACTTCCACAGAGGAAAGATTTGGTCGCAGCCGTTTCACATTTCTCTCCCAAGCCTCTTCTTCAGGACCCGCATCGAAAAGAATGGCGTGTTTCTTATCACCTCTAGTGGCAGTCTATGTGTGATAGGCTTAATATCAAACCGTATTCGAGAGTTCGATGATAGAACATCGCCTTACCACTAGAATTGACAAGCCATGTGCTGCGCAACAGACATCCTCTAGCCTGAACTCCTTGCAGGCTTCCCCGCGGTCTGTCAGTGTATGAGTTGAGCCCATGGCAATTGAACCCAGCGTCCCTGAGACTTGGACGGTATCTGGGGCTGGAGACGAGAGCGGATCTAGTTCATTGTCGATGATAACAATGGCTTCGAGGGAATCCACCTCTCCGAGATTTATTGGCGTCTCCATAGAGTAACTGGGTTTGCAATCAAAGGCTCTGAGGGCCAAATAATTGGAATATAAGCGATACCTTCAAGGATCTAGAAACTCCCGAATGTCCGTCGAATATCAAGGAAGTGAAGTTCCGAGTTCTCCACAAATGCGGGGGGCAATCACATCTCTTCCCCTGACGAAAACATTGCATCTTCAACTTCTCTCAATTTTCTCTACCGTCGTCCGCTCTATCTCATATAATGCGCCTTTCTCTCGACCTCTTCCTACTCCTCCTGTTCTTCTCCCCCGTCTCAGCCATCGGTACATCATGCTTCAAAGTCGTCTCCGCACTGGTTAGCCGACCAGGCCATCTCTTTGATAAATTCCAGAGTGAGATCTGCGATGCTGGATGCCAGCCGACTGTTCCTCACTGGGATCTATGGACGCGCAACAATACCTTTGTCCCCGCCGTTCGCAGTCTGATGCAGCGCATGAATGTACCCCACAAGGAAGAGGCTCTACTGAAGATGGGCGACGATGTTGCGCTCAAGATCAAGGAAAGCTGTGGACCGATGCTAGGTGGTGGAGTACATATCTGCTCTGATCCGGAGACACTGGCTGGGTTTGGAAACTGCTTCAAGCGCAATTTCCTCAAGGCTTCGATCAAACATCTTCCTAATTTGATCCCAATGGCCTCGGAAGAATCGTGCAAGGAGCAACTCAGGTTCTTGGAGAGTGATGAGCTGTGGGATATTACGATTCCTCAGAATATGCGGGATTATGCGAAAGTGTGTGATACTCTGGGGCCTAACGACCATGATGAATTATGAAGTACATCTGTAAATAGTTTAAATAGTGTACATGTAGTTAATATCACCTGTATATACTAATTTTGCTCGATCTCTAAGATCTCAGTAATGTAGGAACTACTCAACTCCGACTCCGCGCGGAGCTACCGCAGATGACGACAAGCGGAGTTTCTCCAACACGACACGTCTGACACTTCACACTTCACCCTTATAACTCGCTTTACCTTTTGAGGATCAGACTGAATCTGATTAATACAACCATGCAGTGATTCGGCGTCCACCTCTTCATTTCCCATGGCGCACGCGACGTTTCTCCGCCCTCTGCGGCCCACCGTCATCCGTCCCTCAGCCTGGCGTCCGCACCGATATGCTCACTCAAGCCAATTCCAACCCTTCGTGCCACCGTCACCGAGCTCCCTAGGCAAACCCAAAGAAGCAAAGACCTACAAACGGACCATCAAATGGTTACGCCGAATCATCTATGTCTCTCTGGCAACAGGCGTCGCCTACGGCATTGACAGCCAGTTCTACGCCTCATCGCTGACTCGAACAGCCCGTACCTTCTCCCTCGGTATCTTCGTCGCCCTCGACTACAAAATCAACTTCCGCCCACACCCGCCACTGGCCAGCTCTATTGCTGCCGTGCACGCCCGCAACGCAGAGCGCTTGTCGGATCTGCTGAGGCATAATGGTGGTCTCTACCTAAAGATCGGTCAGGCCATTGCTATGCAATCCGCCATCCTACCCCCCGAGTTCCAGAAAATGTTCTCCCGCATGTTTGACGATGCGCCTCAGAATGAGTGGAAGGATATCGAGAAGGTCATCAGGGAGGATTTTGGCAAGTCGCCGGAGGAGGTGTTCGGTATCTCGTTTACGGGTGACCCCGACAAGGGTGTGATGGAACGCAGAGCCCGAGCCAGCGCCAGTGTTGCCCAAGTTCACTGGGCTCGTTTGCAGGATGGCAGAGAGGTCGCGATCAAGATCCAAAAACGAGAGATTGTGCAGCAATTGGAATGGGATCTCTGGGCCTTCAAGTGAGTTGTGCGAGTCCGACCTGTGCGAAGGATGTTATGCTAATATTGAAACCAATAGGGTCGTGACTTTTATCTACAGCAAGGTGTTCGACATCCCCTTCTACAGTCTTATTCCCTACATCAGTGAGAGATTATCGCTCGAAACAGACTTCGTAAATGAAGCAGACAACTCGGAAAACATGGCCAAGCTAGTGGCCGCTGAACCCCGCCTGCGCGATCGCGTGTACATTCCTCGTGTGTATCGTGAGTTGAGTTCAAAGCGCGTCATGACTGCCGAATGGGTAGAGGGTGTGCGGCTCTGGGACAAAGATGCTATCACGCGGCCCTGGCGCGGCGGCTGGCGCCAGGGAAGTCCAGGCTGTCATGGTACACCACTTGACCAGCCGGAGGGGAATGCTGCAGATCAAAGCCTGCGCACATCGAGGACCAAGCCACGGCGCGATCACTGGCGAGGCCCCAACAACCGTGGCGGACTGGGACTGTCACTCAAGGACGTGATGACAACCATGGTAGACCTGTTTTCTGCTCAGATGTTCTTATGGGGATACGTCCACTGCGATCCGCATCCGGGCAATATCTTCATCCGCCGCAAGCCAGATGGACGGCCAGAGCTGGTTCTGATCGACCACGGCCTGTACATCCACATGGACCCCGGATTCCGACACCAATACGCGCGCTTCTGGAAAGCCCTCCTCACCTTCGATAATCGCACGCTGGGCGAGATTGTCAAGGGCTGGGGCGTGAACAACCCAGATTTCTTCGCATCCGCAACATTAATGCGCCCCTACAGTGGGGGAGACATGTCTACGCACCGCGGCCTGAAGGGACTGAGCAAGTCGGAGCGTGCCGAGCGACACTTTGAGATGCAACAAAAGTTACGCAAGTCGATCCGGGATATGCTAGGCGATGAAACCAAGTGGCCACAGGAGCTGATTTTTATCGGTCGCAATCTGCGCATCGTCCAAGGAAATAATCAATTCTTGGGCTCGCCGGTGAACCGTGTTAAGATTTCTGGTATCTGGGCTTCGCGTGCGCTCATCGAATCGCCGGATCTGCCGCTGGTCGAGAAGGTCCGGAACATCGGTCGCCATTTGGTCTTCCGCATGGTATTGTTTAGTACTGATATCTTCTTCTATTTCACCAAGGTGCGCCAGTATCTGCATTTAGGTGGTGGTATGGAAGATGATATCGAGGCCCAGATGCAGAATATGGCCAAGGATATGGGCGTTGAGCTTAACCACAGCGTCTTTGAGGGATAGACTGCCCCGGATCTTATAGAATAATGTGGTCAGAACGACACTTGACTTGGGATTTATGCATTATACCATCTGGACTTATCTAGAAAAATCTCCCAAATAATGACACTCTCCTTGGCTGTTGGCTGATATATATTTCATTCACCCTGTCCCATCCGTATCGAAATCCAAATAAATCCCTTCACTATTACTTCCACCACTACCACCACTCTTAGATTCCGTTAAATCCCCCAATCTCCCAAGTCTAGCAAGATAAGCAGCCCCCGTATCCGCCCAAACATGATATTCACAAACTGCCAGCCTCCCGTGCCCAGACCCACCACCTTCAACCGCAAGCTTGATGCGGTAAACGAACGTCTCATCCCACGCCTGCCGCGTCTCCTTCCAGCCAAATGTTGCTGTTCCACGCAGCGAAACAGTCATGCAGCTACCATCAACCACCCAATTCTCATCGGGCTCGAAGACCATGTTCTTGATAGAGAGGAGGGAGGTGATGAGCTCGAAGTAAGTTGCTACCCCATCTTGGCCGGTGAATGGACGGCCTAGAAAGGGAGCTAGTTGCGGGAGACCATGTTCGTGAGCTACAGGTTTGGGGGATGTTGTGAAGGTTGAGAGGAGCTGGTTGGGGTTTGTTGGGTCTGGGTTTGTGAGGGCATCTAGGAGGGCATAGACTGGTTTTAGAAGGTCTGGGCGTGCGGCCATTCTGACTTCTGTTGGCTTGGTGTAGATGTGGAATTGGGAGGGAAATTGAATGTATGGACTTGTGTTTGATACCAGGCGGTGGACGTCGGAAAGTACTGACATAAATATGACGTTGATCCTTGCTGATATCTACTATTAATGTAGTAGTATCAAAACAACCAACAACCCTAAGTGTTAATATCAACAATTGGGATATTGGGATATCGGAATATCTGGATTTTGGTAGAGAGTTCACTGGTTTTCATCCATTTGGCCAGACGAGTTTCGCTCAAGAGAAACGGATGTAGAAGGAAGGCAGAAATCAAAAGCCCTTTTAGAACTCCCGCGGCTTTCATAGCTGAGCTTGATAGAAAGAATGGAAACATGAAGAAGAAAAGAAAAACAAAAGAAACACCGAGTCCCAAAGAATAATACATTTCCGCTCCTGCAGCTATCGGACGGCCGAATTCACTGTCGCCAGGACTTGCCGCAGTTCAGACACGTGCAGAACAAAGTCATCGGTTCATCAGCCGCACGAGTCTGAGCCTCGGTGTAGGTAACCTTGCGCTGGCCACACTTACCGCACTGCAGACTCTTACTGATACTGCGTTCTTGCTGCGCAACCATAGCCTTGTCCATGTTCTCCTTCTGAATCTTGGCATCCGCCTCACGCTGCTCAACAGAGCGCAGCTCATCGTGGCTCATGCGCACAAATTGCTCAGAGGTAATTTCTCCCTCGACAACGCGCACACGCAACTTCGGGTTGGACTTATTCTTCAGGTTCTGGAAAAGACTGCGGATCTTTGTGCGGTACTCCTCCTTCGTCTCCGGTCCCAAGTACTTGTATGCGGAAACCTCCACTGCAATGGCGCGCGATAGAACAACCTTCACAGACTCACTCGACCCAACACACAGTCCATCATACATCAGTCCCGTGCAGCTGTCACGCACTCGGTTCCCGGTATGATTGATCTCCGCCCCATCTGCCTTCCAGGTTCGCTTATCCGGAGGCACGGACAGCTTCGACGCCTTGTCTGAGGGTGTAGCAGCGACTGGGGTGGACGCTCCTGTGCCATTTTGTGCTGGTCGTGGAGAACCGCTCGAGCCCCGACTGGCTGCTGTACCACCACCCTGCTTCTGCTTGTTCACCTCGGTTCGCCACTTGGAGACGATCTCGCTAGAGAGCCGCGCGACTTCGGGCGTCTTGCTTTGCTTGAACTTGTTGACGATGATTCCGATGCGCGTCTGTCGGAGGAGGTCTTCGGTTGCACGGACTCCAGATTGAATCTCCTTCAAAAGGCCCAGGATCACAGTGGGAGACTCATTAGATGTCGCGGCCTTGCCCAAGGCCTTGGCCTTGGCTTCAATCTCTTTGGCGTCCATCGCCATATTGTGCGGGGTAGAGGGATATTCGATCGGAGTGCTTGACGGGGTCAATGGAGGGCCGGCTAAGAAAGTCCCACACGATCTATAAGCCACAAATGTCAGTATACCATCGCAAAAGCTTGGAGCGCAGGGTCTTTATAAGCCCGGATGCCGGCACATTCTACAGAACCACCGCGAGCACACTTGTCCCATTGGGATCACGAATCATGGAGTACAGATATTTTCAGCAAATGTCACACGAAGCATGGCTTTTGGTATACTCCGCCATAGAGACTCATGCGGGTGAGGGTGGTACGCTATGAATTTGCACGTGTCCACCTTCTTCCCCATTTGCTCTCGGAAACATGACAGAACAAGCACAGTGCAGGCCGGAGACAAAAATACCAGAGGTGTTATACATATTGCGACAAAATAGCAATGGATAATTGTGCTAACACAAGATGCAGTGAGGGGTGTTTTGCGCGGGCACTCACTGGGAGATATTTCACGGTCGCGTTCACGGTATAGTGTTGCGAACTAGGAGTTGAAATAAGAACAAAGAGCGGAAAGGCGACGGGAATGAAAGCGCCAGAAGCGAGAGGTATGGTAGATGGAATATGTCAAAGCCGACGAGGTAAATGAAATTTGATGAGCTGCGATGTTTCGAGGTTCGCGCCAAGCCTTGCGTTCCATTTTCGGAAATTCTTTTTCTTTCTATATGCAGCTTTGTATACACCCTTGTTTACATTTCCAAAAATTGATATTTGAATGTTCCTGCTTGTCCAGATATGTATTCCATCTATATGGTTATGTCTCCTCCGAAAAAAACGGGGGTCCATGGCTATGCAAACAGAATATGGATCAAAGCAAAGGGAATTATGTGCAGCGAGGGTTTCATCATTGTAGATTGGGGGTATAACAAATGGGGGTCTTTTTGAAGGTAAAGCGTAAGCGTCGTCAGTCAGATCCTCATACCCGAAGCTTGTGAGTGGCCGTGGACACGTGAGGGGGACCATGGATGGCCAAGAGGACACCAAGTAAGCGGAGGGCGTTGGTTTCTCAGCTTTCGGTGATACAGAGTGACATTTGGATCCATGAGACATCCGTGATGAAAGACAGGTACTGATGGAAGTGACAATTGTCCAACAGCTCAAAAGGTTTAGATAGCCGTCTTGCCCAAGACATCGGCCAGTTCATCGACGTCCTTGTCAGCTCTCTGAGCCACCTTTTCTTCCTCGGCAAGTTCGGCATCCTTGAGGTCCTTCTCAGCCTTGGCTTCCTCCTCCTCTTCCTCTTCCTCTTCTTCATCCTCGTCTTCCGAGTCCTCCTCCTCGAGTTCATCCAAGTCGTCAAGACCCCATGTATCCTCGGGGTCCTCATCGGTACCGTGCTCCTCCTGTCGAGCCTCCAAGAGCTCACGCAGGTCAGTAATGTTGGGGTCCTCCTCGGAGAAGATATTTCCGTTGAGCTCGACACGACGGAGGCTGGGGAGAGCAGTCTTGGCTGCATGTGTGAAGCTCTTGACAGCTTCCGCCTTCATCTCGTTGTACTGAAGACGCAAAGTCTGAAGCTTCTGGTTCTTGTTGGCCGCCAAGGCCTGGGCAACCTTGACACCACCACGGGCAGAAAGCAGACAGTCGCCGACACCAAGCTCGCGCAGAGAGGGCCAGCCAGACAGGGCGTTTGACAGGGCAGCGGAACCCACATGGGTGAAAGTGTTATCCTGCAGATCCAGGACCTCCAGGGAGTGCGCGTGGTAGAGACCCTCTGTCAACAAGTGGGAGATACCCTCCGATCGGATACCATTTTGTGTCATCTTGACCGACTTCAGACCTGCCGCATGGGCCTTGTAGGCCCGAGCCCATGCCTCCATACTGCCATTCTCCAAGCGGTTTCGTCCGCAGACAACACTCTCCAGCAGTCCAACCTCCTCACCACAGTTGCGAGCTTCCTCCTTGCGCTCAGCCAGCTTTGACAGTGCATCGGCAACCTGAGATCCAGCGGCAGGGCCGAGTCCATTGTTGTTCAGAATGAGGTGGCGGAGGGGCACATGGCGCGAGAGGAATTCGATAAGTGGGGCTTGAGTTCTGAGACCAAAAGCATTGTCATTAAGGTTCACGGTGTGAACAGTCGAGATCTTGAGGATGGCGTTTAGAAGCGCATTCAGAGCAGTGGGAATTTCCGTCAGGAGACGACCGGTGAAGATGTCGTCGAGGTAGGCAGCTTCGAGGCACTTTTGGGTCTTAAGGACCTCGGCCAGACGCTCGGAGGCGCCAATGCCAAGTGTGTTCCCACCAAGACGAATTTCAGTGTAGTCAGTGTTGTCAATCAAGGGCTGAATGTGCACATTGATGTCCTCTGCGCTGTCGAGCTTGAGGACTCTGCCCTCGAGGGAGAAGACCTTGGGAGGGGCCATGGCGGGGTAGTTGTTCAAGTGGGATGTTGAGATAAGAAAAGGAAGTAGATAGGAGAAGGCTCAATGGCGGATAATATCCCAGCAATAAGGAGACCCAAGTAAACCCAAGGATAGGAGGAAAAACCGAAACAGTCAATGCAACAGGAGAGGCGACTCCGGGGAGGCAAGTTTGTTGATAACAAAAAAAAAATATCTACGGCTCAGCACAGAGACCAGTTCCGCTGCATAAGCCATTAATAATGTCCGATGGTGTCAGGTCACTTGTAAGCACTTGTTCACACCTGGGCAACGTACTTGACACTCTCTTGATATCTTCCATTTACTTGAATTTTCAAATACACCTACATATCCATCACAATGTCCTGGCTCTTCGGTTCCTCAAATGGTAAGTACCAATGCCTATCTCCACCTCGGACCGAGTCCTTGCGCAACACACCAGTCCTACATATCAGAGAAAGACCCTGATTTTTACTTACACAATTATCTATAGAGAAAAGCGCCGCTGCCCCCGAGCAAGCGCCCGCTCAGCCTGCGCAGTCCGAGAAGCCCAAGGTATGACCTGATACTCCCGAACCAACAAGCGCAAGCGACTGAATCTGCCTCCATTTTAGCCCTGCTGCGTCTGCAAGCCAGAGAAGACCGCCCGCGATGACTGTATGCTCTTTTCCAAGTCCGAAAACCCTGAGCAGGAGTGCAAGTCTACGATCGAGCAGTACAAGACTTGCATGGCTGGATTCGGATTCAAGGTCTAGACTTGTCCTCTGACTCAATGGCCTCGGCTGTACTACCTACCACTATACAACATTGTACCATAGAATTCATTGGCGGGAGTTTCTTGTTTTACCTGGATATCGTCTGTTTTTAGAGCATGGTTGTGACATATTGGAATCTAGAGTGTGGCACTCTACATGATAGGGACGAGTTTCCCAATACAACATCTCACCTCTTCGATCAAGAACAAATTTCAAATCGAATCATTTATGTTATTAAAATACATCAATGAAAGAAGAGTTCTGCTGCCTCATTTTGGATAATCACATAATATGGGGTATCATTGAAAAATCGTACAGCCATCCACCTAGACAATCACTGCTTCTTTTTCTGGCTTTCCTCCTCAGTTGCCTGCCGACTGATCTGGCGGCATTGGGTGTATAGTTTCCACATACACCAGAGATAGGCAATCCCGAATCCAGCAGCTCCGATCAGGGCATTCAAGACCACCCAAAGATCTGGCTTTCCGGGCGGCGGAGGCACGAATGCCTCAAGGACATGCCAGGCAATCATGGCCAAATAGAAACCGAAGTGTAGGAGAGTTGTCAGACTGCTGGGCTCAAAATGGGCATTTGAGTCTTCAAAGGATGGTCGAGTTCGGTAAGTCTCGAAAGAAGTAGGAGGCAAGCCGAGAAGATAGGCCCAAAGCAAAGTCATAACCATGTAAGGAACGCGGAGCTCGTCACGCTTGAGAAGAGGGTACATGGTCCACGAGCCAAGTGTGTTGGCCCAACCAACCCAGGCGCGAGTTTCTTTGCTCAGCCCCCCGTTACCAGCAAGTAGTAGGGTCATCGGCAGCAGGGGCAATAACACACTCTTTTCATGCACTTGGAAAGAGAACAAGAAAAATCCCCAGGAGACGGCAGATAATGCGGGAAGGAGGAGCGAGGCCCGGGGGTGGCGGAAGATGATTGCACAGGGAACAATGATTGAAGCCAATGTGGCGCTGAGCGATGCGCGCTGCAACAACGTAGCATCAAAGCGGGTGAGCTTATAGAAAGTGTGAATGGCGCACCAAGCGTTGGCAACTTTGTCTTCAAAGAGACCACGCGCAAAGGGAAACACTCGATGAATGATCTGCGTTAGTTGGAATAATGGCCCATATATAAGAGAGTCCTTGTCCAAGTGGATAGGAATTGCCTGTAACAGAGGCGGTACCGGAGAAGATGCAAACGCCTTTCCAGCTTCATCATTGGAGGCACCAAGCAGTAGAGGAGCCAACAGGAGAGTAAAAGCAGCTAATGTGCTGAAAGCTATGCTCACAAGGCGGGGAATATTGATACGAGGGAATATACAAACACCGAGAAGATAGGCGAACATGACTGGTGCATAGTACAACGCCATTTGTTTGAATCCCAGAGCACCAACGAAGAAAATGCAAGCCCAGAGCATACGCCCCGCTAAGATAGCATCCAAGCTTGCAACCACCAATCCAAGCATGACTGTGTTGTATTGGAAATGGCCATGGTCAATAAGGATGTTCGCTGGCTGAAGGAGGACTGCCACGAGAGCAATCGAGGCTGACCATGCATGAACACCTTGCATTCGAGTATAGCGGCGGAGGAAATTGACCACGGCCGGTATAAACACAAAGTATTCGGACACAATGACGGTAGCGCGCATGTATACTTTCAAACGGGGGTCCTCGAAGCCTCGGGAGGCGTCCAGGGCGAACCAGGCTGGATCAAATGCGGAGCCACTACACAGGCCAGTAGGTCAGCAGAAGGCCATTGAGGATTCCACAATAAATTCCAGGGAGGGTAGAGGGTAGTATACATCTTTCCGAATAGCCAGCTGTGATATGCGGTCAATGGTGGATAATCGAGACCCCAGTATTGCAAATCGTATATATACCACTTTGCCAAAGGCAGATGTGTGGTAATTTCCATCCAATGTCTTTGCGCCTCGAAATCACCGTGCATTGGGGAAACTCCGAAGCCTAAAGAGTATCAATTTTTGCATCCACTTCTAAAGACAGACAATATCGCATACCAGAGTAGCCCCATAAGCTCACAGCCCACCGGAACAGACCAACGGCCATGAGCACAAGTGGGAGAATTAGCCATTGAGAAACACCAGCCCGAGCAGCCCACAAGAACGAGACAAGCGGGAATGCTGGGGACTGCTTCCCATCGCCTAGATCCAAGATCAAGTTGTTATTGGAGCCGGGGGAGATGGCAACCTTTCTCTTCTTGCGGGGACGATGCGAGGATGGTGTTGGAGGTGCCATTGTGGTAAAGGCCAAAGGGGAACTTATGGTCCCATTGACTGAGTCAAAGCAAAGTGTGTATCTAAATGAGGAGTGTGACTTGTGCCTTGATACGTAGGCAAACACAGAAGATACCGCCAATTGACACGCGATTGTGAGTCGTCAACAGCCACTGGACAGGTACCCACATAGTGTTTGGACTAATTCTCTAGACTAGCTGTTATAGGCAGGCGGAGTAGTTCTGCCAGCCTCCGAATTTTTTTTCCAGAAATTTTTCCTTATCAGAGGTGATGGTCCCCCAGCTCTTCACTTTTTTTCTTCTTCTTCTTCCTATCCTCTCTACTTTTTTTTCTCTCCCCTTTCAAAAAGCAGTCTTTTTCAGGTTGCTTTACTTGCCTCATCTCTTGAATACTCAAGAGATCTCTATACACACTAACTAACGCAGTCGCGTGGGTTTATCTCGTAAGTTCGTTCGGATACTCTGTGGGCTTGTCATATCTCCGAGGGCTGTGGGCTTGAAATACATCTATTCTGTGGGCTCTGTGGGACATCTTCCTCGTGGGTTACATATTCTAGACAGTATTGGCTGTCTGTTGCTTGTGGGCTTGAAAACTTGTCCGTCCGTGGGTAGTGGGTTAACGTCCAGCTGTGATTTAGTTCACTCCTGGCAGTTCTTCTGAGGGCTGTTGTTCCATTTTAAACATCCATACTACGGGTGCTTTGAGGGATCGTGGGCTTTGCCGCACATACTACAAGAATTTCACTTGTCACAACAGTATGTGCCACCCTACCCAAGCTACAAGCCAGCCTCCCAAGCCCTCCCTATGAGTCCCCTCAATTCTAGTAAAGCAATCGCTAACACCTCGTCTCGCCTCTAGTTTTCACAATGTCCAAGACATCTACCAAGGTCGCCGATAAGGGCGCCAAGGCCACCAAGGCCTTGAACAAGGTCAAGGATTCCGGTGTCACCAAGGCTTCTCAGTCCCCCGCCGCCAAGAGCAAGGCCATTGCCAGCAAGGTCGCAACCAAGGAGAAGGCCTCCAAGAAGAACAAGAAGAAGGAGCCCACCCCCAGCTCCTCCGAGTCTGAGTCTGAGTCCGATGAGGATATGAAGGATGCTTCCTCTAGCTCCGAGTCCGAGTCTGAGTCCGAGGATGAGAAGCCCGCCCCTAAGAAGGCCGAGAAGAAGGTCGCTGCCAAGGCTGAGTCTTCCGACTCTTCCGACTCTGACTCTGACTCTGACTCTTCCGAGTCCGAGGAGGAGAAGCCCGCTCCCAAGAAGGCTGAGAAGAAGGCCGAGTCTTCCGACTCCGACTCTGACTCTGACTCTTCCGAGTCCGAGGAGGAGAAGCCCGCTCCCAAGAAGGCCGAGAAGAAGGCCGAGTCTTCCGATTCTGACTCCGATTCTGACTCTTCTGAGTCTGAGTCCGAGGCCAAGAAGGCTTCTTCTGACTCTGAGTCTGGTTCCGACTCCGACAGCTCTGACTCTGACTCCGACTCCGAGGAGACCCCTGTCTCCAAGAAGCGCAAGGCTGATGAGGAGCCTGCTGCCGCTGCCAAGAAGTCCAAGACCGAGGATGCCCCCGAGGGTGCTGTCGCCAACCTGTTCATCGGCAACCTGTCCTGGAACGTCGATGAGGAGTGGCTCCAGCGTGAGTTCTCCGAGTTCGGTGAGCTTTCCGGTGTCCGCATTGTCACCGACCGCGAGACTGGCCGCTCCCGTGGCTTCGGCTACGTTGAGTTCACCAACGCTGCCGATGCCGCCAAGGCTATGGAGGCTAAGAAGGGTACCGATCTTGATGGTCGCACCATCAACCTCGACTACGCCGCTCCCCGTCAGGCCAACCCCCCCTGCCGACCGCTCCCAGGATCGTGCTCGCTCTTACGGTGACTCCACCAGCCCCGAGAGCGACACCCTCTTCGTTGGCAACCTTCCCTTCAGCGCCACTGAGGATGCCCTCCACGAGGTCTTCGGTGCCCAAGGTTCCATTCTCGGAATCCGTCTCCCCACTGAGCAGGAGACCGGCCGCCCCAAGGGCTTCGGTTACGTCCAGTTCTCTTCTATCGATGAGGCCAAGGCTGCCCACGCTGCTCTCAACGGCCACGAGCTCGAGGGCCGCTCTATCCGTCTTGACTTCTCTACTCCCCGCCCTGCCGGTGGTGACCGTGGTGGCTTCGGCGGCCGTGGTGGTGGTCGCGGTGGTGGCCGTGGCGGCTTCGGTGGTCGCGGCGGCGGCGGTGGCTTCGGTGGACGCGGTGGTGGTGGTCGCGGCGGTGGCCGCGGTGGCTTCGGCGACCGTGGTGGCCGTGGTGGCCTTAACAAGGGCAAGGGTAGCATCCCTGAGTACAAGGGTACCAAGGTCACCTTCTGAACTTGATGTTTTCTGCATACGTTTGATTTCCGCAACATATCGGTGTCCATGGGTCTCAGGTTTGCTTTGAGAGGAAAAAAAGTTCGTGTTTAATTATGTGTAATATGATCTTAGCTCGGGTATCTTAATATGATACATCATTTCAATTTTCATTCTGATCTACTTTGTATCTTGTCCTAGTGTACTCCATGCCCCGTACCCCGTACTCCATGCATGTGTAACCATCGGGGAGTATATTGCCGCCAGATTCCGCCTTCTCCCAAGATCCTTTGTCTTGCCCAAAGTATTTTGTACATTGGTTGATTTGTGCTTCTTTCATCGACTTGTTGATGAAAGAACGTCTCTTTGCAAGTTTCTCGAATCACAACATTCCAGAATCAAACCCTCGCCACCTCCCACTGACGATCTCCACGCATCGTCTTTCGTCTATTGCCTTGTCACGAGCTGCAAATCACCTGTTCGGTCTGCTGATCACCTCATCACATCGATTCTTTCCACCTGGGAGCTTTCTTCATCTTTCTTCTGTCACTGTCCTTTTCTATCTCTGAAGATTAATCTACCTATTTTGTTCCCTTTATCTTCTAATTCTTGTGGACAGAAAAGAGTATACAACCCTTACCTTGGGCATCGGTGATCTACATTTGATAAGATAACCCCACATCTACTTGACCGCTCTATTATACTCCAGAGTGGCCTGATCCCCTCTCTTTCATATTTCTATTCACATACTCCCTCTCATATTCCTTCAACTCTCTGGCTATGCAACCGAATCACTATCTGCTCGGTCAGGTGCGTGAGCCTAGAGCCGCAAGTCGGATGACGGATGGCCATCAGCCGCGAGATAACGGTCAGCCCCAGTCATCTGGTGCGGCCCCCATGAGATCAGAGGGTATGTAGTCTTTTTTATAATCCGACTGGTACCTCCCCTACCAATGAGTTTTCATACACAAAGTTGCCCCATTTCCATAATGTACTCACTACGGTACTACATAGATTCTTGGATTGACGTATCTTCGCAACCATCCTCATCCTCCTTCTCCTCTGCTGCCACGAATGAAGATATAATCACCACCGGCTTACAAGTCGAACATGGAGAATTGGGGACATACCAGCGCCGCAATAGGCGACGTCGTCTACAACACCTTGCTGCTATCACCACAGCCCAGGTGGACTACGCATCGCGGGATGCCAGCCAAGCCAGTAGCAGTCAAGAGGAATACGATGAGAGTGAAAGCGAGTCTGATCGCGTTCTCAGCAGCTCGAATGAAGATATAACCCGCCCAACGCCTCCGCCTGCATTGTCTGCACGCTCTGCACAGCCCTCTGGTTCAGATGCTGCCTCCAGTGATGATGAAGATGATACTTCTACTGCCTTGGGTATGGGAATCAGCCCATCCCCTTTCGTACCTCAGCCAAACATATTTACTCACCCACCGGCCACGTCGGAACCTGGATGGACTTCTCGGCGTACTCAACCTAGTGTCCCGTCTACTCACCGTGCAGCCCCTCGAAGAGATTCTTATCCCAGTTCGCGATCATCGCGCAGAACTCAATATCAGCACAGCCCTTACAATATGATATCCCCTTCCCATCATACCGACCACGATGCCGCTCTTCGTGCCAGCCTGTCAACACTTCTTTCATGTGCTGCTGCCGCCAGAGGCCTTCCGAAGAATGATCATAGACCATCACCTACCCAAGCTGCTCCCTCGGGGGGGTGATCACCCCGCTTCATTCCGACTAGTAGGTGCTTCCGTTGCTATGGGAGAGAGTAGCGATGAAGAGACCACATCATCGCCGCAATATCCAGAAACAAGTCCGTCTATAGGGGCACCACAGAGACATCTCAGAGTGCCGTCAGTATCATCTGATCCATCTGTCTCCAAAGTAAAGCGCCGTTCCAGTTCCCCTAAAGACCGCACTGCTGCCTCGAAGAAGAGTCGTCGCATGAGTATGACAGATCCGACCGCGCCAGTCAGCCCCACGATCATGACATGGGTCATCAGCGCCGGAGTTGTCGTTCTATTCTCCGCAATCAGCTTTTCCGCGGGATATATGATCGGCCGTGAGGTCGGAAGAGTTGAGGTTGGAATGATGGGAGATGGTGTTCCTGGTCCTCGCCCCTCCACGGGGTGTGGGCAGGAAGCAGTCCGGGGCGGACTGCGAAAACTGCGCTGGGGATCCGCGGCTGCCGGATCTGCTAGTCTTGCATCAATGTAATGGTCTAATGTTTTATGGATGGCGAAGATGATAACGAACTACGATGTCAACAATGGAGGATGTGCCGCTCGAGCTACGGTCGTGGATTGCCTGAACGTTGACCTCCGCGCATTGCTCTGTTTGATTGATACTATACTCTCCTTTTATTGATTCACCCTCATTGAGATTTCGGTTGTTGTGTGCCGGGGGTCTTGTGGCCTTCTGACAATCAAAAATCGGCGCATTTTCATGTTGTAACGCAGGTGGCTTTTGTTTTGAAGCGATGGAGTCTTGGTTATAGTTCCTTTTGGGGCTTCTATGCTGGCTTCTTTTTGCAATTCTCATTCTATACCCTCTTTTTGTCGCCCCATCTTATGTATCGAATGAACGATTCTCTGGCAAAATTGGGCTCAGTTGATACCCACATGTGCTGGTAGTCACTCAAGCCGTATTCGAAGTCAGCAACAACTCTCCCAGCAGTGCTACCTACGTCCATGGATAGTACCCAATAAGTACCTAGTAATGGTACCTAGATAACCTTGGTTGCCACGTAGCCATCCCAGGCAGCCCTCTCTAGACCTCGGGACGGTTTTCTTACCTAACTGAACCCCCAGAGAGCCATGGAGCGTCTTTTGTTGACTTTGCATCAGTCTCGGAAGCTCATCCTCCGCGCCAATGAGCTATGATCATATTTGGCAAAGCCTGCCTTCTGTAGAGCTCAAAGCAACGTTGAATACAAATTCTCATTAGGGGAAAATATCACGGTTGACGTTTTTTCGGGGCGGCTATACAGTTCAGCCAAGCTGTTGTCTATCTGCCTATCCCAAAGGCGAATTCCTTTGCCCAGAAGGCGAAAGCTATCAGTCTTCCAGGTACGAAAATGGCGAGTGATTTCAACACGTTATCTGATCCTTCTGGTATGGTATGTTGTATGTTTGATCTCAAGTCCCACACTCGAACATAGTTGTATCGTTAGGCCTAGATACCAACAGCCTGCCGTCATACTCGGCCTAGTAGGGGCGCCCACCAGTTCCTTTGGGCACCACACTAATTATGATTTCATATTTCGGAGCAATCACCATGAAGCTCAGGTGTATTCCACTGCCAATCATAGGTGCAATATGAATCAAATCTCCGGGTCCCAGTAGAGGATGGGTTATAATACTGAGCATGAGTACCCATGTAGGATTTGGTTACGCCACCCACTGCACCTGGCCATGGGTAGGTAGCGTAACCAGTTTACTATATAATCGTCACTATTTAGTTACAAACTCATCTTTATCACTCTTATTTACCTCCCCGGTCCTTCGGCCTATCTATTCTTCCACAACAGTATACATAACATATTACCTAGAAAAATCAATTAATCACCCTTATGATACACCTTTTCTAGATATGTTTTCAAAGTGGTTTAATTTCAGTTCTCTGGTCAATACCTATCAAGGGTGGAAGTAGCTATCCTAGAAATTTCTGATTAATTTTATTCATATTTATGTACGGAGGAATAAAATGATATTGTTATATATCTTAGTGTATCTATCTACATAACTGTATACTACTGCCACCCTTCTTACTTTATCTCATATTTATAATATTTACCTTATAATAGTTATTATTAATATAACTCTTTGAATATAAAAAATATATCTAGAAAGGTATATTGTAAATTTCATAAGATGTGAATCCTCTCTCCGGAACTTTGATAATCCGGGAAATGTCCAAGTACCTGCGCCTTCCCGCCCCACCGGGTTTCTGCAGATGCTGGGCATGCCTTTAGCGCACGAATCCTTGGCCGCTGATAACAAATCAACGATATGATAATGTGAGATTTTGGAGGGGGAGGGGTCTTGGCTGGCCATTATCGGGGTTTTACACAATTGCCTTCCCAACTTTCTATCTTTCTCCTTTCTCCTGACAACCTGACAACCTACATTTCAGCTGCCGGCTACTTTCGACATGTTCTTCCAAAGCGCCCACGAGGAGAAAGACACAGAGGTCTTGCTCCATTTCATCCGGCAGAACCCACTCGGGATTTTGATCACCGGCATGAACTCCTCCCAGCAAGACTTCCTACAATGTACCCATGCCCCATTTGTTGTGGATTTCCCAGAGGAATCAGGCAAGACGGATCCCTACCTCCGCGCCCATATCGCCAAGCAGAACCCTCAAGTCAAGACAATGATGGAGGCCGTGGATGACAAGCCACCGAATGTTCTCGAACTCGACGACGACGTCCTGGTGCTCTTCAATGGCAAGCACGACCATTACGTGACTCCCAAATTCTACGTTGAGACAAAGCCAGATACAGGGAAGGTCGTACCCACGTGGAATTACTCCGCCGTGCAAGCATATGGCAAGATGTCGCTATACTATGATTCCAAGACCCCCGAGACCGGCGCGTTCCTCGCGAAGCAATTGCATGACCTTTCGCAGCATGGGGAGAAGTCAGTCATGGGGTACACTGGTGGCGAAAAACCGGAGCCGTGGCAGGTATCCGATGCGCCTACGTCGTACACTGATCTCCTGAAGAAGAACATTGTTGGGATTGAGATTCGGATCACCAAGCTTCAGGGTAAGTTCAAGATGAGCCAGGAAATGCGGCCCGGGGACCGTGAGGGTGTGATCCAGGGATTCGCGAAGCTCGGTGGTGATGTCGGCATGGGGATTTCGAATTTAGTGAAAGAGCGCGGTGAATTGCGTGATGCAAAGAAGCACGACTCTTGATGCTAGCCTGGAGGTTCAACATGACATTATCCAAAGTTCCTTTTAAGAAAATCACCAGTACTCCGTAGACCGGGACGGTATGGTAGCAGATACAGTGAGGGCCTATACTAGGCAATGGCTAAGACATTTCTAAGGTGTATACTGCCTCATAAACCTATTGGGAACCTATTGCCTAAGTTTGCCCTTTCGTCCACGTATGTGACACGAGGGACGACTTCTTTTGTTTTTGTTTGTTGTTGACCTGGTATATGTTTTTAATCTTGTCGTATTTATATTAGCAACAATGAAATATCATGCCAGACTCGCTTGAGCGATACAAAGTCGTGTGACGTGTCTTTTCAGCCACATTTTCTATGAACTTGAGCTGGAAAGGTATTGTCTCCCTGATCTCCTACATATATGTGCTTGAAATCAATCTTTTCTGAGTCCAATTTTAAACAAATTTGAGATCACCTTTTGTTCTAGTTAATCATTAGACATGGCAAGGGGGTCAGGACTCTTCTTAGCACTCCATACTAGTAAAGGTATTTGGTCTGATCGCGAAAGTCACTAATATTCACAGTTAAAACAGAGTCCTCGTGATGCAATCGGCATTACCCCGTATAGCTCGAGACCGAGGACTCATGCAGATTATCCATGCGAATTTCCATTGGCTGTAGAACCCGATCGGCGTTCGAGATATGCGTGCCCACTTCCAAACAACGTGCTGTAGCATTGACTAGAGTAAATATCGGGTTTGAAATTTGGCCAGATAATGCATCATGGCGTTTAATACCCCGACGTGTAGTACAGATTGTAGTACTATAGTGACAGATTGGCGGGTTGGCGGGTTCGATGTCTGTTCTTGGAAGATCAACCCGCCTCACGATGGGTTACCCTACCAGATTGGAATTTGCCCGTCCATATGATCGGAGTATAGATGTGACTGACAGTCCGATAGCAAACATCTCCTTGGGACATATAAATTGATCATCAGGAAGGCGAATAAAGCAATAAAACCTGAAGACATTTACTATTGGGATCCCTTCTTACTTCGCCATGGCTTCAATGTTCAGTTATTTTGGCTTCAATGCCCCTACCCCCAAGGATGAAACCAAAGCATCCCCAGTTCGTGCCTTGCCTGCATCTTGGTACACTTCACCAGAGATGTATGAGTTGGAGCGCCGAGCTATATTCTCGAAGAGATGGCTCTTCATAACCCACAGCATGCGGGTTAAGAACGCTGGGGACTGGCTCCGCTACGAGGTTGCAGGTTTCGACTTTATCATCACTCGTGATCGACAGGGCAACATCAATGCATTCCACAACGTGTGCAGACACCGGGCGTACCCGGTCGTTGAGAAAGAGGACTCTGGAAATTCCCAAATCCTCGCTTGTCGATACCACGGCTGGTCTTACGGACTGAACGGCAAACTTGCCAAAGCTACCAAGTACCAAGAGCTGAGTAATTTCGATAAGGAGCAAAATGGTCTTTTCAGAATTCACCTCAAGGTTGATGTGAATGGCTTCATCTGGGTCAATATGGATGCGAATGAAGTCCCAGAAGTGTCATGGGAGGATCATTTCCGGGACGTCGACAAGCAAGAACGGTACAAAGCCTACAACTTTGACGACTATGACCTTGACCACTCTTATGCACTCGAAGGTGACTATAACTGGAAGATTCTGGCTGACAACTTCAATGAATGCTACCACTGCCCTACAACGCACGCGGATATTCCTGAATTCCTCAACCTTGAATCTTTCGACAGCGATCTCAAAGATGGACACATCCAACATCATTGCGAGTCTACACCAGAGCAAATTGAGAAGGGTCTTTACACTGCCAGTACTTATTACTTCCCCATGTCTGCCATGGTCGTCTCGTAAGGATTTCTCAACCTATGCTTCTCCAATAAGCAAATTGTCTAACACATACAGGCCGCATTTTATCATGATCCAGAAATTCCTCCCCTCAAGCCCCAAGAGCTCAAAGATGGCCTACGAAATCTACCGAAACCGAAATTCATCCGAAACGGACTTCAAGCTTATCAGCGATATGTACGCGCGCGTGATGGGAGAGGACAAAGTTCTTTGCAACAATGCTCAAAAGAACCTTGATCGAAATGTCTTTACGAGTGGCGAGCTTCACCCCAAGTATGAGAAGGCCCCGCTATTTTTCCAGAGCACAGTTCGCGACGTCATCACAGAGCACTTTGAGCGTGAGAGATCTGAAGGGCGGGAGATCTGGCCGGCCAAGCCGAAGGTATCATGTAACGCAGGAATCAGCGAGAAAGATGAGCAGATTTGTGCATCTTTGGCCTGTGGATCTCAGAAAGAGCTTTTGGCATGGTGATTGATTTGAGAAGCAGGTGCTCTGTTGCATGGGGGTTTTTTTTGTCATTGTTTATGATCTTTGTATCTGACCTATGCTCTCTTCAATCAAATTAAGCCTTCTCATTTGACCTTCTTGAAGTGACTTATGATGTACTCAATTATTAGCGTGTAATTGTAGCAAAAGTAGACACATTCATACGAGAAAGTCCCAGGGATAAGGGTGACTGTGTGGTTTCTGAGCTGCTCGGCTTGGGGTGTGCGCAAGGGTAGTTTTGTACAGAAGGGTTAATGTGCGACTTGGCTGTGTGTATCTCCACAGTAATTCACACCGTCCATTGAGAAACTTGACCAGCGAGAGACTTAGCCAAAGTACCTTAGTGGGAAGAGGGTCCCTGGCATTCATAATCTAAGTAAAGTGAACGAGAGTAGACGGCCGTTTATGTTTTATGCGGACTTGTCATATCTCCAGCGCTCTCAAGCGGTCTTTCAAGCAGTCTTTTCGGAGGTTCTCCTTAAATCTCCTGAAGATGTTTTTCTTCGCCTTGCCAGTTATAGAAATAGACGGCAGAAATAGAAAGGGAAGCTAGCATGCTTTGTGACATGAATCTTTCTAAATATGACATGGGATTGAGGCCAAATATATCAGGCACTCAATGTTGGAGGCCTGACAGGAAAATTGGCCAATGGGGCGGTTAATTCCCAACCTTTCAAAAAATCAAATCAAGACAACTTATTCAGATTTTGCCCGGAGCCTATTAGAGAAATTGAAGATCAGAAGAGGAGCAAATTTCGATCGGCTGTATGTGAAAATATGAGACATTTGGGATTTGCCAGCGCGAGCTAACGTCCCGCTACCCACACTTCTGCCTAAGGATGCCTAGAGAACAGCGCCAACAATTTCATATTGGGTCTAGTATCCCGGACTCGAAGTTCTATAAGAAGATTTGACACACCCTTTGTCATAGACAAACAAATATTCTACTGCAACCAAAAACATGGCATCTTTAAATTACCCCTCCGAGCTACTTGCGATCATCACGTCTCTCTTGGACACAAAAACCCTCAAGGCCCTAAGACTGACAAACCATATGCTATCCACCTTTGCAACCAAGAGTCTGTTTTCTACGCTCTCACTATACACCGAGGATCACAGCTGTGAGGCTTTTGAATCAATCATAGAACATCCGCAGTTAAGAACACATGTGCGGAAAGTTCGCCTCATGACTGTCGAACAGGACTCTGTAAGTGACATATCAAACCGAGGCGATGCGATATGAATTGTTCCAGGATGGTTGGCTTATATGCACTGTTCTAGGACCCCGATGATAATGGCGTAGAAGTTGAGCCACCCTCCAAATGGGAGGAGCTACTACCTATGCTTCCAAAACTTCCACATCTTGAGAGCGTCGTTCTGCGCTTTGATCAAAACTGCGGGAAGGAGAACATATATGCCGACCCGCCTCAGTTACTTGGTTACCGAGAAACTGTCATAAAATGGCTGGGTAGGGCGCTGATTTCTTTAAGGCAACCTTTGAAAGAATTAGGGATACAAAATCAGCAGAACGTGACAGCATTGAGCAAGGATTTTCAGCAAGTACTGAGCACACTGGGTTCGCTGAGACTCAACGTTGTGCATGAGCTCCAACCTGCGTGTCCTGAAAATGAAATCGAGGTTTGTATTCATTCCAGTCTGTTCGACTCATGGTCATGTTTAATTGTTCGTGCTAACCTGGGCAAACACCTGACAGGAAGAGGACGTGTCCGAATTCTCTGCACATATATTGCCGACAGTCTGGTTGAAACCCACTATGGGATCACTTCGGAAACTGTCTCTCTACGCCAACCTTTACTGGGGCTTCTACCCCAAACTCAGCCTCGAAGGGATCCATTGCCCAAATTTGCAGTCGCTTACTCTGGGCAACTTCTCCTTTTTCGAAGACCAGCAGCTCGATTGGATCCTATCGCACTCGTCAACACTCCAAGAGCTCTATCTTGACGATTGTCCAATCCTATTCCGAGCGAGAATACTCAATGATGAATCCCAGCTTGCCAAATGTCCGCTACCAAAATCCAGATTGAATTTTCAAATTAGTGAGCGTTGGAGCGATGCCTGGCACTACAATTATCCACGCCGATGGAATGACTATTTTGCCTCGTTTGAGACAGGCCTTCCACATCTGCGTCGTTTTGCAATTGGTCACAATGAAGCGTGGGATTCAGAGGACGGGTGGGGGCTACCTTTTGAGAAAGAACTGGACCTTGTGCCGGGATTGATGCAAGATCGATATATGGAATTTGATGGTGGCTTAGGTCCCTCTCAATTTATTTCACCAAGATGGGAAAATGAGAAAGAGGACTGGCCACATTGCGATGACGAAGACCGCGAGGCTTTGAAGGCCTTATATCGGAAGATCAAGCAGCAGGTAGATTGTGGCGAATTTCAAGTAGGATGTCACGAGGTGGCTGATTTGGTAGAAGTATATTAAGGAAAGGAGATCTAACCAAAGTGCCTCGCATATTCAAATTCTACATATCCCGAGACCTTGATCATATCTTCAACTCCAGTAAATGTAGTAGATACAGTAACACACGTGATCCGGAAGTTGAGCAAAGACAAAAGCCGAACCAATCAAAAGGCGGTGAAAGCGGGTATATGAAAGGGGCCCCGGGAGATCCGGGGCTGACTCGCGGATAAGAGCTACCCCGGGCACCCCGCGCCGGTATAATAGGGGGGACCATCACTCGGCTGTTGAGGGCCTGACCGATGCCAGAATGGAACCATCTGGGATTTCCATGGTCGAACCATTCGGCAGGTGGCAGCGGGATTTTTGGTGATCTGGCACTGTCGCAACTTCCCCACGTACATGACCAGCCGACCGATATGCCGTCGCTCAACATATATAGACCCTTAGAGGTCGCCCTGACTTTCTTGACTTCTTACAGCTCACTCTCTCAATTGACTTTAATTCAAAATGTCTTCCACACGCCAGTTTGACCCGAACTTTACCGCCTCTGTCATTAATGGCATGGGCGCCAACGTCCCCGATCGTACTCGCGTGGTCTTGGGTTCTCTGATCAAGCACATCCACGATTTCGCTCGTGAGGTTGAGCTGACCCCCGCCGAGTGGATGCTCGGTGTTGAGTTCATCAACTCTGTCGGCCAGATCAGCACCCCTATCCGCAACGAAGGCCACCGCATCTGCGACGTTATCGGCCTCGAATCGTAAGTTTCACATCTACCTTGTTTTTACTTGTTCTTTATTTTCAAGAAAAAAAAAAAAAAAAAAAAAAGAGAGAAAGACGAAAGCTAACCAATTTCATCAGTCTCGTCGATGAGATCGCCAACAAGATCATTACCGAAGATGGTGTCGCCCCCACCTCTAACGTTATTCTCGGCCCCTTCTGGTCTCCAAATGCCCCCTTCCGCGCTCTCGGCGACAGCATTATCCAGGACCCCAAGCCAAATGGTCGTGTCACCTTCATGCACGGTGCCGTTAAGGACATGGAGACCGGTAAGCCGATCGTCGGCGCAGTCCTCGACATTTGGCAAGCCTCGGCCAACGGCCAGTACGATTTCCAAGACCCCACTCAGAGCGACAACAACCTTCGCGGCAAGTTCCGAACAAACGAGAAGGGAGAATTCAACTGGTACTGCTACCACCCCACTCCCTACTCTTTGCCCACCGACGGCCCCGCCGGTGTCCTCCTCAATCTCATGGATCGCTCCCCCATGCGTCCCGCCCACATCCACCTTATGATCACCCACCCCGAATACGCCACCGTCATCAACCAAATCTACCCCAGCGACGACCCCCACCTCGCCATCGACTCCGTCTTCGCTGTCAAGGATGATCTCGTTGTAGACTTCAAGCCCAAGACCGACGACCCCAAGGCCTCCCTCGACTTGGAGTACAATGTTAAGATGGCGCTCAAGAAGCACCACCCCAACCCCAACTCCGCTCCCCCCGTCTCCTCTTTCGAGCGCCACGCCAAGGCAGCCAAGGAGGCCCAGGGAAAGCTTTAAGCGGATGGAAAACGATTGCACAAATTGGGACGGCGTTTCAACATGACTCATGTACATTTAGCATTTACTTGAACTTTTACGAGATAACCTCACATCCTCACATCTACGTGATTGATTTTCGATCCAGCTACACTTTCCCGCATTAACGTCTCGTAGAAGGCCCGTGCTGCCATCTTAAGCTTTTAAGCCTCGTACCATAATTAGCCTCGTGTGACTAGATCGCGTCGATCCCCCGCTACGCGGGCAATATCTAAATTTGTATGCATGTACCCACATGCAAGGAGACCCTGGCCCCGGAATCCGGGGTAAGCACCTTTGTTTTGGCCAGTAGAAGCTAAGGTCGACTTGGCCGTTAACTTTTCTCCCGCCAATCACGATGTGGAGGCAGTGACACTACGTCCTTCTTACTAGGATCAAGGTTCTTGACTAGCGTAGTCGCTAATCTCACAACAGTCCAGTCCTATGGAGACTTCCGAAATATCAAGCCATCTATGATCCACGAGAAGATGCTGACCTTAAGAACGTGAGAAATACATCATTCATTCTTGAGTAACAACCGAGAAGGGACAGATCCCTGTACAACCATCTAGAAAGTCCTCCGCGGATGACCCGATGGATCAGGCCGCCAAGAAATATCGATTTCTTCCTCAGAGGGCTCTTGGTTCACCTTGGAGGACTGTGGCATTGCCTGGCGAAGGCGATCTTCATTGAGGATATTGGATTTGTCAATGGCTTCCTTATAGTCCCGGGCTGGAGTCGCTGTTAGCAGGTCTGGAGAAGGATAGGAAGTATATGTGGAATGGGTCTGGAAAAGCTGCATACTCATTCTTTCGTCAATGTCGGAGGATCCGGGCTGAAGAGGATCTTTCATTTCTGGAGCGTCGTTCTGCTCGTACTCATGACCATGCTCGTGCTCGTGCTCGTGCTCGTGCTTATGGATATTGGCATGCGAACGGTTGATCATTTTGATAGCTGGAATTTTCGAACAGATGTGGGTTGAGCAATATACAATGATGGATGTGTTGAAGGCTTGCTGGCGTTGTGGCTATAGTTTTATGCTGGGAGGATTACGTCGTCATTATGACTATTAATGACATTTTGCAGGTGGCCCACATAGACCCGCCTCTCAGTAGGGAAGACTGGCTAGAAATCTATTCATCAATTTGTTTTGCTTCAATATCATAATGTGGACGTGGTGTTAGGCCCAAGGGAGGTCGGACAGACCGTCCGGAGTCGATATTCAAAAACTTGCGACAAAACAAAGCTGATACTGTAAGTATCGCCAGAGTGGCATTTGGAAGTTTGCCTCAAATGCTATTGGGTTGGCCACCAATGAGCAGTGTATCGCAAATCGCTATTTGTCTAGGTAATGGGGTGTCCGTGTACGTGAAGTAGGCGAATCGCGGAATGATACACTTGGACTAGACATCCTGCAACCTGATATACTTCTTTAAAACAAGGACAAGGTATACCATGGAAGGAGAGGGGATATTACCTTGGATTGCCACCAGCGCCTCCTCGTGATTAGGCACATAATGCATCAAACCAGTTGCAGTGATTGGGTGCGCTGGGAATATTTTTGAAGTCAGAATAGTTCTGAATGCAACAAAGTCCTAAAAGAGGAAACAAGACTCAAGCCACGTGTTTAGGAAAATATTAGAATTGCCGCCAATAGAGTAGAGTCAATTGGCAGAGCAACGAGCGGGCTATGTGTGGCAATTGGATTGTAGAACAAATAGGAGCTCTTTAGACATATCCAGCGTTGAGAGTCATATCAAAATCAATAGAGCCTTCAGTAACCAAGACGAAAAGCATAAAGTGGAATCTGAAGTCATTTCCCAGAAATAATCGATCACACCTGAGGCATACTGCGAAACTTCAGCTCCCTTCGCCCAATTCGAACTAGATCAGCATTCAAGAGAGTCTCCTTCTCGAAACCATCCATGACCTGGCTGAGAACTGCCGCTGCAAGCTCATTCCGTTGTACGTTCGGAAGGGGCCTTCCGAAAAGGTTCAGGATACGGAAAAGGTTCGCTACTAAGGCTCGTGACCAAGTAGTGGAGCTCGAGATTACGCCAGGCTGAGCAATGCAGACCTCGATACCCTCTTTCTCTGAAGGGAACTTGAGGACCATGAGCTCTGTATTGCACTGGTTTAGCAGAAGGCACATTAGCATGAGACACAGAAGATATCGTGGGCTTCTCATTGCTTACCCGCATGATCTGGTAGTCGGCCATTATTATTGGCCTCTCTGCTGGGTCTCGGGGTGTTCCCTGCACACTCAGATATATGAAGCGAAAGGGACACGCCGGTCCAGCCTCGTACATCGCCTCAAACCCCAGTTTCGTGCAATCCTGGCAGATACGCTTAACCTCAGTAGAGTCAGAGCTGCCAGTGCGGAATGGTGTGACGGCAACAGTCCTACAGGTAGATACCGGCGAAATGTTAAGGTCAACCTTCAAAAGGCAATGAGAGGACGTTTGGGGACATACCAGATACAAGCGTCGGCCCCAGTAAACTCGGCCTTCACATTATTAGGATATTCACCATAGTCGCGAATAACAACATTCCTTAGCTTTGATGAGTCGATTTCTTTATCGAGTTGCACGGGCCTGGGAGCCAAAGCAACAACCTGAGTGATCTCACGCATTTGCAAGCTTTGTCTCACGATCTCGGTTCCCAGCAGTCCGGTCGCGCCAGCTATAATGAGCTTCATCTTTGCTCTAAACTTCGATGTCGGGGAGCATGGATATCTGTTTTCAGGGCAGGTAAGAAGAATGGCTTCATGAAAGGTTGGTACTGGGGTAAGTATTGGGATTCGGGGACGGCGGTGGCTCAAAACCAATAGCTGCGTAGTACCTTCCCAAATGTATGATTTGGCTCCTTCCCTATATCTGTTACCATCCTCATCCCCACCAGATTGGACATCACCTAGGTTAACCCCAATGCGGTACAAATCTTTGACGTTCAACTCCTGACAGCTTTTGATTTCCAAATATATAGAACCTCGGCTCACAGGAACCCGAACGCGTATTTGCCGGTCGGTTCTCAGATCTTTGATACAAAAGCGATGGGTCAGAAGTGCTATTCCTTGTAGACTACGCAGAAAATCATGGAGTTAAAGAACAAAGTAAGACACACGATGGCCACAGGTAAATGCAAAATTGAACTGGCCAATGAGCAAATGATAGTACTAATAAGGTAGGATATAAGGCTTCTATAGGTCCTTGTAGTGTGGCCTGAATCCCAGACAAATACCGATATGGTGTATACAAGACAGAAGGAAGTGATAAAGCAATAAACGTCTCGGGCTATTGGTTTTTTGGCTTACTGTTTTGTGTTTCAGATAGATATGGATGGTTTCAACAGCAAAATGACAATATATACCCCATTGGGAAGCCTGAGTGACACTGACAAACTAGCTAGATATTCTCGGGAATCTTCTTAATCTCTTTGCCTCACCATCACCCATTCTATGACCCATATAAGCTAACAAAACTTCAATCGCGTACAACAACCTGTCTCCCAAATTATGTATCTGGCAAAGGTTTCTTCCGTGATCGCATCTGGGCTGGCTCTGTCGGTCTTCGGCAGCGTTTTTGACCCCAAGAGCTATGCCACAAAAGATGTCATAGTCGCCGATGTTGTCCTTGTTGGAGGGGGATGCTCAGGAACATATGCCGCCATCAACCTGCGGAGGTTAGGACAAAGCGCAGTGATTGTGGAAAGAAAGGAACGTTTGGGTGGCCACACGAACACCTACACTGATAAAACCACTGGTTTCACTGTGGATTTTGGCGTCCAGAGGTTTCTAAGCAGCTCTATCACGCGTGACTATTTTGCCCACTTCAACATCTCCCTTGTCAACTATACCCGACCTAATATCACCACATCGCTGGCAGATTTTAACACAGGAAGACCTGTGCATGTCAAGCCCAGTCAAAACTTGACCGGATGGGCCGTCCAGCTTGCCCGGTACCCTTGGCTGGATTCTACCTGGAAAATCCCGCAGCCAGTTGCCCCAGACCTACTCCTACCATTAGAAGAATTCCTCGTCAAATATAATATCTTCGATGCTGCTTTCAACCTTTATCTTAGCTCGCAGGGAGTATCCAATCCATTGAAGCAACTGACAGTCGACGTGATGAAGATTGTGGACCCTGTCTATCTGAGTGAATTAACAGGTGCCAGCCTTGTCACCGCAGATAACAATAACTCCGAGCTATATCTTAAGGCTATCGCTGAGCTGGGATCAAACGTCCTCTTCTCCTCGACAGTGATAGCTACTGCCAGATCACAAAATGGACAAGGCGTCTCACTGGTTGTCAAGACACCCACGGGATCCAAGCTCGTTAAAGCATCCAAGCTTCTAATTACCATTCCGCCAACCCTAGAAAACATGATGCCATTCAACCTGAGCCCACAGGAGCATCGAATATTCTCCAAATGGACATATATGGGGTACTATACCTTGGTGCTCAATAACACTGGCTTACCCGACGGGTATCAGTGGATCAATGCGAATGATTCATCCGCAACGTACCACATTCCTCAGCAACCTGGGGCTTCCCAGATCACAAGCACCCGTACTCCGGGAGTGTTTTACGTCTGGTACCGCAGCCCATCACATATGACGCGGATGGCAGTCGAGAAAGCGACTATACGGGCAATCCAAAATATACAGATGGCACACAACCTTACTATCACCTCTCCCCAAATCATCAAATTCGAATCCCACACGCCTTTCAAGCTCAGTGTGTCCGCTCAGGCTATCAGAGATGGGTTCTACCGTGACCTGTATGCGTTGCAGGGCAACCGCAGCACTTGGTATACCGGCGCTGCATTGATCTCTCACAACGGAGGGGTTATTTGGAAATTCACAAAGGAACTACTGCCCAAAATTGTAGCGGCTTGAGGAGGTATCATCCGCGGCTGGATAGGGGGCACTTACACATATGCCTGGAGAGTGTAGTAATCTCGACATTGAGCTTATTATTACCCGCCAGAGCTCCTTTGGCAGACAATATATTTCAATTTATGACCGCAAACTCATAAACTTACTCTTTCTCTGCATTTTAAGTCTTTCTATCCCACATCCGCCTGCCTTAATCTTTCCATCACTAGCGCTATTGACTTCGCATGCCAGAAATGCGTATCACCAATTGCCCTCCCAAGCAGATAATTAACGCCAACACTGGAACAGAAGCTACCGTCGAGAATTGACTACTGTTCTTGGATCTTTCCAATCATGCGCTAGTCCCATATATTGTCAATCACCCAAGACATTATTAGAGCCTCTGTTGGTTCGTTGGTGTTGGGGGCTCTTGGTCATTGTCCTTTTACCTCCCAGATACCAAAACATCATAAGGAGGCGAAATGCTTGCAATCAATGGTCACATACTTCATTCAAATTCGTAGCTCTAGATTGTTCCTTCCCTGAGCTCAGCAGCCCAACAAGGAACTAAACGTACCCCTATTCTAATAAAAACTAACAAGTATCACATACCATCATCTTAAGTTTGCCATACCAGAGCATCCACACAATCAACATCCTCGGCTCCCTCAATTCTAAGGCCAAATGATCGGACTTTTGAACTCCCACGTGTTTGGAAAGTCATAAAAACCGAACCTTGCATCCCCTTCCGCCCTTGTTCATGGTAACGCAAAGCTTTAGTTGTTGGTTACAACACCAGTAGTCTGCTTACCCTCCACGCCCGAAGAGCTCTCAGCTAGCAACAGCTGGGACTCAACATCATCTGTATACACGCCTCGGATACTATAATTCGAGACAGAAGGTCTTCCCTGCCCCGTGGCCACGGTCGTGTCCTGATCCCGGGTCATGGTAGCATCCACAGATCGGTCACAGGTTGGGCAAAGGCTGTAACTAACATGTCGGGCCTTGAGCATAGGCTCAACAAATCGATGGAAGTAGCCTTTGACAAAGGAGCGCAGATATAAAGGACTGAAATCATCAGTATATTTGGAAGACTAGGCTGGGTTCCAGTCATGAAAAGACTTACGCGAGGAGGATACATGAGAGGTTGGAGTAGATCTGTGGGATACCGCGGGAAAGCTTGTAGTTCCAGGGATATGACCATTCGCTGATCTCTTGGGTAGCAAGAATGATAATTCCGGAGATGTATACCCCGACCAGGAGCAAGGTCATCAAGAAATCAATAGCGATTTCAAGGGCCGAATAAGATTGACTTTTGGATTTGCGATATCTGAAGAGAATGAACCCAGGCGTGATGACGGAAATGGAGATCTTCGAATCGTTAGATGGCTTTCTTATCATGAAAGGAGAAAAAGACATACCACTACGAGTTGAATCCATGTTTGAACACTGCCACCAGTTATAGGAACGGCAGCAAGTGCGCATGGCCATGAAATAACCGAGAAGAAGGCCTGGGTCTTGCGAGCTCGAGAGAGCGGGTGCTTATTGGCGGAACAAATCTTTTGGCACATTTTCACTTTGATATTTCGTATCTTGGCTGTACAATGTAAGGTCAAATGTGAGGTTCATGGGGATCTGGAAGTCAATGCCCGCAATTATGAAGCAACTGGTTTGACGGCCCCCGGCTCGACCGGGTACAAAATAGAAGGAGCAAATAACACTGCTGCCTTGTACAATCAGTCTGCCTGGCGACAGTGGTCGATGGAGCCGGGTAAAATTGGATACAGATCTTTTAATAGGCTGGTTCCAGTAAGCAACACCGCTTTTCATGTTACCCCGGGAGACGCGATTGAGACCCGCAAAAAAAAAAAAAACTGCAAACGACCCATTACCAATCAATGTGGAAAAGAAGTCTTATAATAAGAAAGCAACCAATATCACTGGAAACATGATGCAGTTGCCAGAGCCAAAAACGCCCAGAGAATTTTGAAGGAGATCCAACTAGGTGATTTCTCCCATCTTCCATACCAGATTCCAAATTGATAGCAATCCCCTGTCCAGTTTGTTGGAATATCTAATCCAATATCGGGTCCCATCGGGCTGTGTGGCCCCCAAATGGGGCAAGAGATCCTTTGATCTCAAGGTCCAACTATTGGTTGACGTGACCGGTTTAGTAAGTCTTTCGTCCGTTATTGGTGCTGATCTTTTGGGAAACTGCATTGAAGGAGTTGCGGAACAAATGTGCTGTCTCGAGACGACTAGATTAGTGCCGATACAGTCTGGCCGTCAAACAATTTGTCAGAAAAAAAAGAATATAATGGCACCTGTTGCATAATGAGTATGAGACCCTATGCTTAATCAGTTCTAAGCCCCATATGAGTCTTCTCTATATTTCTGGCCGGCGTTCTCGATATATTTGTATCGAACCTAGGTTGTGGGAGTCAGCACTCGAACAGGGCAGGGGCAGTCTTAGGTGGAATCTAGGTAAAGAAAATGAGGAAATAACTTGAATGTGATTGAGACTGTAAGACTGTGTTGGGATGATTGAATTCCTCCTGGGAGAAACGTCCAGGAACGTGGTTCTTTTAGGAGGAACAGCTCACGGTAGAGCTAATGGAAAAGCAGCATAAAATTGAAACAATTGAAAATTAACACATTTTGGACAGGCCAGGCTTCGTACGTGGAATATTCTGGCTTAATATTCCTATAGGTAATTCATAGCCAACTGATCTCTCTCTCCTTCCCCTTGGGTATCTACGCTTGTGCCGTGACTGAGCTCTGTGATGACACCCAGATCCATTAATAATTGCACGAAACTGAGCAGAGATGATACAGGCTTTTCTGAAGGGGAAAAGTTCAGGGATAGGTGATGTGATGGGTTCACGTGCAATTGTGTAAGCCGCCCCCGCTGGTCGGTTGCAATGTGTGTAGAGGTCCACGACCCAGGAAGTGAGACGATTACTGACTTTCGGGCCCAGTATCTCCTTCTCAATATTCACGAGCTCCCATCGCCCAATTTTGCCTTATGTTTCGTACATGTTGGTATATGAACTGGATTTCGCAGCACCCAGCCCATTCCAACCCTGGTAACTCCGGGCGGACTTACCCACCGTCCGGCCCGGCCCGGCGCTAACAGGCTGGAACCGTTGATCATCGGAGGTTATCTCAAAACTTTATCCAATCTGTCGCCGGATGGCCCCTGGGACGGGCAAGCTTGGACTCGGGATTTCGTGCCCGAGAAAGGGGCTGAAATACCTGGAAGATAGTATAAATTGAGTATGTTCCCGTCTTGGTCAAGCGTGGGATGACCACATCTGTTCGTGGTTATGTCGACGTACAAATGTCATGGGCCATTTGCGCCTAGTATTTGTGACATTCGTTGCGGTCTCACTCCGCCTGGGATATGCCGTTGGTCCGAACTCAAGAACAGCGATAGGGGTGGCCCAACCCTCCATCTTGCGACATTCCATGTCGACAGAAATCCTGCAGGAACCGAATTTGGCTAGTCGAGACTCTAATAATGACCGATGATTAAGCATCGGATTACTTCAGGGCTGTCCAGGGGAACAGAGCCTCGTGCGGAAGGTCACATGGGGGTAAAGGACTATAGCCATTTACCAATTCCAAATATGTGTACCCTTTTCAGACTCGGGGAGAGATGGTGAGGCCATCGACATTAGAGTCTCGCGATATTTACAACCACGCCCAGCTGCCGTGAACAGCTGCCGTGCCCTATATCAGCCCCGGTTTTTAATAATGGGGGCAGCACAAGGACGCAAGTCCGGCAAGCGGATATGTGTAGATGCGGTCTACAGCTTTTGGAACTTAATCACATTTGAAGTTGATTCAAATCAAGCCCTAAACAAAAAAATAGTTCAGAAATAAATCATCTTCCAAGATCTGATGACAATATAACTTTGCTGCATTAGATTTGTATCTACCATATTCGGTTAGTGCAGCTCCCAGTGTATGCGACGACCTCGCGTGGCTCTCACAGGGGAATATTAGCCAATGATAGAGGTGTTTCACTTAAATTATGGGGCAAATTGAGTAGATACATCTATTTCTCGTTACAATGGTCAGTCGACCAGGCGAAGTCACATCCACGCAGTTTTCACTCAGCCACAATGAGTCATCTTGTGTGGTTGCAACAAAATCAAATTGTTGTCTTTCTGTGGCCACACGCGGTGTCCACTTACTACGTGCCATTGAATTTATCGCAAGAAGCTCCTTTAACAGGGCCCAAGCTATCACACCATAGCGTTATAGGTTGGTGGGTGAGATTTTCGGGGGTTCGGCTCTACCTGATCTATCTGTAACCCAAACCATTTTTGATACCCTCAGCCATGAATCTAGATCATTAGTCTTTCGACCGATTTTTATTCTTGCCCAATAGTCAGCGTGTGCTTTATCAAAACCTGTGGTAAAGTAATTATTCAATCTTTCCTCCAAATTCTTATATTGACCATGGGAGATACATCAAGTCTACCAATCACTGTGTACTAGTTCTAAATCGGAGATTGACGAAGAGGTTCTGAAACAATGAATGACACAATCAATATCCCGTCCATTTCGGTTTGTTAATGCACGGATAACAACTACTTTGTACCACACTATTCTGGCTCCACTAGGCCAAGAACCAGCTTTTACCTCCGGTGTAGCTTATTATAGTAGGTGTGATTCGAAATACCAATTCCAAATCACTGTCCACGTGCTGCATGTATCGCGGCTGAGGACAATAAGAGCCAGTCGGTGTAGCGTATCCATATAGCAACCTGCCACACTATGACCAGTTTAACAATCCGATGCTCGATCTTGATGAGCAACTAACCAATTCGGCTAACAGACCGAACCTCGTAATGCCAGATTATCCCAACATCCGACCAACAATCGACAAATACGGCTAATCCACTGGTACATTTTACCACCATTCAGCTTATCCATACTACCCAAGTGGCGCGACGAAAAGACTAACGCCGCAGCCAGCGCAGGGACGGAAGTTTATCCAAAGCTATCAAGATCATTAACCGTTTAGCCTTGATAAAGCACATATTGAGTAGCGGAAAGTCGTGAGGAAGTCATGAGTATGGCATCATTCACGAGGCAGCGCTGATCACACCATGCATGGGACGGTCTCTTTGGACTTCATCGGGGAACTAGAGTGGACTTTCGACAAGTACTAGTTGCCAAATGTGGAAGATCATGAAGCAAGCTTCCTACAAGGGTGGGTATCTGGCAAAAACGGCAGTCAATCTCCAATTACGACTCTTGAGTGACTGAGGCCTAAGTACACTCGGTAGTCTCAGTCGATAACTATAAATACCCACTACGAATATCTGTTTTATTGACTCAGGTGATTTTGCTCTATCTGAAGGTGTAATAGCGTCAGGACACCAGCAACCCATTAGCTCCTCAGTATGTCGGGCTCACGACAGCAGCCTGGACTGGTGAGATAATTACCAAATTTCCCATCAAGTGACTTTTGAAGCTGATATTCTAGGCTTGCGAGGAATGCCGCAAAAAGAAACTTCGATGCGATAGGAGACGCCCTCAATGTGATCAGTGTGAGGACTCTGGTACAGCTTGCCTTGTGAATCAACTTCGCTCTCCACGGGGCCCCAAGAAGGGGCATCTCAAGGCTTTGCGTAATCGCATTGGTTTGTTGAATATATCATCTACACACCTTCACTGCTAATTGTGTCCTTAGCTACACTAGAAAGCATCATAAATTGCGATCAGGGCAATCTTGGTCCTAAGGAGGTATCGGACAGCAGTGAGAAATATCACTCCGACGAGACCGTTCAAATTCTCAGCCCACCCCAAGAGTACATACCCAGTCTCACGAATACCGAATGTCGTGATATCACCTATTCCATTGAAACATCAACAATAAACTCACCTATTACTATCACACCAATGAGCCCACCTAATCAAGAGAAACCAGATATAATAGAGGCTGATCTGTACGCAAAGCCCACTCTCCAAACCCGGGAATATCTAACAGCTAGTGAAGGGATCAACTATATTTCGACAGAGTACACCCTGTCGCACCCATGCTCCACCAAGGTCGATACTTTGCCTGGTCACAGGTATTCAACAAACCACCTTCTCACATTTGTTTGCAATTTGCAATGTGGGCGCTAGCAGCGGCCTCATCTGCCCATCTAAATCATATGCGAGAGTCTCTTTACACCCGTGCGCGGTCCGAAATTGAGACTCTAGATCACGATATTGAATCTAGCAGCGCGGCCTGTCTCCAGGCAGCCCAAGCATGGCTTCTTCTCACTCACTACGAGTTCCGCTACATGAGCTACCGTCGAGCATGGCTTACCGCAGGACGCGCCTTTCGCATAATTCAACTGGCCAAACTACATGAGATCGATCGGCTCAATGAAGTTACCGTAAACATGGCACATCCCGAAGCATGGGCCGAGGCTGAGGAAAAGCGACGGACGTACTGGCTAGCCTATTGTCTCGACCGGTTTCTCAATATTTCTGAAGAGTGGCCTTTGAGTCTACACGAGGAAGCAGTGAGTAAACCCTCCATGTATACAGACTGGTATGAGTGACATTAACATAATTTCCAGCTCTGCATATATCTCCCCGTCTCAGAGCCAGATTTTCAACACAGTAGGCCAGTCCTTATGGGCTCCTTATACGACGAGATCGAGACCTCCGGACAAAAAATGCTACCGCCTTTTGCGGAAACAATCGTCCTGATCACGCTATGCTGGCACAGCGTTGCATTCCAGCGAGCTGCACACGGCGACAAAACATCCCCGAGCGACGGAGATACCTGGAAGCGCCATACTCGGCTATACCAAATGGTACAACAGCGGTTGATGCTGATCTCACTACCCCCGTCCGCGCCTGAACTCCACGATCCCATGCGTCTGTTCACAAACATGCTCGCCAATGCTGCTGTGATATGGTTTTACAACATAATGGAGAGCATGCAGGTAGAGATTGATGATGAAATCATCCTGGTTCCTCTTTACTCTGCGTACGAGATAGTAGGTTTGGCGAAGCCGCTCACCCGATCCAGCTTTTTCAAGGTGAAACTGACCCCCTTGCTCCCCATAAATTGACTGTGGTCTTTGTGTCTCATGGGTTGTACAGGCGCATGCGTTTTCTCCCATGCTACTCTATCTCTCGGCAAAGTTTCTCAAGGCACATGCTGATCAACTGAGTACATGTGTCCCCGCGTCGGAGGATAAACAGCAGAAGTTGGAGGATTTGAAAAAAGCTTTGCGGATTTTACAGTGTGGGAACAATCTAGCTACGAGCTATTTGAAGCTGCTTGATTCGGACTTGTCTCCCAAATTGTGCAACCTCTCGACTGTCCACGGATGTACTATTTCTGAAGTCACAGATCAGCCGGAGCCACCTTTCTATTTGGATATCATGAATCTTTTCTAGATCTTCCTATGGATACCAGGCAGGCTTTGGGTTGTCCTTTGAAATTGCTCTCTTGGGGCTTGGGTTGGCGTACAATGTGTTGTCCAAGTGGTTGGCGTTATTTAATCATGTATTATTCATCATATTTTCATCGTAGGGAGTGGGATGTTGAGATTGCCTTTACTTCAATATCATTATGACCTTTACATCTGATTCACTTTACTCTATACACCATTTTACTCACTGTATATGATTAAGACTACTATGATTGGCTAGATTGAACTTGGGGTTTGATTCGATGTCCTTGAGTAATGCTACCTACATAGCAGGGCTCTCCGCTTGCAGGCAGAGGAAACAAGAACAACACCCAGAAGGATGTTGGGCTTCTTTGCCAGCAAAGCGATCATGAGATTCGACCTCATGGACTGCCCAAAACAAAGACAACTTCAAAGGGAGACAACAACCTTCCGAGCAGACACGCCCATCAGGTGCCAGTCCATAGCTTTTTGAATATGTTCCAGACCCTTCCCAGCAACAAGTGGCTTAGGAGCAGTAACAAAGGTTCTACCTGCAAGAGCCTCGGGCAGGAACTCACGATAGATCAAGGAGCCAACCTCAGTATGGGCCGCAGAGCTACCGAAAACTAACTTGGTTTTCACGCCGCTGCGCTTCGACTTGATGAGGATTTTGATGCTGGACCACTTCGAGGCTGCCTTGGCACGGAATAATTGGTAGGTTGTGGCGGGGATTTTCTCTGGGAACGGGAAAGTGACTTGGGCCACAAACTTTGACCCGTTCGACTTGTCGAGAATTTTCATGCAAGGTTCGGTCGAGTCGTTTCCGATAGCGATTGCGCCAACAACTTTCTTTCCCTTGAGAAGATGGATAATTTGTGGGACGGTCAGCTCGTTGAGGTAATCAAAGACGGCGGAAGCGCCCAGGGTGGTGACATATTCAAAGTTATACGGAGCGCAAGTGGTGATAACCTCATAGCCAGCTAATGCGGCAAGCTGGATGGCGTTGCAACCAACGCTGGTGGATCCACCCCAAACAAGAACTGCTTCGGGGAGCGAACCCGGGGCTGAGCGCAGCGTGGTGCCAGGGCGATTAAGAGAGAGAAACTCCGATTGGAACAAGGCGGTTGCGGCAGTTGATAGGCTGAGAGGAACAACGCAAGCTTCTTCGTAAGAGAGCCATTCCGGAATCACAGTGACCATATTATCACGGATCACAGTGTAGTGTTGGAACGCACCCTCGGACGAGTTGTTGACGACTGGATCCATGGAGAGGGCGTGAGCAAGAACCCGATCACCAATCTTGATATCAGAGACCATGTCACCAACCTGAACGACCTTACCGGCACAGTCATTTCCGAGCACAAATGGGTGCTTGATCCAGGAGGACATCTTGTTACCCATCAACTGCTTGGCCCAGTCAACGGTGCTGATAGCCACAGCAGCATTCTTGATGACAATTTGATGGGCGGAGGGAGGTGTGTATGGTGCAGGGCCGACCATGAGTATTTGAGGCGATTCGGCAGTAAACCACGCAGCCAGGTTAAAAGGGGCTTGGTTAGAGACAACCTGGTTCAATGCATCCTGGATAGATACAAGCTCATCAGGGGCATCCTGGTCAGAGGCATCCTGGCTCGAGGCATCCTGGCTAGTGGTGCCCTCGTTAGAAGCAGCCTGGTGCAAAGGAGCCGTGTTAGAGACATCCTGGGTAGGGAGAACCTGATCAGAGGCATCCTGGGTAGTAACAACCTGGTCAGAAGCAGCCTGGTTAGCCCGGTTCAAAGACATCGTGGCGATGGGGATAGGAAACGGAAGATGAAGAAACAAGAGAACCAAAGCCAGGTAATCGACACGGGAATAAAGATGAACGCGTCAAATATTGAATACGAAGAAGAGGACAACAAAGAGTCCAGATAGTAAAACGCGTCTGACGCAATAAACAGAGAAAGGGGACAGGAGGTAAGAGCGAAGAGAAAAGAGAAGGAGAAAGAACGACTGTCTCAGGACTGCATTATACGAAGCTATTCACAATTCATAGTGGCTTTGCTACATTGCTGTGCAGCTCAGTGTATTCAGAAGCGTGCATTTCCAGGGGTAAGAGGTACATACATATCTTAGCTCACCAAACTGACCTGAACCCCTTAGACAGGAACGGAAAACATCCAAATTGAAGTGTATAAAAAACGGAGGTTGAGATTGCAAAATTCACACATTGGAATAGATCATGCCACACAAGCCTGTGAGAGATCCGCTAGTATCTGCTGAGCTTTGTCAAAGCTCTCACTGCGTTGCATTCCATCGTTTTCATCGAATGAAAAAAAAGAGATTGAGCGAGCGGTATCTGAAGTTCGTTTTGGAAGATAAGAAAGCCTAGCGGATGCACCCCACCGAGTCAAGTCGAGAATGTATTGAAGATCAGCGGCTTCTCATGACTGCCCATTACCAGTCTTGCGTGCAATGTCCTTTCGTGCAGGGCCATGAGAGGTTTAAGCTCTTCATCGGTAGATAAGTGGCCATTGAAGCGGGCCACTTGCTTCGGAATGCTAGCTCTCATCTTCAAAATAGCTCGGGGTCCAATATAGAGGGACCTTATAGAATTGAGAAATTGAGAGATCGTTAGGACACTAGGAGAAATGAGCCATAGGTTTTGTGTGTGCATACTCACATCGGGCCAGCTGCAAACAAGAGCTTTAGCATCCCAATATCAGAGGAATACGGGGCTAGTCTGAGTGCTTGATCATGAAAATCAAGATTATCGGGCCCGTGGTCATTAATCATGTATGATAAGCAGACGCTAGCAGAGTGGTAGTGAGCATCTGGCAGGCTTCAGTCTCGCTTGTTCTCTAGATGTTCTCTCACCGAGAGGCGTGGGAAACGCCAGATTTCCAGCTGAGAATCCGCTGTGAGAATGTTATTACATAGACAATAACCTTACTCATCAAGCTTATCACTTAATGGTAGCATATCGCCATCCGGACCGACACGGATGGCTGATAGAATTTCCTCGCTTTTCAACGGCATGGTCGTAGTCATTACCCAGCGCAAGGCGCGCTTCACTAAACCCTGGTAGGGCTCTTCTAGGCTTTGGATGTCGGCCCAAACCTCATCATATGCCTTGTGTAGATCTTCTGGGAGGTTATTCAGTCGTTTCCAAACGCTTGACTCGGTTCTGCATTTCATGATTTTTTCAATAAGACACAGTGTTAGAAAACCCACCCACTATGCTCTCTGAACGTGACCTTTGGTATCTCCAGGGCCTCAAGGTTACCAATTGAGATGGCTCAAGCCCAATAAGCTACATGTGAAACGATATCCCTACCCTAATTTGACACAAAGATAACAAGACCCTAGTCACTCTTGTTATTTTTACTCTAGTATAGTCATTCTTTGATGTAGCCAGACACTCTAACTTCATTGGCAACGGTCCTTCTCTGATTTCCTAAGTCATTCAATACTCACATAGCGTTGGACGAGTTCCATGAATTAAAACTGCTTTTTGATGGCGGCTGCTACACGGCATATAATTCGAGGTCGATTTAGAGAGGACATCTCGTTAATTACAGGATCTGGCCGTTGCTCTCCTTATATTGTTCCTTTGTCTTGCTGTCATGACACCCCCACAATTTTGTTGGTTGTTTACAAGTAGATATTACCCAGCAGCCAAGACCCTTGGCAGAATGGTGCGTTATATCGCTTCTTCAAAGAGAATACGCCATCCTAGCTTCGAAGGGGAAAGAGAAATACCTGAATAAAGGCCATTCGGCGTCACATTTGCACTAGGGGTTCCTCGAATGCACCAATTTTCTTTGTTGGTGGTGGCGGAAAGGGTAGTTCGACTTGTTCTTTATAACATGTCAATATGCCGTTCTCGAGGACGAAGGGCTCTGAGTGGCTTTTTAGAGGCTCTCAGACCCTGCACTTTACTGTAAAGAGCATGGATGTGTTTCATATGATTTAATGGATGCATCAATGTATGTTGCCGCTTTGGTGTTGCTCTCAGGTGTGATGCTCGTGGTCATGTTCTTTGGCGATAAATATAAAGCCACGCGTTGTAATTCAAAGAGTTTGATCCTTCAAGCAAATCTACGCAAGATGGGATCCTTCCAGAAGGGCATTTTCCTCGCTCTGTGCGGCATCGGGTTGATTCATGGAGCAGTTGCCTCGTCTACAGCTACGTCTACATATAGCGTTAGTACCTTTTTTCCCAACCTCACTCCTACTCTAAATACTAACCCAAGTAAAGCCTAAGCCGATCGCAACAGGGTACTCCTGTCCTTCCATTCTTGTTGGCACTGAGGATACATGTGACAGCCTAGCGGTCAAGTGTGGTATCTCGGCAGCATCGTTCACTTCCCTCAACCCGAAGATTGCCTGCTCATCTCTGGTCAAGGGAAAACCTGTATGCTGTGCTATAGGGGAGCCTAAATTCCCACCGAAAACATGGGATAATGCGCTGTGCTATAGTTATACTATCCGCGGTGGGGATACCTGCGCGAAGATTGCCGAGGGTTACAAGATCACCACGGCCAATATTGAGACATGGAATACCAATACTACGGCATGGTACGGGTGCAATGATCTACAGGATGGGGGTCAGGTTTGTCTCAGCGAGGGCGAACCCCCAATGCCAGTTGCTATCGGTAATGCTGTCTGTGGTCCCCAAGTGCCTGGAACAGGACGTCCAAAGATGTCGTTCATGATTCCCTCTTTGAATCCATGCCCTGCCGGTCAATGTGTAAGCTTTATCAAGATTCGAGTTCAGTCTCGAAGCCTAAACTAACCATATCTATAGTGCTCCAAAAGGGGTCAATGCGGTACTGGTGCAGACTTTTGTGCTTCAGGTGCACTCGCTGTGCCAGCCTGGTCTGTAAACAAAGATGCCTCTGCGTCTGCAAAAAGGTTGCATCTGAGCCTTCAGCCAAAGATGCATCAGATACATCAGAAGTTAAAGCTGCAAAGGCAAGTGGAACTACATCCGTGAAAGCTTCATCGACAACAAAAGCTTCATCGACAACAAAAGCTTCATCGACAACCAAAGCTATATCGACAACCAAAACTACATCGACAACCAAAGCTACATCGACAACCAAAGCTACATCGACAACCAAAGCTACATCGACAACCAAAGCTACATCGACAACCAAAGCTACATCTAGTGGAACTACAGTATCTTTGGTGGCCAAATCTTTATCGACAAAAAACAAGGATCCACATTTCTTCACGACAGATATACCCTTGATAGATGTACCCTTGACATATTACCACCCATCCACGACCGAGTCGCCATACCCTCTTGTGGGAACCGCAGCTGGCTACCAAGCACTGAAGATGGTGGCTCATCACTTCAGCATACGCCCAAATTCTACAAGCCCCACCACCGCCACCGAGGCCACGACTACTACAACAAGCAGCAGTACTACCAAGGCCACATCTATTGCGACAAGCAATGATACCACCAAAACCAAAAGCCAAGTCACCAAAACCGTCAATGGTGTTGCCACCGTACCCAGCGGGTGGGAGCTGAGGATGTGGGATGGGCCCAATTGCACTGGCAACTATGTTGTTCTCCAAGGTCACAATAAGAGATTGGAGGACAGTGACTGCATGAAGTTCCGCTACAAGAGTGAGCTCAGCACCAAGGTCGACGACGAATCTGTATCGTGTCGTTATTGGATGATACCAAAAAAAGGTAATTGGCAGTGGAAAGATTGTCACGGCACTAATCTGAATAAACCCGAATCGTGGAAGATGTCGAATGGTCTCTGTACTGTCTCTCCTAATACGAACTGTGATCTTGTCAACGACATTTCCCAGACCTATGGCTGGCGGGGACCAGGTAAATGCCAAGATCGCAAGAGTATGGATCCTCCGACGTTTGGATCGTTCAAGTGTTATGTTGGATAGACTGGTTTCTAATTATAGGATGGGGTGTTGGAAAGGATGTTAGACAAGGCAGACTGTAATGAATTTAGGCAGCCGCGCGGCAATACAAAAATCTTAGAGCCTCAAACCTTTAATCTGTCCTCTTTTCTTTCTCGTTTCCTTGTTAAATATCTTTCGGATATCTTGAATTTCTCTCATATCGGAGTCATGGGTCGCCAAGCTGACCCTGCGTCATCGTCGCACTCACTACATTCTCTTGACGACGCCCCTCCTCCATACACCGATGACCCCGAACCCATTCCCGCCCCTTTCCAGTCTGTCCAACCTGTCCAGTCTGTGCAGCCTCCCACAGGCATCCGATCCCTGCGTCTCATCGACTCAGCCTATGTCCTCCCGGGCGGCATAGGTGTCAAACCTCACGATGAGGTCTCTCTTACCCTCGAACCAGCGCTCTCAAGCGACAGCGACGAGCTCTACAATGTCATCCGCCAACAAATAAAGCTGCCGCCACGGCCGCTACTTCACATCCACGGCACTCATAGCGAATCAAGTAATGATTCCAACAAAGAAAACAAGGATAGGAGCAGCACCGTCACAGACTTTCAGTTCAGACTGGATCTGGCCGAGACAATGCTGACCGGCTGGGAGGGTGGATACATGGGCGCGAACTGGCGGGAAATTGAAATCCTCACAGATGAGGACCTCAAACCGGCGTATCGGGGAGGAATCCTCCGCTCGACGGCGTACCAGTCGCCCACGTCGCGTCCTGCTATCAGTCTCGGGGAAGACAGCGATGCCCTCCTAGCCCAAGATAACACAGATGAGGATCATAGCTCTCCAGATGCGAAAAACCTCAGGATGTGGTGCAAGCGTTTCTGTGACGACCCCGCGCCTGTAAAATCGTGTGTTCCGCCCCCTACTTGTGCACAGAATACACTGCTAATCCCGATTTATCCATACAGATTCACTGTGCATCGCAAAGTCGCCGGCTTCGACTCCAACGCTATGCGCAACGTCCTCACCTCCCACATTCGCGAACTCAACTACCGTGGCTCCCTCAGCTTCAGTCTCTCCACTGCCCACCGCTCCGTCACAGTCTACTCCCCGCACTGGATTAATGAGCTCCGCACGAACCGCTTCGTCTGGTGGGCGGTCGTGATTCTCCAGCTTTGGATTATCACCTGGCCGATTATCTTCTTCATGGAGAAGAGGTACGAAGTCGTCCACACGCGCTGGAATGCATCGCTTATACCGGAGTCCGACTCTCCGCTGGCTAAGTGCTACGCGTTTGGTCGTGATGAGTCTCATCTGGCAGAGTATTGGGCTCCGGCTGTTAAGCAGGCGGCGTGGACGCGACGACGGGGTGAAGGTAATCTTTTGACAAGGATGGATGCGGATCGCTTGCAAGGTTATAGTACGCAGCAGCTGCTAGGCCTTCGCACCGCTTCTTCAGATACTGAGCTCGATCGCCGACAGCGGGTGGCTAATGGTGATGCTGGGTTTGTTGATAATATTGTAGGTCTGGTGAGAGGGATTGGAGAGGCTAGGGAGGATTGGAGGCTTTCTGCTGGATGGGGTGCTAACTGTTAATTTGCGGCTTCTCTGATTTTCTTTTGCTTGGGTTGACTGGGTGGCCCGGAGAATGGTGTCTGTCCGAATTTGGACCTCGCTTGTAGTCCTGGAGACAGGTATGGGTGCTTAATCAAGTCATCTACGTAACACGTAACATTCTCCAGGGCTAACAAGATATCTGCCAGTCTTTTGAAGTTTCCTCTTTGCTCATAACGTCCCCCGGCTACTTGATTTAGCTACTTCCACTCATGAATATTACCCTTTATGAGGATCTCAAACTTCTTAAACTTCACCAACCTTTCGTCTCATGTAAAGTATGATTTCCCGCCCCGGTGACCGGATTGGCCTCGAACAGGGCCTACATCTACATGAGTTGGCTATTGATTTCGAATTCTGATACTGGCTCTTCAGACAAGCGCACGCAGGAAAGACTCTCTGATGGATTATTCCTTTCTGATGCCATTGGCGATAGCAATAACGACATCGAAGATCTATGATAAGGTCTACCCTTGACCACCTTGAACACGCGATAATGGCCCAAAGGTAAAGGCCACATCGATATGAACTCTAGAAAATCCAACTCCTTAGCGGAGTCCGACTTCCATGGCCACCGTCGGGCTGTCTGGATGAACTAACACCTTTTGTGTCATTCGCGTCTCAAGTCCATTGTCACAGTCGGCTCTTGGCTGCGAGCTAAACTTAGCCAATCCACAGACACTACTTTGTTTGCATAATGCAATATTCATTCATCATATGCACTAAAGGTCGAGGACGTCGATTTGATCCACATGCTTTGCCTCAGTCCTCTTTGTTCTATTGTTAACTCACTAATTTGGCCCCCTAATTCCCTTGTCCTCCAAGCTTCTATACATACTGATTGTTTAGTCTGTTTCACTAAACATAGATCGAATGCAAGCACTGACTCGACCATGCACTGGCCTCTCTTTGAACGGCCTTCTGTCCAGAACTATATAATGCCTACTAGTCCAGCACCTAGCTAAGCCAGCACAGCATATCAATTCCCAAGTAACAAGATTACAATCCCTCCAGAAACTTCCAAATCCCCGTATATTTCCATTCGGTATCATTGACACCATGGCCGAACCTACATCTTCTCCCTTTAAAAGATTCATGAGACGCTTCCGTGGTGGTAATGGCGGCGCTGGCAGTGGATCCGATCCCCAAAGTCCTTCATCCACCACACCCAAGAAGATGGACCTCAGGGTTCAAGGTCACACCGCTGACGGTGGATCCGATCCCAGAAGGCGTTCATCCACCACACCCAAGAAGGACCTGAAGCGTAAAGATGGCAGCGGTGACGATGACGATTCGGCTCCGGCTGCCAAACGTCCTGCCACTGCGCGATCGAACCTTCAAAGAGCCCGAGATAAACTGCTGTCCAGGGAACCGACGGATCCCGGCCCAGGCACCAAGAAACATCTGCCACTGATCCCCAAGATAAACACGGCTCTCGAATCATCTGGCATCGGGAACATCAATCCGAATAAAGTTAATATTATAGAAGACACTCCAACCGAGGATCAAATCAAAGACTATCGAATCAAAGGAGCTGACTATTTGCACTGGATGACCGTCTCCAGACCAGCAAAACCATGTAAAGTGACCCGGTCCACGCTAACAATGGATGATATACTTAAACCGCGTTCCTCCAGAGGGCCAGAATTCAGGACATCGAAAAGCTTCAAAGCTGCTCCACCGAGGGAACTCAATGACAGTCTCAGAGAGGCAAATCTTCCACAAGTTCCGAGATCGAGGGACTGGCAATTTACACATTTAGAGCGCACTATTGAAAAAGGAGATTCGAGCTACCAGCAATACGTTAGGCCAGGTGCCATCGTTGCTAGCTCGGTTTATAGACATCAAAAGGGACCCCGCTGGACTGACATTATTTTAGCGTTGTACAAACGAGACACTGGAGACACCAACCTCGATCAGCTCAGATATATTTTTTGGACAACAGTGGAAAATGAGCAGACACTCCCCTTGGTTGGGAAGGTTCACCACATGAAAGGCAAACCCCCAGGCGCCACATGTGAGTCATTAAGTCCAACAGTTCACACTTGGGAGAGGAACTCCCCAGAGTTCCTGGAAATCCTAGGATCAGAGCTAGGAAGAGCTACGGCGTGTATTGTATTAGGGGCTTGGCGACCAGGCACGCATCGTATTTTTAGAATCTACACCTGGTTTTCCGGAGGTTCTCTACATATGCGATTCGACATTGAGGCTAAAGAAGGGAGAGAAAATGTGCAGCAAAGAGCAGGTTTGGTTGACCAGCAGGCTGGAAGGGGGAGAAAGGGAGGAAGGAGTTAGGTGGAGAGTAGAGGTCAGTAAGACTGTCTTCACACTGAGTATCCAGTTGGTGCTGCTCTACCGCCTCATATAGTTGATGTTTTGGTCACAACGATACTTTGCTTTCTTTCTATAGATAAAGGCGGGGTATCAATAAATAGAATCCTTTCACGCGAAATCTGCAATAGAGTATGTGTATATAAAGTTGAAATACACAGATCGACGCGTAGCATTAGGGCTATCAATTTATGAGGAACCTACATATGTACCGGATAAGGGGGAGGATCTCCCCGTCGATATAAGCTCGTTTTAGCACCAAAGAGTAGTTATCCGTGGGATTCGTGATTGACTTTAGTTTGTAATAAGCCCAGCAATTCTTAAGCTATACTCTGGCGCCGATAGCTAGGCCTATCAATTTTCCCGCGCACACAATACTCACCTAATAATAAGTGATATAATTTCCAATATACAAAATCCTACCTCTTAGCTATACTATATCTAGTATCCTAACCTTATATTAAAAAACGAATATTGCGAAGTTACCTACCGGTATCCGCCTATACGGGCTAAGTGTATACTTATAAAGGATAAAGGTCCTTTCATTCCTGATACTCAGTCATTTATCTAAGCACGTCATCAAAGTCCCAGGGTCAAAGTGGGGGTGATTCGTAACCGATTCGGTATATATAGTGTCATGGATAAAGCATTCATGCAAATTATTATGGTTTGATATATATATTGGTCCTGGGCATATCAGAGCATGGGCTCTGATACAATGGTCTTTTGGCTGAGCGGGAGAATGTGCGCCCAGGCATATCCTTCACATATAGATATATAGGGTATTAGAGTATAAGAGCTTAGAGATCCTTAGGATCCTATTCTCCCCTATAAGAGTTAATCTTACCACTTTGAGACAAATACACTTTGGATCCCTCTCCTAATAAGAAGCCTTTGTATCTTACCTGGTTGATAGGCCTTATACCTGATAATTATATACTCTTACACTTTTACTACTTTGAAGACTTTAATCACACTACACTAGGCTTATAGACTAATATAGAGCCTAGAGAGAATCTCACTAGTCCTAATATTAGGTAAACTAAGCTTTTGTTAATGACCTTTATATATGGTAGGAACTTAAAAAGAAGTATAAAGTATCTATACTTATTTATTAGCTCTCCATATTGTTCATTCTCTTGTGCATTGTTTCGCACTTCCTTACAACAAGGCCTTCGAGCCCTTGGTCTTAGCTATTTTATCCGTAGAGACCAAAGTAAAATCCCGCAGCTTTTGACCTTCCCTAGAGACTGTGGACTAGTTGTCTGAACGAAATGTCTTCATGTCAGCGCTGTTTGGCGGAAATTTAGTTTAGATCTGTAGGAAGAAGCTCCTGGGAACTTCCTGAAAACATTGGCTGAGATGCAAGCCCGCGAAGAGGCCTCTGTTTTCTATCTTGAGGGGCCGACGATTAACCCAAATGGAATTGGCAGCGATTCTCTAGCCACATTCACATGAATCAAAGCAGCAAGATTAATAATCGTTATCCTGGGCGCCAAGCGAAACCATCTAAGGCAACCTCCCATATTGAAGTTGCCTCAGCCACAATTGCTCTCATAAATCTCACTTCACGCAATTCTAGAAAGCATCAGAAATAGTTCAAGCCATATTACATCTGGAGCCGATCTATCGTGTGCTACACAATGAATGGACCAGCCTCCATCCTCAGGCTACCCCCTGAGCTCCTCGAGATTATTGTATCGATGGTCCGCTATTCAGTGGGCACTCTGAAGGCCCTATCTCAGACCTGTTACTACTTACATGCAATCGTAGCGCCTTTTCTTTACCATTTGGTTGTCATTTGGAGTCCGAAATCCATGAAATACTTTTTGGAGACAGCTGCGAGGTCTCATTACTTGACTTCTCTTATACGAGAGCTACAGATTCATTACCATGATCTCGACGAGGAGACTGACGATTCGCCGGAATATGTTGAGCCTATTCTTCCGAGATTCGTGAATCTGGAGTCATTGATCATCAGATCAAACGATTCTAATTGGGGCAAGCCTAGCAAGTTGCAACTACTGCGCCACCCACAAGAAACACTCCCTACTCTACGATCTAGTGAGTCACATCTATTTTTCTTCATAAGAATCGAAGAGTGTACTGATTAGTATAGTTACCCTCAGCATTGACTATGATTCTGAATGGAAATTTCCAGTCGGGTCATATAGGTCATTACTTCACCACCCTGGTCTAGAAAAAATAACTATCACTGGAGCTGAATTCGAACTGAGATCGCGCGACAAGAGTCCAACATATTTCCGATCAAGCCGCCTTCGAGAGCTTAACTTGTTGAACTGTGATGTCACACCCGAAGACATTCAAGGCATGCTTCATTACCATCATCAACTCAAGCATTTCACTTTGAAGGGCCAAGAAGCAATAGAACCTATACATTGGCGCGTTGGGGAAGATAGTCGACAGTGGTATGTCGATGCTCTCAGGTCCCAGTCTTCATCTTTAGAAAGTCTTGATCTTGACATTCAATACATGGAATGGGAAGAGCCAATGGATCTCAGCAACTTTCCAGCTCTCCAATCCCTCACAACTTCACCAAGAATGCTGATTGGAGACAATGAATGTTTTTGGCTTAAGCCGGCCTCAGCTTTGGAATGGGCGAAGCTTCTTCCGTCAAACTTACAGCATCTCAAGTTCCGCAGTTCATGTGGAGTGTTTCCCATATCGCAGATCTACCAGGCTCTTCGCGAGGGCTACCTCCATCTTCGCTCCTTGACTTGCCAAATAGCTTCAAATATGCTAGAAGACGGCTCACTTTACTACGAAGAGGCAGACCTTAATATTGTTGATCCCGAAGGAATCCCGGTTTTTCGTTCGCCAGATGAGATCATGTCTGATGTTTCTCCAGATGGAGTTCCATACTCGCAGGGATTTTGGGAGCTTGGCACTGAATTCATTGTGACCGAAGTTCCTCGTATAGAGAAGCTGCCAGGGTACGATTCATGTCCGTGTACTTGCTGGATATATAAGCATCGCGTCTCGAATGTGCCTCCAGCGTGGTGAATTTTGAAGAGTGCAGTTCAATATAGGATTGACTGAATGTGCGATACCAAACACGTTATTTACGAGCTATTTATAGCAGCTAGGCGGATTAGAAAAAGCTCAGACAGATGCCCATTCGGCACAAGCATATCTATCCGATTTCGATTTCTATTTGGTGTTATCTGTCCCGCGCATGTCGGCTATGTGCTCGATATCCACTCGGCACGACAGCTGATGAGCCGATTGAACTACGTGCTCCGGCAAGAGAAGCATTGAACCGACCCTGCAAATAGCAGGCATGTGGCACTTTCGGCCTTTAAAGAGCGTACACGAACCTGGTGAAAACTCTCATTTCTTCACAACAATCAAGACCATATGTGAGGGAGGGAGACACAATGTTAATCAAATCAAGTTTTCTAGAGGATCAGACACAATAAGTAGGTCCAAGTTTCCAATTAGAGATCATCAACGTGGCTAGGAAAAAATGATGGCGAGAAGCTTCATACCCTATTTTTTCCAGGATCAAAGACTTTATGGCCTCAGGTGTTACTTTGTGCCTGTGGTATCGCAGGAGATAAGTTATAGAGAACAGCCTATAGACCAACAAGACTTGGGCTTCATAAGTGAGCACACTCATGCGATTGTAGATTCAAAGGAACCAAATTGGCCCACCAAGTTTCTCTTGTGTATGATATTGAAACGATTTTGTATGTTGCTACACCCCGGGCATTCCATTGAATCCGTGTATTTTCCTCTGCCCTCACAGTGTTGAAAAAAGAACACCCTTAAAGATCTGAAACGATTTGCCAAAGATTCACCACTTGATCATTCTCCCAGCCTCGGTAGTTAATGTTTTGTAGAGTTTTTGTCAACAGGACAGAATCGCTGGCAGTGATCGAAGCTTCATTGTCGGACGCAAGCATATGCTCAGCCACTTTTTGGTAAGCAAGCTTGTGGGCACGGTGCTTGATGGTATTTCTCATTTCAAAATATAACCATCTGCGACAGCCCGCAATGAACTTGATTCTCTCAAATGCGGACAACTTGTCCAGGTCGTCCTTGGCATCCCCAGCAGGGCCCCCTCGCGTAAACACCCGCTGTTCAATCTCGCTCGCCACCAACTCATAGTTCTTGTTCTGCACGAGAGTTGCCAACTCAACGGGCCGTATGGGATGCTTTACACCCAACATTTTACCAGTAGTCAAATGCTGGAGCTCGCGTCTCCCCATTAAATAATCTGCAATGTAGTCGGCCAAAGTATTCGTGAGAGACACATACGTATGCACTTTCTCCCCCCTTTGCACAGCCTCTATCTCGGACGTGAATAGAGGCGTGAGAAGCTCACTGAAGACAACACCATCTGAAAACCGAGGTTCGGGATCTGCAGTCTTCATTTTCGGGCTGCGAATCAAGGCCGTCAGCTTCGGTGGGAGCTTCACGAGATGCGTGAAATATTTCGAGCCGTATAGATTGGGGGCTACTGATGCAGCCGAGAGGTGGGCGAAATCATGGAGGTCCCAAAGAGGAGATGCATTTTCTAGCATCAAAATGCTCTCTTTTTCAAAATCCTTTGCTCGAACTGCAATATGGCTTACACCAATTGCTGATATAGCGTTTGGAGGAATGAGTCTGGTCTGGTAGTCCACAGTAAAAGTTGAACTTTTGACCAGACGATGAACACCATAATTAATAGCCCGAATAGCGTTGTTGTTGTCAGAGAGGAAGACATCGATTTCTGCGAAAAGATGAAGGTCCGATTGGACCGTTGGTAGGAACTTTTTCCTGCATTCCGAGCGAGCTGCCATAAATATAACTCCATATTTTTGTACCGAGATTGCTGCTTTCCAAAGCAATTCGTGATCGGAAAAGGAAGAGAGGAGCAAATTGTTGTCCGCTCTCTCCACGAGAAACTTGCATCCTTCCAGAGTATATTGGAACAAAGCGTATTTGATGGCCTCTATATGGGATCGAACTCTTTCGTCATCACACAGGTGAGGATGCGCAGGGAAGTGGCCATCTAACCACCATGTTGAAGAATCATAGGCAGGGGGTAGATCTTCGAAAGGGTGCAGTCCTTCCGAGGAATTACGAGAAACTTGTGGCGGTTTTTCTGAGAGTAGTTGTTCTTTGTTGGAAATTGGCTCAGCCGTTGAAGTCAAGAGATAGTCTTGTAGTATTGTCCGTAATATGGAAGCGATTGAATACATGTTGTAAACAGAGAAACTTGGGATGAAGCTTAGAGATGCTCACTGGATAAGTCTGCTGAGCCCATACTTCGCTAGCACTCTTATAGACCTATATCAGATTGGGGTTCGAAAATTACGGTAACTCTTCTGGCTTGCGAGGATACTAATGTCCAGGCGTCCTGCAAGCATGGGAATTGACTCTACAAGCGTGTTTCAGCGAATCATATCAGATGCATGTCCTTCGTATTCTTTTGGGGTTATATTCTTTGCTTACTTTTCTGCACGTAAGTTTTGTGAAGCTTTTCCCTGACCTTCAATGGCTCAAGTCCACATTCTCCACGGACCTTTGGCCAAATTAGTTGCCCCGTAACGCCTTGTTTCCGCTACGTACTGCTTTTTGTTTTCACGATAATTGATTGGATCAAGGAGAGAGTAGTCAGTACCTTTGCCAGTGGATATAGTCTTGGCTTTTCCTGACTTCCTATCGCTTGAACGCGTCTTGGGACTCTAGTCAGCAAGTTATTTCCCTTTTCGTAGTCCATTTTTGGATTTTCCTTTGGATACGAGAGACTAAAAGTACAAGAGTGAAATGTACACTCAAGCCTTCGAAGTAGAGTGCTGAAGGATGAAAGACCGTAAATGTTCCCACGGAAGGCCTTAGAGAGTCGCCTGAATAACCTATACCTCCATGGCACGGTCATTATTTTGACAATAGCCATTTTAGAAAAGGTCTTTGCTAAATCAATATCTTGTTCCCCTGTAACGTTAGCGTTAAGTTATAGCTTCCAAGGCTTATATATAGTGTTACGTACAAACCATTGCCTTATCTTTTCCACAAACTTCGATCTACTTCAGAACCTTGATCAGCCTACGGAGTACAACGCGAAACGGCATGTCTTCGATTTTGTACTGAGACACACCCAATTGGCTACGTGACCCCTGCGATGTAACCCCACTGACCTTGGACCTTCTCCCTCTGTATCTGTGATCGGCGAGTCAGACTCTGGAAGGTAGTCTCACAGATACTGAGATTATCTTGTCTGTAAGACTCATGATATTGTGCAGTTGAAAGATCACGGTCATACCGTACGCCACTGGAAAAAGTGGGCCATAACTTGACAGTGGCCAATTTAATTAGTCTAGAATTGGCCACATTGCTTTGTGTGGTAAGAGTGGCGATCGTCAGCGGGCCGGGACGCAGGGGCCGCGGAGGGGATGATTGTGGTTAGTCGCTGAAAACCCCAACGAGCTGGGCAAAATTACGGGTTGACAGGTCTCATACTGCATTCATCTAACGTGAGCACATTTCGCACCTCGTAATTTGTTCGTTTTCTACAACCCTTCACGGGTGGGCTGCACACATGGCCTATCTGGAGTCCGTCGGAATCCCGCTGAATGTCTAGCGTTTATCTTTGCCAAGCATAACACGGTCCTTGCTGGTGGCGAGCCGCATCACCCTCAAAGAGGCACACAAAGAATATTGCATGGTCTAGAGCCTTCCAATAAGATTGATCCCGGGGTTATTCGATCCAGTTTTCAGGGCAAGTCGTGTGATCGGGGTGCCCGAAACACCTCTACGCTCGAGATAGCAAACTAGCTAATCTCACCGACCTGATTATACAATGCAATTGGCAAGGCAAAGATGGATTTAAAACCCAGTCACGTGTTAGGGGTCCAACTTGGATATCGTTGAGATCGTAGATTTATCCCTTGGCAAACTATCGTCCATTCGTTTATCTCTCGCTCGTTCCCTGCCTTGTGGCTCTGGGTGTTGTGTCGAAATCGTGGAATTCAGACTTGTCTAAAGGCCAATCATGGCAACAACACTTGTCACAGAGTCGAAAGGCCCGGTGGCGGCCTCGGATAGTGACACCCAAGAGGATACCGCTGAACAGGTGGATGGGGGAATTCGCGCCTGGACCGTCGTCATAGGAGCTTGGTGCTGTCTATTTTGCGCCTTTGGTTGGGTCAATGGTAAGACTGAGTCCTGTATCATACCATGTCTCATGCCGACCGGAGCTAATCTGAGACGCTTGTCTCCACCATTAGCCATTGGGATCTTTCAGGACTATTATCAGAGTAATCAACTACATTCCTACTCGTCATCTAGCATCTCCTGGATCTTATCCCTGGAGCCGTTTGTACTCTTTGCGGCTGGACTTATTATTGGAAGAGTGAATCAACCCCGTCAACTACGCTCAGGATGTGAATGTTGATATTCTTTCTTTCTCTAGGTATTCGACAATTATGGCCCCAAGTGGCTACTTCTGATTGGAACATTTCTTCATGTCTTTGGCCTCATGATGACCTCCATATCCACTGAGTACTATCAATTTTTCCTGGCCCAGGGAATTTGCAGCCCTCTCGGTGCAAGCTTTGTATTCTCGCCAGCGCTCTCTTGTACCGCAACGTGGTTCGAGAAACGGCGTGCCTTAGCTTTTGGTATTGTGTCCAGTGGATCATCACTTGGTGGAGTTATTTTCCCCACCATGTTGTCTCGGCTTTTGCCCACTATCGGGTTTGGATGGTCCCTACGTATCTCTGGATTTATTGTCCTCGCACTATTGCTAATTGCCAACCTAACTATCCGATCAAGAATCGTACCTATCCCTCGGCCAGTTAAGTTGAGTGACTATATAAGTCCGTTTACGGAGGTACCTTTTGTTTTGTTGGTATTAGCATCCTGTTGTGGATTTTTCGCTATGTTTGTACCAATTAATTATATTGTGCTGGAGGCCCAGGAGGATGGTGTGAGCCGCGATATAGCTGGTTACTTATTAACTATCCTTAATGCTGCTAGGTGAGTACTATAGTATTTCCTATATTCTTAGGAAAGGTATGACTGAGCTAACAAAATCGTTACCAAAAGTCTTCCAGGTCGAATTCTACCAGGCTACCTCGGAGACAAATTGGGTCGATTCAACATTATGATCGCTATGTGTTCATTGTCTGCAATTGTGATTCTCGCCCTGTGGCTTCCAGGTACTCTTCTCGCACCGGGGAGTGCGACTATCTACATTGTCTTTAGCACACTTTACGGGTTTGCATCGGGCGCGTTTGTCGGTATGGTGCCTGCCCTACTAGGTCAAATCTCACCCGACGTGACCAAGATTGGTGTACGCCAGGGAGTTTTGTTCACTTGCATCAGTATCGCATCGCTCACCGGAAGCCCTATTGCTGGAGCGATTTTGAGTCAACAAAACGAGATATATTGGGGATTACAGGTATGGGCGGGTGCAATGATGATGGCAAGCGTATTTTTCTTCACTATGGCGAGAGTGGTTCTTGGAGGACTGTCTATCACGAAAAAAGTTTGAAAATAGAGCAGGGGATCTTCTAGTGACCCTTTTACACAAAACTATCACAAAGCCGAGCCATAGTAACATCTAAGTTCGTCAGCCCTTTCGGGTGGTGAGTAGTCCAGCGGATAGAGACAGTGTTGTAAACCTGAAAACATGCATTGGTCAGCATTTCAAACGGCAATTTGACAGGAAAGATATTCAAATCGACACACATTCGTCCATTCAGGATGATGGCGGTGCTTAGCCGCACCGTCTGCGACCTGGTTCATAAAGATCTTCATTTTTCACAGCCGGTTAATGTTACTCCGAATGTGATTGAGAAGCATCACTTACCCATGCCTGCTTGAACCCAGGGAACTGCATCTCCCGTTGAATTCCCATACCATCCTCGCTCAATTCCCAAAATCCACCATTCTCAACGAGCAAAGTCTCAACCCCCGACAAAACACTCTGCACATCCTCTCCTTCGGCAATCATCGGTTTCCTTGTCTTCGTCTCCGTATCCCGGATTCCATAAATCTTATCGCCTATGTCTCCATTCGTATAAGGAACCAAGTACCCTTTTTCGTCACATTTCTCAGCTTTCTTTCCAACAACCACATATTCAACCACCGGGCACTCTGCTACCCTCTTTAATGCCTCAGGGGCTGCATAGCAGCATAATACCACTACTGATCTGGACTGCTGTCCACCCATTTCCCAAAGCTCCTCACAGAGCTTGACAACTGTATCGCCGGTAGCAATGATCGTATCGAGTATCAAAATCTTTCCATCATCTGGCTCCGTTGGAAACGGCCGCCGGCCTAGCCATTCAACCACCACATTCTGGGTGCCTTTTGCCTTGCTGCAGCGCGACAAGATGCATGAGGTAGCAGGGAGACATCGTTGCGCGGCCACGAACATTGGCAAAGCTCCGCGTAGAATTGGGATCATGGTGGTCGCAGATTGGGTAAGGCTTCCGTCGTGGGACTTTGCCACACTCATAATCTCCTCTGTCAAGCCATGAATTGTGTCTTGCATCAGCTTTGGAGAGGAAGATGCAGAGCAGAATGTCGTCATTAGACTCGTGAGTGTTTCATTTTGAGGGAGTTCGATGATCGGAGCTGAGACTGCCATGATGTCCTGTCTTTTGTGAACATACGAAGTTCAGAGTGCATGAGATTGAAAAGTTGGAACTTAGACGATTCTACTCGTATTTGTATGTATGAGAGGCTTAGAGTATGCATACGTGCAACAGTCTTTGGTACTTGACTAGCTTCATGTGGGGGCGGGATCTCATAGTTTTCTTCCACTTTATAATGTCGACTGTTCCTATCTGATCGGTAGAGATAGAGCAAAGACTACGGAGTAGATTACTCGGCAATAATTATTGTACGTATAGTATGACTGATGGAAATTAGTCTTCAAAGTAGCGGTTATCGCTCAAGTAGACTATGAATTCACTGGAAGAAATACCCAGCCGATCGCCCGCTCCAAGATGCCTCGTGCAAATGCAAAAGTCCGAGCCATGCGCTAGCAGGTTTCAAAAAGTTTCGGCATGTTTCTCCGCGGTGGCGTTTGCATTTTCTCGATGTAACCAGATAGCTTAGCTGCATGAGACGTGATTAACCATGTTCACCCTACGCTACTGCACGAGTCCTGACTAGACAGTATTGTAATATGATACGGAAAAAACGAATTATTTTCCAGGTGATTTAGTAGTTAGTCTTACGCTAGACTCTTTTTCTGTCTGCCTTTTTGTAATTGTTATTTTCATGCTCTCTACCCCTCGAGTCTGAACACACCCCCCCTCAAGATGATTTCTCTCGCTGTCTTTGACTTCGACGGCACTCTCTTCGATACACATGAATCAATTTCACAAACCATCAAGCTCACATTCGATGCCCTTTCAACCGACACCCCTCCTCGACCCGAAATCCATCGTCTGATCGCCAGCGGTGCTGGCCTAGGAGACACTTTCCGGGCCTTATATCCCTCGCCGAGTGAATTCGCTGCGGTTGAGAACGAATGGATTGAAAAGTACCGCGCCCTGTATGCGACTCATGGTCAACAGCTTATCAAGGCCTTCCCTGGCGCGAAAGATCTCTTGACTGAGCTCAATGCCCAGAAAGTCCCAATCGCCATTGTCAGCAATAAGGGTGTAGCAGCAGTCAAGACCGCGCTACAGCGGAATGGCCTTGATGGCTACGTGCCCGAAGATTTGATTATTGGAGATAAGACCCCTGGTGCAAAGCGCAAGCCGGATCCTGCTAGCTTTGTTGATATTTTGATCCCTACCTTGCGTGAGAGATACGGGGTGGATGTCAAGGCAGAGGACGTTCTAGTGATTGGTGATACAGTGGCAGATATTCAGTTTGCAACCAACATTGGGAGCACTGTTTGTTGGTGTCGGTATGGGTACGGAGATCGTGAGGCCTGTCAGGAATTGAAGCCACAATTTGTGGTTGATTCTTTGGCAGAGGTCGTTGGAATTATAAAAACCTAAGAATTGGGAATCCATATAGAGTGTCTTTCACCGTCGGTGGGGGGCTTTTGTGATATGTGGTTTGGATGATGACCTACTTCGGTAGGAACTGAACTCATTGCTGTCCGCCAAATAGAAATTCATCGTCCAGGTCGCAGGCCAAGTCCCTCAAGAAATGATCCTCGGGAAGCATTCCGTTAACCCATAGCCTCTGGTCGGCTAAAAAATTATGAATCAAGGGATGGTTCAGAGGGAGGCCTTCACCGAATCCCAGTTCTTGGCTATCCACCACTTCGGATGGCTGTATATCCGGACTTTCGTTGTTCTCGGAGACCACCAGTGAGCGCACCTGTGTGTTACAAGTTTCTTTCAATTTCCCTACACTCACCTTCGTACGCTGCAATCTCTCACAGTAGTCACAGCTAGGTAGATTCCCATCTTCCTTCATAGCCTTCATGGTAGTGAAAGCGTATGAAACAGCGTTTGAAGTGATCACGTTACGATCCATGACAGCGGAGATAATCAGAATAAAGGTTGAAGAAAATAGGTAATGCGCATCAAGATAGCCAAATCATGCAAGAGTGCCCTCAACGAAGCATCTTGACAAAATGGAGTTCGAAGCCCTGGCAGCTCGAACACAGCTTTCTGCCAGGGCAAGAGTTGTGGATAAAAAGCTCCTAGGTGTAGCTTCCATTGTGGCGGAATTGAGGGAGAAGCGAGTTTTGAATAAATAGAGCAGAATAGGTCGAGTGGTTGAAATGACACACTGGTTATAGTGCAGATGAAGACTTGTGACATTGCGAGGCAGATTGGCTTGTCGTAAAACCAGACTCTGGGGCAGTAATCATCCCAATTTTGCAAGCTTAGGAGAACTCGGTGGACTCTTTGTACGAAGTTCTCCTGGCTTCGGTGTGGTAGACAGTATATGTCGCTAACTAGAAAGACAGTTGTCAACTCTGTGTAATCTGTCCGGTGGGCAAGGTTGATCTTACGAATCTGACCTGTGATCCGAGCAAGCTTGACATTTGCAACCAAATGTGCCGGATCTGCGAACTCCTCCTACTCCGTAGCGGTAAGCCCATCATTTGACGGCAATTCCACATCGATTGCGGAGTCAGTTATGAGGAGCGGATATCCTAAAATCGAGCTGCACAGCCTGTCCAAAGTATATAGCGTCCACCAAACACGCCTTCGGTGTTCGCGCTCTATTAGAGGGAATGCGGCTTTAGTCGGCAGACTTCGATGAAGTCCTATCGTCAAAGCCATTCTCATGGCTATACCGATGAAGTTATATACTAGACACTAGGCATTCAATATTAGTAGGAGCACAAAAGTCTGTTTGTATTGGAAATATTGAATTAGGCAACTTACAAAAAGAGTCATTACTTCGACCTGCTCAACTGATGGATCTTTATATCGATCTTGTAATAATCCAGCCGCTTGTAAAAAGTAGTCTGTTCCAGGCACATGTTGATTCACTGTCCTGCGTTTTCGACTTGAGTATATCTCACCCAGTGCCAACAGAGCAAAGTACTTGCACACCTATACAAGGTCGTGTGGCCCTTTCCTTGTGCACACTCAGTCTAGTGTTTCAAAAAAAGACCTTTTCATAACGAGATGAAAGTCGGTTCCTATGAACCGGATCGCAAATTCTACCAGTAAGTGAGATTTGATGCAATCGGGTACGGTCACACCTGGTCGAAGAAGGCGATTGAAGGTTTCGTGTTCGAAGTATGCTGCAGGAGGCACGGCGGCAAGATCCGCATCTTTATCCACGTATTTTAGCACAGTATCTCCAAAAGCAGTACTGGACCCCTCTCCAACATATACTGATAATGAAGCAGAGCCAGCCGCAACAAACCCAGCAGGCGATCCCAGCAAGGGACTTGAAACATCCGTATCGGGGAAAGCTGCTGTTAGTTGGGCTTGATGATTTGAAGCACCGTATATCTCATTGGTAGTCTCAGAGGGTGTGGGAGCTCGCGGTCGCTTTTACTCAACTCTCAGCTCATATAGCTCCCTCTCCGGCTTTTTGATGTATCTAGGGTACGTTGTTCGTAAACGAACCGGACTGTTGGGGGGAATACGTAGTGACCTACGTCTCTGATACCGATGTCTTGCGATCCCTGGCAGGAAATTCGCATCGATCTCGATAATTTGACAAGCAACACGCTTCGCAAGGCTGAGACCCCGAGCATTTGATCTTCTACGATTAACATCTTCGGCAGCTATCAAAGGTATTAGACAAAACAGGGCAAACATAAGACAATCACACGATATATATTCTTCGGTGACGCTTAGTCGATGGTGCTATAGAGAACAAAATAACTAGAGAACAATAGTCAATCGGCGCAACTGGGAATTGGGCTACTTATCTACGGAGAAGAGATAAGCTAAACGTTGAAGTGGAGCTGACCAGAATAGGAAATATATTGTATTGCCTAAACTATTAAACTATCAGTTTATGACAAAGGATGGAAGTCATATCCTATACAGCAAATCATTCTTCTCATAGGGTTAGTAGCAACGCCCGTGAACCTTTCGCTGCCATACGGAAATAAAATATACGTAAATTGTTACTCACCACTCCTAACTACAACATACAGTATCAGAAACATCAGCAAGATCAAGCGTTTTGCAAAGTCTTTTTAGCCAATTCAATCATGACTAGTGGTAGCACATTCCTCCATGTCGTGTTGCTCGCCCCTTATTTTGCGGTCAGTATAAATCATTTTCTTACTTTTAGTTATGGTACTCACTTTTGTGGATTACAGGTCCAAAGCAGTCCCAAATCTCCGACAGGTAAATGCAATAGGAATTCTAAGGCCTCGAACAGCTGAACAACCAGCAGGTAAAAGCCAAGTAGACTTGAAACGAATAATGAAGCTCCAGCCCCCTGGAACCGAGAGTCAGAGTTAGCAGATGTTCTAGGGGATGAGAAAGCTCATTGTTATGGAGTCCAATTACCTTAACACATCTGTCCCGAGTAGCGGCACTTCCTTCACCTAGCAGCCAGTATGCGGATGACAAGAGAAGGAACACGATCGGCAGGGATAGGAAAATGAGCGTATAAACAAGATTTATACGTGTGGCACAAAACATGAAGATCAAAATTAAAACAGCCATAGTTATCAAGGGGCATGCTAGTATCGCCAGTCAGGTTTGTCAAACAGTGCGTAATATCAGGAGGATGGTGTACTCACCATAAGTATTCATAAAGGCAGCGCTGGATGATCCCGCAGCTGTATCGTTAGCTGCCGTGGAATAAAGAGCTTCTCATTCGTTAGTATAATGTATCAGGCCGAGGAGAGTATTGAGGTTACGGGGAGCTACCGGCCACATTAAAAGAGGGAATCATTATAGCTACAAAGGCAAACCAAAATCCTCCTATTAAGCCATTAGAGACAGAACATTATTATTATTTCTTATCGAAATAAGACAGTGACCAATGGTACCAAATACAACGCAAGGAAAGGTATTTCCGAGTATGAATTCCTGTAGATATTAGCACGGGCTCAGATCAGTGATCATACTCAGATCAGTCACGAGTAGGATAATTGATACTTAGTGAGTGCTTATTAGATACTCTCTGAGTACTCAGTGATGCTTAGTGTCTAGTTAATTAGTGAGTAACACTTATACACTTAGCCTACCTTAGACTATACTGAGAAGGGATTAGCCCCTATAGGATCGTTTATACTATGATAGTTAGTTCGTTAATAGTGTTACTACTACCCTTATTTTCCTCAGTGAGCCTGAGCCTGAGCACCCTCATAAAAGCGGCGGCAGTCTAACTAGGAAAGCCCCACCCGTCAGGGAATATCCGGTATGTATAGGCACATACATTTTAGGCTGGGTATAGAATCCCCCCCCTGCGAATCGTCGAAATATATAACCGTGCTAAGCGCCTGACATACCGACCAGGTGTTGGGCTATGGTCATGCTTAAACCAGTTTCTCTTTCAGCACCCTGATTAGATGGTGGTGGGATGGCTCTACACTCTCCTGCTTTGGTTGACGATGTCAGAGCTACAAATGCTGGTAGAGGACATTGGCTACTTCACAAGACAAAAAGAGGCAATGTTACTCTGATCCGCTATCTGAACCGAGGAGACAAGCTCTTACAAGAAGGACGTGGAGCTAGTCATACTAAGTCGAGTTCTAAGAAGGCGTGTTTCTCCAAAGCAATGTAAATGATGTATATTTTGGTTTACTGAAGATAAAAATATGAGCAGTTCAGCTGCGTTTCATTGAACACTGGGCACATATACCAAATACTGCTATACACCAACTAGAAAACATCTCGCCATCCCCCCATTTGCAAAGCCCGATGAATATCACAGGGTGAATAAATAAAGGCCAAAAAAAGATACATGTTAAGGAGAATTTCAAAAAAAGATATGATCAAGCCCCTTCATAAAGGTAAGAGCATTACAGGAGGATGAAAGCGGCGCCGAACACAGTCGACAGAACAGTGACCATGCCGACGGAGGCAGCAGCGAAACCGAACTGGGAAGGCTTGAGGCCAGGGGCAGCACCCTCGGAGCTGGTGCTGGAAGCAGCAGAGCCGCCGCTGGTGGCAGCGGCGACCTCACCAGAGCCCTGGGTAGCATCGCCGGAGGACTTGGTGCCGGCGTTCTGGCTGCCCTTACCCTTGAAACCCTCACCCTTACCGGCACCCTCGGTGAGGTACTTCTTGGCGGGGGCGGGCATGGCGGGGAGGAGAGCATCGGCATCGACGTTCCAGTTGGGCTTGGACTTGACGGGGCAGCCGGAGGCACCACCGGTGGAGTTGTAGCCGCCGTTGCCCTTGGGGTTGGCAGTCTCATCGAAGGAAGCCTTGAGAGCCTTGTAGTCCTTGTTGGGCTTGACATCGTCACCGTCGATCTTGACCAGGCCGTACTTGTTGCCACCCTCGGTATACTCGTAGACCAGACCACCGGAGTAGACGGGGGTCATCTTCTCGGAGTAGAGGGCCTTGACCTCGTTGAACTCACGGGTGTTGGTGTTGCAACCGTACTCGGACAGGAAGAGGGGAAGTCCGTAGCCGGTGAAGTTCTTCACCTTCTGGTCCCAGCCGGAGGTGGTGAAGGAAGAGGGGTCGCACCAGGAGTAGTCGTTGAAGGCGAAGAAGTCGGAGCGCTCGTCGTCGGAACCGCAGTTCATGTACTCGGCCATCTCGAGACGGTTGGTGTTGACATCAGCGGCGGAGTATCCGACGGGGACCTTGCGGAGCTTGCGAGAGCGGAGGAAAGTGCGCATGTCACGGGTGACAGCCTTGACGTAAGGAGCGGCCGCGGAGGATGGGCCATCATCAACGACCTCGTTACCAGAGAAGAAGGCCAGGGTGTTGTCGTACTTGGCGAACTTCTCCATGGTGGCGAAGATGTACTGGAGGTAGACGTCGTTGTAGGACATCTCGGGCTCGTCACGGTTGATGGAGTACTTGGGGGTGTTGACATCGAGGACGAGGTAGATGCCGGCCTCGGCGAGGGCGTTCATGCACTCATCGTGGTCCTTGGAGTTATCGACGGAGTAGACACGGATGGTGTTGAGGCCCAATTCCTTGAAGTTCTTGATGTCACGCTTGCAACCTTCGGTATCAGCGATAGGATCGCTGAGGTCGGAAGAGCCACCGGGCTGGTAGTCGACACCGCGCATGTAGAAACGGTCTTCGCCCTTGAAGAAGGCGTTACCCTTGACAGTGATGGGGGTGATATCACTGTCACGGGCCTTGATAGAGGCACCGAGGACGGTTGAGGCGCCCAGGGTGATGGCCGTGGCCATGGAGGCTACTGTGGCCTTCATAATGTAATAAGTGGGTAAAAAAAGAGCGAAACTTGATATGAACGAGAGTGGGAATAAGAAGCGCTCAGAGCATTAAAAGAGTGAATGACAGACTGAGAAACGAAAGTGAGGTCAGAAAGAATGAAAAGGAAGAGAATAAAAAGGTAAGGGATGAAAGGAGTTATGAGGCCAAGACCCCAAGCGGCAAATGGGCTGTGCTACTGCCAAGGGTCTTCGATGTGCATTGGCTCTCTGCTTTGTCCTGATCAGCAAGGGTCATATTAAACGGTGGATTCTTTTATGTGGAGACGGCCCTGAATCAAGGTCGTTCATAGGTTCGTTTAGATTATTTATTTATTCTCTTTGGATCGTCAGGTCCTGGTTATCCAACATATGATGACGAAGTATACCAATGCATTCCAATTTTATCTCCTATCTGTCTCGTCATGTCCAATGTATAGCCATGTCATTCCTCTGCATAACTACTTCTGGAATATCTCCAATTTCCCACTCTGATATCTCCATGAATCCCTGAGTGGAGCGCCCTAGCTTGGCGATGACGCATCCCCATCTAGGCAAGTCGATCGCACTTCAGGGGACAATACTATAAAGGGTCTAAGGGGTCAAACTATAGGGGGTATAGGTCAAACGCACTCAAATTCTAGGATTCCCAATCAAAGAGTCCAGTCAATCCTTGACCTTTTTATTCGCTAGAACACTTGTCTCGGCGCCACGAAACCCACCTGAGCGCCATGGACACTCATTTTCAAACGGTCTATACATAGACCTGAGACACTGAACTTGCAGACTCGTGCATGGAAATGATCGGTTATATTCCCTCTTACACATGTTTCAAAGCTAAGAAGTACTCCATACATTCTGATATCGTACTCCGTACGGAGATCCTATCAACGCAACTCAAATGATGATCCCTCGACCTCAACGTGGTCCATATTCTAAAGTTCAGGTTGTCTCACTAATTACATCTGTGTATTTTTTTTTTTTGCCATCGGCTAAAACCTCCACAATGTTCATATTGGTTGTACCCCAGACTCGACCACACAGAAAAATCTCCCAAGGCCCCCTGAAAAAAAAAAAAAAAAAAAAGAACAAAAAAAACTCCCGACTATAAATACCCGGCCAAGACAATGATAAATATTATGGTTGCCTATCTCAGCGCTGGCATAGTCCACGGGTTCCATCCCAAATATCCTACAATATACAACCTCATTACACAATTGCGATGGTGAGACAAGCTTGGAAGGTTACTCACAAGAACCCTGAACACAGTCACTGGGTCACTCAGATGCTCAAGTCTCCGACCACGCATGTTTTTCTCTCGCCAAGACCGGCCAAGATACTGCCAAACAGCAAGACGGAACATCACATGTCTAGATTTACATTCGAGCTGTACACCTACCCAATCCATTAAACAGTACGTTTCTTCAATTGATCCGTTCCATGCACCCAATCCAATAACCCCAACGATCCATAATTCAAATTGAACTTTTCATGATGAAGGTCATGCATCTTAGCCTTGTGACAAAAGAAATCGTACCCGCTATGAACCGTGGCCGTATTCACCAGCTCATAAGCCAAGAACACCCAAAAAGTCAAAACGTGACTCCCTAACAACTGTGGCGGCAGAGAGATCGGCAATGTATTAGCGAAGATGTGCTCAATCGGGTGAGCGAATTGAGCAGCCAGCGCAATCGGAGCAGTGAACCGGTGATGTTTCTTGTGGATGCGAATGTAGAGGGCGGGTATATGCAGAATTCGGTGACTGTAGTAGAATAGAGCCTCGCGCATCAACAGGCTGAAGAAGACGTCCCGGAGAATCTCGACTGGTGCTGGTAGGGAGGACTCGATGCGGTATGTTGAATTAATGCCAGCATGGCTGGCTGCAGACAGCAATGTCAGATGAAGGACAGATGAGAGGATCTGGTTCTGTAGCACAACTAGAAAGCAGTCGGCGACCTCGCGACGGTGTGGCTGTTTAGGTGCGGGTTGAATTTTGTGGCGTTGGGAAAAAGAAGGCGCTAGCACATCCAGGAGCATGTAGCATATGGATGGTAGCCAGAAGGTGAGGAATTGGACGAGAAGGGTGCCCACGAACTCGATTTTCTGGGGCGAGTAAGTGGCCACGATGTGAGCCCAGAAGGCCGTGGCTTGAGGGAGGACCTGGTCCAGAATGCTTTTCGGAACCTCCATGGTTACGCATCTAAAGTCTTTGTCCGAGAATTGGCAGGGTCTGGGGTTGATATTAAAGGTGCCTTCACGCTGTGTACCTGCCTCGGTTAGTTCCCCAGACCCTTTCCCCCGCAGTGGGCGCGGATCTGCTCGATGCCATGTGAGAAAGCTTAAACCTCGGGGATCTGTTGCGATCTTCTACTTATTGGACTAGATTAAAGGCGTATGAGAGACCTTGGAAGTTCGTGTGCTATAAAAATGAAATCAGACCAGACGACACGGAGCAGAGATGGGGCGAAGCTGTGAGCGGCCCGAGCGTGGCCCAGTATATGCTAATGCCTAAACACTGCAAGAGGAGAGAAGCCTCTTAAGTTTAGTGCAATTCGCCGCTCAGTCTTTGAAAATGAATTCCAGAGTTCGCATCGCCAGTTTCCGAGACTCCCAGGAGGATCAACCCTTGGTATCTGGGGTACCCATAGAGGTGGCCAACTACCCAGAACACAGCCTGAGTCCTCTGTCCCAGAGCCAGAGCATTCTCCAAATCCCCATCACCATCTTCGGTGTCCAGTATCAAGGAAGAACCCGTACGGCTCACGGCTAAACGTCCAGTATAGGACATCGAGCAGAGAGTGTAGGCCGGTCCCCAACGCTGATCCAGTCGCCTATATTACCCTAGACCACGCAGTGTATTCTCCGCAGGGCGGATCTAGACACATCTCTAACTATCACAGCCAGTCATAAGGCCTGGTATGACATTCCCTCGACAGAGACACGCTTGACTGAGGCGATCTTAACATCTCCGCGAAATTGAGTACTCTAGAGAGCAATTTCTGATATAGTTGGAACAATAAAGTCGTTGTAGGCACTGAACATATCCCGCCTAGACTATTATTACTTAGCCATGGCCCATGGCCCATATAAGTAGTCCGTACTCTTCGCCTGTTCACGTTTGTTGCTCTAACCGAGGTGATCGACGGTAGCAGGATGGGCCCACGCACACGAGCTAAGGATCCCCTGAGAGATCGAGGAAATAGGTTCGGGATCGGCTGCGGTTCCTGATAGGAAACTCAATTGATCTTCCTTTCGGACTTTGGTGGCGTTGGCTTGCCAGGGTAATTCCAGGTTTTGTTGTGGATTCATCCTTTGAGTGATATCATCCGCTTTTATGGGCGAATCTGCACGGATAACTAACCAATTAGGATAGAAGTTGTGCAATGATAATAAGCTATCTCTGTCTTGTGATAGGATTGGATTGATGCTCTGTAGTCCAGTACAACAAGCTTGTCAATATAGGCTTTGTTATTGTCATCACCAACGATTTGGAGCGCCTGATATCCAGACCCATGTGATGGTAGCGTGTGGTATCTGCAGCGTGATAGATTTAGCAAGCTTAGGTCTTTCCTACGACCGTAGAGCGATGCATGTCTCACCTCGTGTGGACTTGCTATAATTGTGGAGAGAACCGGTCTAATGCGGTACGGTGTGGTTCCTGCTACAACCGTCCAGGTAAACTGATGTGGTTTACTTTGTTCGCTCAATTAGAGAGATGGAACATACATAGCTGGTCGCCTGAAGAGTCAAAGGTGTAGGTCTACGACCTTATATAAGGATCTGCTTGATGACGATGTACCTTGTCGGTCGGGTATATATCACGATGACCAGGGTCTTGCCATTGGCCATGGCGTTGCAGACAATTGCCTATTCCATCCCAACAAATGCAGCTATAATTGCAAGATCGACTAGGCCCCTCTCTACCCCACCCGCTCAAACAGGGAACTCAGTATACATGTCAATTCAGACATAGTTCGTCGAGATACAACACCGACCTGGACGAACAATCTCCTCAGATATATAGGATAAGTCAATTGAGTTGGAGTACAATCACGTCCAGCTCGCACAATGGTCTGTCGCTGCGTATCATCGAGAAAAAAGGTACACGCCACCGATAGGCTACTCCGTCCGATGGGGCACTGTAACCCCTGTAAAGTGACAGCTCACACACTGACAGGCCAGGAACCTGCATAGCCAAGTTTTATTCCGAGTTCCCGATTTCGCTAAGAAATACTCCGTAGACTAAAGTAAAATGCTCCGTCCGCTTACATATATCATACAAGGGATACTATCAGGGATTATTAGCTCGATGGTGGAGAGTCGGGGGCTACTTATAAGCCGTGCTGAGGGACCAGGCAAAGTGATTTTGCGAGAACTTCACCAGCCGTAGGGAATTTCTTTGGGATTGACAAGATGGTTGGTTTTTATCAGTGTTTCTTGGTCGTCGCCCTGGGAATTTTAGTCTCGGCAGCAGACTTCTCCCTAGTTGAAACCATCAACTTTTCCCTTGCCAAGCAGTGTAGAAAGCATCGCACTGCTGTGCGGAAGGAATGGTTCGTGTTTCATGGTTTCCTAGAGCCAGTTGATAATTGACATTGCATAGGGGAGAGTTGAAGCGAGCGCAGCGGATCGACTATATTGATGCGGTATTATGTATGCAACGACAGCCTCAGCATCTTCCAAGAGAAGAGTATCCGGGAGTGCAGAATCGGTTTGACGACTTCGTGGCGTATGTTATGGGTTCGTTCTAGATGATGGGGACCGAGTACTCACAGATCGTACAGTACCCATATCAACTACACCCTCAATGTCCACCTGAGTGGTCTGTTCCTGCCGTGGCACCGTCACTTCCTCTGGCTCTGGGAGACAGCCCTGCGAGATGAGTGTGGTTACACTGGACATCTTCCGTAAGTATCATTCACTCCGACCCCGAAACCATAATAACACCAACCCACCTGGGCAGATACTGGAACTGGCCATTATGGTCCGAGAACCTAAAAGCCAGCCCACTCTTCGACTGCAGCGACAGCTCCCTCTCCGGCGACGGTGAATATAACCCTGAAGAAACAAGCATCTCCGGCGGCGCCGTCACCCTACCACGGGGATCAGGTGGTGGCTGTGTACGATGCGGACCGTTCAAAGACATGCAAATCCATATGGGCCCATTTGATCGCAACATCGTCTCATTCGACAAGCTCCCCGCTCCAGGCTTTGACTACAACCCGCGCTGCTTCAACCGAAGTCTAAACAATTTCGTCAGCAGCAACTACGATAACGTGACCATCGTCGACAGACTCCTGGCCGCGACCAATATCTCCGATTTCCAAGTCGTCATGGATTACTGGCCCGCACGGCCGGATGGGGTTTTGGGCGTTCATGGCGGCGGACATTTCAGCCTCGGAGCCACCCTCCAAGACCTATTTACGTCGCCGCAAGATCCGGCTTTCATGCTCCACCACGGTATGATCGATCGGTTGTGGAGTATTTGGCAAGCGAAGGATAAAGATAATCGGTTTGCGCTGAATGGTACGAATAGGCTTTCTAATCCGCCCGATGCGACAATTGTTACGCTTGATATGAAGATGGAGTTTGGTGTGCTTGATCGGTCTCGGTCGGTCGGTGAGGTCATGGATCCGACTAAACACCGGTACTGTTATTCGTATAGTTGAGGTGCCTCGGTTGAGCTCCGAAATCTCGGAAGGATATCCAAGATTATCATAATATTAATGGGGAACCATGGGAGGTTCAGGGGAAGATACCCCCTTTGGAAATTTGTGTAAAAACAAATGATGCCTAATGCATGACAACACGACTACGGAGTCCTATTGTTAGCGCTGAGACCAGGCCAATAATGGTGGAGCACACCTGTTCTTCGTGTCACTGTTTCCTCCAATTGATACTGTATTCCTCCACATGGAGGCTGACAGAAATAGATCTCTGCTAATAGTTCTTCTCGGTATCCAACGTTTGGGCCGATCCGAGACATTTGATAGGGTCTGGCCGTAAAAAAAAATCAGCCACGCCGATAGATTCTCGGGTTTATCTTCGCTAGTGTGAGAAAATCAAGAAATCGAAATGTCCATAAAAAAAAATCAAAAGAGTTGGATAGTTGCCACTTGAGTTCGGTGGTTCCTTCTGTTGATTTTCTTTTACCTTTTTTTTCAATCTCACCTTCACCTCCAGCTCACCTTTGTGACTCTACACATCTTCACATCTTCCCATCTTCACATCTCCTTATCAGTCTATCTTCAGCCTCTCAAAATGCTGCGGATCAGCCTGCTCCAATTGCTTTTTGTCACACTGCTCGCCCTGTCTGCAGTCTTCGCAGCAGGCGTCAAGGAGACACCGCGTGAGTCTCTCCAAGAAGCGCTCGCCGACATCAAGGCAGCCTCGTTCCATGATGCTCTGCATACTCTGTCCACCAAATTCCGTCATGGTATCTTTCCGACTGACCTTCTTGCTGCCGAAGCCCTGCAAAGTGAGCAGCCCGCCATTGCAAGCCTGATCAAGCTTGTCAAGCGTCAGAGCAATGCCACTTCTAGCCCTGAGACATCTCCGGCTCCGGTTCCGTCTGTGACTACTTCCAGCACCGAGTCAGCCACTGAACCATCTACCACACCTGCTGAGACTAGTGAGACCAGCTCGGCCTCTCCCACTGAACCAACTAGCAGCGTTCAGTCAACCGAGACCTCGGCCAGCTCTACTAGATCTACTACCTCTGCATCGGTCCCCAGCGAGACCTCCACGGTCACGAGCCAGACCACTGCGCAGCCCACCACTTCCACTACTCAGTCGACCACTACTCAGTCGACCACTACTTCGTCGTCTGATGCACAGACCACTCACTCGACGACCAGTGTTCCGTCGACTCTGTCAACTACCAAGAGCACTTCGTCCACCTCTAGTCACTCAACTTCTACCCACACCACTGAGCACACCACTGAGCACACTACTGAGCACACTAGCTTGAGCACTTCCACCTTCAAAAGCACCACCACCATGCCCGACGGCACCCTGAGCACCATCACCTCTATCACGGTGATCACCCCAGAGGCAACCGGCAAAGCCACGGGTACCGCTGCTGGCAAGCCTGGTCTGCAGACTAATGCCGCCGCAGTGCCTACTGGCATGGCTCGTGAAGTCGTCGCCATGTTTGGTGGCGCCGTTGTGGTCGCAATGGCTCTGTGATAAATCAGTCTTTCCCTTTATTGCCTGCTTTGCATCTTTATTCATTTTGAACGGCGTTTTCCAGCACATCGCATCGGCTCTGCATCTTCATGACTATCGTCATTGTACTATCATTTCGGATCCGTGACGACCTACTCATGTCTCTCCTTATCTCTCGGGCGTTCGATGGTGGGCATTAGGTTCGCCGTATCTGGCCTTTTTCCGTGGTTTTATCAGCGACTTCGAACATTTACAGCGCACTGCACACGCTCAGCTTTCATGTGATTACTTTTAGTCCATGTTCAATCTTCGCTTTGAAGACAATCAAAAATTGTGCTCATTATTAGATTCATCAGCTCATTGGATACATAATTGATTCGTAAAGTAGATTCAAGGTATGCAAGATGATCGGAATGCCATAGTTGTGCTCACTTATTAAATTCATTGGCTCATTAACTGTAAATATTCATTGACTCGTATATAGAGTGAATGCTGGGTATCCAAGATGAACGGGCTATGCAGAGCGATATGGTGTGTCTGTGGGCGTATGTGTGGTACAGCATCGAACAAAAGTGCCAAATGTCTTAGCTGGTTCTGAGAAACGATCATCACCGTCCAACATTCCGACCTTCCTCCCACCGCTCCTCTTCGGTCCAGTACCGGACAATACTCTCCCAAGCAACCAAATCCCCATTGCGCAGAAGAACCGCGAGATCAGGATTCAGCGGTGAATCCGGATTCGGATCCGTCAACAGCTGTTGAATAGTCGTGAGTGTGCCCGAGAGGCCCCCAGACCCAGCCGGACTCCATTCTGAATCCAAGAGCGACAAGCAAATCTTGCCCGTCTGGAACTCGACATTCGGATGCGCAATCTTAGTCGTGAAGCGGATCTTGGGTGGTGCATGAGGATAATTAGGGGGAATTGCAATATCAAGGTGCCAAAGTCCACCTGTTGACACGTTAGATCGACTGGAATGGGCTTGACAGGGGGTTGGAATTGATGAACCTACCCTCGTACGGTGTTCCTTCGGGGCCCTTTAATACCGCTTCCCAGTGTAGCAGGTCCTCATCATTGATGGGTCTTAAGTACAGGAGTGCTTCATTCCCCTGCTTCCTGTAATTATTCAGCTCCTTCACAAGCCGCTTTGTTGTGTCAATAGATGATGATTGGAACTCCATTTGAAATGTGATAGATATATCAACAGTGTAGAATTAGATACGTAGAAGTGCCTCACGGGGTTGGGAAAGTCGGTCGGGACTGCGATCGCCGAGGTTGGGGAAGTTCTGCCCGGCCCACCCATGGATCGACCGTCCAAGGATTCTCACGTGAAATTGCCTCTGATTTCCTAGCAGAGTCATTGTTCTTCTTCGGCTCGATCACTGTTAACTCGATGCGGACTTCTCGTACTTCCAGGGACACCGCGAAGGTGCTGCAGGCCCTCTCGCCCCCTATCCGACGACGAACGCGCAACTCCCATGCGAGCGCGTTGAAAAGTTTCGCCTACAACTCAAATGCGAATGCGACTCCGATTGTCAAGACAGAGCCAGAAAATGTATCGGTAAAAGCCAGTTTGTCTGCCGTCAGAAGCGACGATGAATCCTCTCTCTCCGAAGCCGACACGGCGGATATCGAAGACCTCCTTGAACCGCCACCGAAGCGCCGAAAACGCAGCGCAAGCCTTGTAAACACACGAGTCCTCAAGCAGAGTGCAAGCCCTCGGACACCACGAAAAGTCATAATTAAGGAGGATCCCGACGAGAAATCCACCCCGGCACCCAAACAGCGACGGCTTCCTGCCCGCAAAACCCGCGATATCGACGGCTCAGTCAAGGTCGAGCCCCCATCAAACTGGGAGGAGATGTACGAAATCGTGAAAAAGATGAGGGCAGCGAACCCGACTGCACCGGTAGACACAATGGGCTGCTCGGAACTATACTGGCGTGCGTCATCGCCAGTTGACCGTCGCTTCCAAACACTTATCGCATTGATGCTCTCATCCCAGACGAAAGACACAGTCACGGCAGTAGCGATGCAACGCCTTCACACGGAGCTGGGGTCCAGCACCGCAACTCAAGACATGAGGATCAAACAAGAAGACGCCCAAGATATGAAAATCAAGCATGAAGACGACGATTCCAAACCCATCGACAGCACCCTCAACTTAACCAACATTCTAGCCGTGGACCCAACACGACTAAACGAACTAATCCGTACAGTCGGCTTTCACAACAACAAAACAAAATACATCAAAGCAACCGCGCTGATCCTGCGAGACCAGTATGACGGCGATATCCCCTCCACCCCAGAGGAACTTATGGCACTTCCGGGTGTCGGGCCTAAAATGGCCTACCTGTGTCTGAGTGCCGCATGGGGTAAACACCTTGGGATCGGTGTCGATGTGCATGTCCATCGTATTACCAATCTCTGGGGTTGGAATAAGACCAAGACGCCCGAAGAAACGAGGAAGGCGCTGCAATCGTGGTTGCCGCGTGAGAAATGGCATGAGATTAACAAGTTGCTTGTTGGGCTTGGGCAGACGGTTTGCTCACCCGTCAAACGTCGCTGTGGGGATTGTGATCTGGCTGGCACGCGGCTTTGTAAAAGTGAGATTCGGGGGCTTGAGCCTACGGTCGTGAAGGTTAAGAGAAGTCCTGATATTGATGAGCCCAAGGTCAAGATTGAGGCTGTTTGATTCGGACTTGGCTGCTTGTGATTTACTGGCTTAATTTATACTGTCTATTCTTCTTTGGGTAGAAGAGCGTGGCGCTAGCCTATATACCTGACATGACTTTCTTATAAGGATCTGGTATAATCATCCGTCATCGAAGAAACCCAGTCTCAGCTATGGCTTTGAAACAAGTATATCGCATGGCGCACGATCTAAGCAGCGCTAATTGTCTTCTGATGCAACCTTCCCAAGACTCCCTCTAGGGGTTGTTGAGAAGATTGTGGCCACTTTGGCGGCCGTGTCTCGTTTTTCATTGGTGCTGTTGGCCTCCAGACACATCTCGGCGATTCGCTGTCGCCTATCACATATCTCAATAGCCAAAAGACGAATTAGATGTGATCATTCACCAACTTGGGGACCTAGGATCGCGCTGGACATGGACCTAACCTCGTCTTATCCGACTTGAAGAGCTATATGGCCTGCGAAAGGTATCGACAGAGGTGGTCGCTATCTTTAGCGGATGCCTCATAGACAATGCCACAAGGCCGTTTCAGCGGCCCTCTACTTTTATACTACTCCGTACTTAAATTTGCTGCTCAAAGTTGATGTTTACTTTTTTACATCAAACCTATGGACCATATTCATGGGCTTTATATCCTTGTAGATACTCTCGATACATTGCTCATATGTACCGCTCTGCAAAGCCCACAAGGCCTATAACCCAACCCAACCCGCGAATGGGCTGGGCTGTGGGCCCGGGGTGAAAACCCCCTGGGCCTTGATAGGGGCCCCATTAGGGCCCAAAAAGCACCGAACAAAACAAAATTCCGAAAATCGTGACTTTTTTTACTACTGTATATATAGACCTCATTCCTAACCTTTATCTAACGGTAATGTCCTATCATTCCCAGTACTATATAGTAAACTGATACCTAAATATATGGCACATGTTTAAAAGCGCTTGAAAACGCGAGAAAACGCGAGAAAACGCGCTATCTAGAGTATCTTGGAGACCACCGAGAAAGTAGTAATAGTAGTACTCCCGCATACATCTAAGATATATAGTTTCTTTTTTTTTTTTGATATTTTCGCGAAATCTTGGCCTTCACTTAACCGGCAGAACCTGGGGTGCTAACACTTTTATGCAGTGACTATAGGTATACAGCCAATAAGATCATCCCGATCTCGGACATAAGTGACTGAAGCTTCTTTATCGCCGGTCCCTCGAAAGCTCAACAACTCGTACAAGTCGTCATTCAGCACCCAAAACGCAATATCTTCAAAAAAATCTACGGGAGCATACATCCTTTCTTCAAAGATCCCAACCTAAACTCCACACAAAATACGCCCAAAGTCCATGTCTAAAATGCCCCCTCCAACTCCAATCCCAATCCCCCTCTTCGCCTCAACCCAACTCAACCTCCTCCACGAAGAACACGCCGCCGAAGTATCCTCCTCAAAACTCGCCAGCACAGCCGCAACAGTCTCCCCCTCAACCCGCCGAACCCTCCAAGCAACTGGCTACGCCCTAACAGGTCTGATCCTCTCACAATGCCGAACCGGTCTCGGCGGACGCGTCGTCGGCGAATTCGCACCGGATCCAGCAGTCACATCAGACGAGTTCAGGTCTGAAGATGGGACGCCGCGCTTTGGATCACATGGGCTTCGCGTCGGGGATGTTGTGCGTGTCAGTGATGTTGCGGGGACAGGGAAGAAGGTTGGCGGGAAAGATAAGGAGAAGGATAAAGATGCGGAGAAGGGCGGTCCTGAGGGTGTTATTACACGGACGGGTGATCGGGCTGTGTGGATTGCGTTTGGGAGACCGGGTGGTGGGGGGATGTCTAAGGAAGATGATGAGGGCGTTGAGGAGCTTTGGGGGAAGAAGCTGTGGGCCATCAAGCTCGCTAATGATGTTACGTATAGAAGGTACCTTGATTGGACTGGGTTGAATACTGGGTGGCTTGCTGACTTTGGGCTAGAATGAGGCAGACTATGGAGAAGATGGAGAAGATGACGGAGACTGATTATTCGCATTTCATGCGTGTCGCGTTCGGGCATACGACGCCGCTACAGCTGGATACTGAGGCGTGTGAATCTGTGGAATTTATGGATCCCACCCTCAATGATTCGCAGAAGGATGCTATTCGGTTTGCGCTGGCGTCGCGGGATATTGCGTTGATTCATGGTCCGCCTGGGACGGGAAAGACACATACGCTTATTGAATTGATTCTGCAATTCGTTAAGCGGAAAAAGCGTGTTCTCGTCTGCGGACCGTCTAACGTTTCTGTTGATAATATTGTGGAACGTTTGGCGCCCAAGAAGGTTCCCGTTGTGCGTATCGGTCATCCGGCTCGTCTGCTTCCTTCTGTTCTTGAACATTCTCTTGAAGTTCTTACGCAGACCTCTGATGCTGGGGGTATTGTGAAGGATATTCGCAAGGAGATGGATGAGAAACAGGCCAGTATTCGCAAGACCCGGTCTGGTCGCGAACGTCGAGGTATCTATGATGAGTTGAAGCTACTTCGGAAAGAGTTCCGACAGCGCGAGTCTAAATGCGTGGATAACTTGGTGCGCGAGAGTAGTGTGGTGTTGGCTACTCTTCACGGAGCTGGAGGTCACCAACTGAAGAACCAGAAGTTTGATGTTGTCATAATCGACGAGGCGAGTCAAGCCCTCGAAGCGCAATGTTGGATTTCTCTTCTGGGTGCAGAGAAGGTGGTCCTTGCCGGTGATCATCTGCAATTACCACCGACTGTCAAATCCACTGGGCAGAAGACCAAGGATGAAGCTTCTGAAGGAAAGGGAGAAAAGAGCGACGTCGAGACATTGAAGGGTGTCTCTCTTGAGCGCACATTGTTCGATCGATTATTAGCCCTCCACGGACCGGGTATCAAGCGCATGTTGACCACCCAATATCGTATGCATGAGACCATCATGCGATTCCCCTCTGACGAACTCTATGAGGGAAAGTTGATAGCCAGCGACGCGGTGAAGTCCCGTCTACTCATCGACCTACCGTACGAAGTTGAGGGTACCGACGACACACAGGAACCCCTGGTTTTCTGGGACACGCAAGGTGGGGATTTTCCCGAAAAGGCGGAGGATGAGATCGGCAAAAGGGGAGCCTTGCTTGGAGACAGCAAAAGCAACGAGATGGAAGCCATGGTCGTTGCGAGACACGTGGATAATTTGATTGATGCGGGTGTGAGGCCCGAGAGTATTGCCGTGATCACCCCTTACAACGGGCAATTGGCTCTATTGTCACGGATGCTTCGAGAAAAATACCCTGGACTTGAACTAGGCAGCGTGGATGGATTCCAGGGTCGTGAGAAAGAAGCCGTTGTGGTGAGCCTGGTGCGCAGCAATGCAGAACATGAAGTGGGTTTCCTGGGCGAGAAACGACGATTAAATGGTATGCTTATTTCCCCTTTGTTTCTTCTTTTTCTTCTCCCTTTCTTTTTTCTCCTTTCTTTTTTCTGTTGTTCTTGCAGACTGCATAGGCGTTGTACCTGCAGCGAATTCGACAGGTCGCTAATGATGCATGTAGTCGCCATGACGCGCCCCAAGCGACATTTATGTCTTTGTGGCGACTCAGAGACGATCAGTCAGTAAGTGATGTCGAATGCACCATTGGGTTTGAGCGGCGCTAATCTTTTTTTTTTTTTAACAGTGGGAGTGACTTCCTCAAGCACTGGATGGATTTTCTTGAAGAAAATGCCGACCTACGATACCCCGATGCTGGAGATTTGTTATAGAGATGACACCTCACAGATGGAGAAGTGTAGTTCCAGAACGATTTCGGTGTCCACTTGGGATGCGTGGATTAAATTTAGACCTAGTACATCGTACAGGGGTCTTCAATACTTTCCGTCTCCGAAACCCTTGCGCGGGACAGGGATAAGGAAGATAAGATATGAAACATCGTAAGACGATCTTTTTTACGCGGAGGTTTCTCCGAACAGAAATGGAGAAATGGGAGAATCTTCCCATCCTACATGACTGGAGATCTTTGGAACAGGGCCTAGCTACGTGGACAGCTACGTGGGCCAACTGAACCCCGAACTTCTGAAACAAGTTGGGTAGAAAGTAGGTGAATCTCACCATGTGGTGAAGCACCAAGGTGAAGCATCTAATAGGCTAATAGGCCAAAAGAAGAGAGCAATAGAGCAATAGATGCATCTATATCCGAATATAAGAATCCGACGTCCACTCACGAATTCGGTGAAGAACCTAAGGTGGGGATCCTTAGCTCCCCTAATCTCTCCAACTTCTCCTTTCTTTCTCCTTTTCTCTTAAACAAACGGGGAGCCATTATGCTCCCGACACTGTACGTTTTGTTTGTAACGCTTGGTTCTTCAGCTAACATTTGATAGCTTTAGTCTCAAATTCCAGCCTTGATTCGAATTTGGAATTTACATTTGATACCCTTGACACGATATTTATTTCCCGACACTCGCTCACATCTTTTTGTTATACTGCGATATACCCATATTCTTTTTGTAATGATCAAACTCGATATCTTACCTTACATGTTCACTATTTCTCGATTGCGATCCATACATCACAGCCATGCCGAAACACCCCACACGATCCATAACCAGCGCCGGCAGCGAGTCCATTCGAAGTATACAGCGATCCTCTCCCCGGGGAGAGCGCTCCGCCTCGAACCCTGCATCGTACATGGGAGATAATGATGACACTGCGCTACCGTCAATGGAATTTCATTCGCACATCCAGCCTATGTCCCATCGCAGAACAGGGAGCACCTTGAAAACGGTGATGCGCAAGATCTTCAACCGCAAAAGACAAAGTCAGGCCGATGAACTGGAAGAGAACCCCCACGAATCGACTTTTGCGATGCCACCGATGAGGAAACCAGGGCAATTAAGAAAACCATTGCCCGGCGTTCCGCCGCCTTTGAACTTAAGTTCACATCGGAGTAGTCCACTCTCGGCCCAGAACCTCCTGATTGCAGAAACGCATCTCTCTCCGTTATCTCCTCTATCCTCTGCCACCTTGCGTGATTCAATGCCCGGTAGCATGCAGCCACGCCGAAGACGGGCAACTCTTCCTAGCGTGGTTTTTTCAGATGATGAATCTCGCTTTGCCGTGGCGTCGACGGCAATATCGGACCCGCAAGAGGATAGGAGCCATGTGCCAGAGCGAAGACACAGCTTGCTATCTCACCGGCTATCAATGAGCACAGAGGTCTTGCGCGAAATGACGGATCACCTGCCCGAGACCCTGCCGCCCTGGCCACAACGTACATCATCCGCCCCCGGCCCAGTCTCCATTTCTCGCTCGCAGTCTCCCCCATTAGATGAAAGCTCTATTAGTGGGCAATCAGGGAGGCCCTCATCGGGCACAACAGTGACCAGTGTGACCCGAATGTCCGCCGCACCATCTTTGATGGAAGTCGACCAGCACGCAGAACAAGCCAGCCTCCCGCCGAACGTCGCAAGTCTAGTCAACACAATGCAGCAAGATGACAACGTCACCCTGGAACAGCGGTTGACCACGCTAGAAGTGAAACTAATTGACCTGGAATTTGCCATTGCCCGAATGCAAACCAACGCGCCCGAACCCACCGAAAAGCCATCGCGCCCACGACACCCCCCCTCAACAGACTCCTTTCCCCCTCACATGCGTAACAAACCCACCGCATTCCTATCGACAAGCGACCGCGATGACTCCCCAAGCCCCCTCCCAACCATCTCCACCCGCCCCTCCAGCACGAGCACAATCCGCCAAGACTCAATGAACCGCACTCTCCGCCCTGCCCCATCAGCATCATCCCTGTCAGACTACCACGGCGTTTCAATCGAGCAATACAGCACGCTAGTCACGCTGCTGCGCCGTGAACAAACAGCCCGCAGAAACCTAGAGACACAAGTCGGTAGTCTACGCGATGACATCCGTGACCTGCAGCGCGCAGCTCTCGAATCCATGCAGTCAAACATGGACACGATGCAGCCCGCCCATGCCACGGAGTCGCGGCAGTTCCTGCGCTTCCGTCGCGCGCTAGATGACTCCGATAATTCTCCGGTGCTCAGATCGGATGATAAGTACACTGGCACTGCAGACACAGACTCCGATTTGGATCGGGATGTCCATTCCCGCGATGATCCATTCGGCCCATCAAAGTGGGAGCGCCAGCGGGTTACAACTGTCCCTATGATTTGATATTCATGTTGCAATAGATGCAACTTCTCCATTTTTCTAGCGGTTTTCAACTTTTTTATTATACATTCTGCACAGCCTGAACAGATATGATGTACTTCAGCCTTGTCGATTCTCATTCTTTTGCACATGCCAATGCGCCATTTCGGAGCCCCAGGGGCATCCCCGCGACAGGATCGCGACTTTGACCGAGGTCACCGCGCCGAGCGACGTGTCTAGTACATGTCCGCTCTCTCGTCTCTTGGTATGGGGACAGACACGACAGATTTGAGTTGCACACGCAACACGATTTGTGACGATTGGCGCTATCTTGTGCCCTTCCAGGTTTAATGTCAATATATACTTATCCATTCAAGACGACCTATTTAGAAAGCGTCCATATCAATATACACATCCACACCATACAATATACACCACCCATCCATGTCCTCGGCTAATCACCGCGCTAATAATTTAGATCCGACGCAGATCAGTGCCACAAACTATCTGACAGCCCACTTTCCTGGCGCCTGCCCAATCCCCAATCTTCCATTCCAAAAGCCTCGTATTCAAAAGGTTTGTACCCCTCTATCTGACTCCCCGACGTCGGACATACAGTCATGGGTTACATACTACCTGTGGCGGTACATTGTACATCCAGCCTTATCGATATTATACATGACCCGATAAACATAATTGAATTCAAGAAACCTATTTAACCCCCAATAACCAACTTCCAATCCCTATCCTATCGCAACTTCCTAACCAAAACCAAAATGTCCACTCAACCACCCACAATAACAATCATCGGCGGCGGAATAGGCGGCCTAACTCTAGCAGCCGGCCTCCATCTCCGCAAAATCCCCATTCAACTCTATGAAGCAGCCTCAACTTTCAAAGAAATAGGTCTAGGAATCTCCCTAGGGCCAGCAGCTTATCGCGCAATGCCCCTAATTCACCCCCAAATCCAACAAATCTACGACTCCCTCATAACAACCCACGCAGACAGTCCCGGCTATGAAAACTACCTCCAAACCTGGTTCGAGATTGTTTGGGCAACAGGTACCCAAGAAGGCGATACACTAATGAATCTCAAAGCCCTACCATCCGGTCAAACGGCGCTCCGAAGAGCGGATTTCCTAAATGCGCTTGTCGAGCTCGTTCCAGCTGAATGCGTGCATTTCGGGAAGAGATTAAGAACCCTCGTTGAGAATGATGATGGGGTTGTACTGGAATTCGAGGACGGGGAAGTTATCAATGCTGACGTTGTTATTGGGTGTGATGGCATTCGGTCCAGGGTGAAGGAGTGCATGATTCCCGTTGAATCGTTAAAGACGAGACCGGTATATAGTGGGATGTATGGGTATCGGGCTGTTTTGGAGATGGAGGAGATGATTGCCGCTGTTGGGGAGAAGAGGGCTAGAGTGGCGACGATTTATGTTGGAAGGGGCTGTTATGCGATTTCGTATCCGATTATGAGGGCTAGGTTGGTTAATGTGGGGATTTATGTGTTGAGTGATCGGGAATGGGAATATGATTCTTGGGTTAGGCCGGCGAGGAGGGAGGATATGGAGCGCGATACGAGGGATATGGGGCGATATGTGAAGTCTCTTGTTGAGGTATCTATGTTTTTGTTGCGTTTTGTCTATGGGAGTTTACATTGCTTACCAATGTTCTTAGCATATGCCCGACCCATCCCAGTGGGCTATCTTCGAGCATCCGCATATCTCGACATATGCTCAGTCAAGGGTTGCGATTATGGGTGATGCTGCGCATGCTTCTACGCCGCATCAAGGTGCTGGCGCTGGTCAGGCTATTGAAGACGCACATGTCCTTGCGGAGTTGCTGAGTGATTCCCGTGTCGGCTCTGTTGACGGCGTTGTTGCGGCTTTTAAGGCATATGATGATATTCGTCGACCTAGGAGTCAGAGGGTTGTTACGAGCAGCAAGGAAAATGCTGATATTCTTTGTCTTTGTTTCGATGGGGTTTGGGATGATCCGATCAAGCTGAAGGACACGCTTGATCAGCGATTGAGGTGGCTTTGGGATTTGGATGTACAAGATCAGGTTGAGCGTGCGAGGGAGAAAATGGTGGAGTATTTGGAGATACCAGGGACGGTTAAGGATTGATTATAGCGTCATAATGGAACATTTATCTGGATGCAATGTTTGAGTATATGGCAACTTGGCAACTGTTTAAGACGATTCTAATGAGGTCGGCAGAGTTGTTTTCTGTATGCGGAGTAGTTTCCTGATATTTGAGACAGGCCATGTGTTGGGCTCCAGCGACAGACGATATTCATTCGGCGAAGGAAATATCACGTCGCAATTGCAATTGACATTGACGTGTTACGAAGCAAGGGATCTTTTCAACTTTGGCTCGGAGAGGCGGCGTGTGTACGAGATTCTTCCGGAAGTCGTGGGTTCAATTGAGCCCTGGGTTGATGATAGAGGAAGGATTCCGCAGGCTGCTAGAGGGAACCTTGATGGTTTTCGTTCTAGGTTCAAGGTTCAAAACGCGACTTGCTAAAGCGAAACAAGAAGACCCAGAGGTTTGGCGCGAGGACCGAGATGCACACATTGACAGTCGAGCGATAGGATTACAAAACTACATCACGGAGACGTATTTCGTTTTGGCGGACGAGGCTTTCCGGTGTGGAAGGCTGCAGGTGCTTTATTTAGATGGATTACGAAACATCGTTCGGGAAGGTCGAATCGATGCCGAGATGGATGATATCTTTAATATCATCGGTACTTGGATGGAAACGAGCGAATTCCTTGAAGGCTCTACTGTTGGGGAGAAGTATCGAGTCAGTGCATAGTTGGGAAGGGAACTGTATCGATCCACGGAGGAGGACGTTGCAGATCCTAATCAATAGACAAAATACGGCTCGCACTCCCCTAGGTCCATTTGCATAGACGTATTCCCATCTAGAAAGAACAATGCTTCAATAAGCAGTACCATAGAACTGCCAAAGAACGAGATCAGTGTAGTTTTGTATTGGAATACATCATCTTATGAAAGCTATCTACCTCACATTGATATCTAGAATGAGGATTGAAGATAAAGATTTATTGAAATAAAGCAGGCCCAGGTGTAGAAGCAAAATCTCTTCAGTATATCACCAGCCCAAAACCCATAATTCTATACCTTTCTAATCACCATGAACTTACTGGCAGGCCAAATCAACGCTGATAAGAAGATGACTGAATGTGCAAACTGCACCAATGGTGCCCAGAGCAATGCCAAGATAATGTGCAAGCTCAAGGCACCCAGAGAAAAATTACCACAGTGCAAATCCTGAAGCACACTGCCAACGATAATGCCATGCATGTCCACGGCAATATTGCACAGAGTCCACACAAAGAACCAATGGGAAACTGTGATATGCCACCCGCTGATGAATGTGTATACATTCCTAGTCACGGTCAATATTTGTGTCAGAACCTGCACGATTCCTCCAACCACTTACAAACTTCCGTAAGCCAACGGCCCCATCATCGGAATTGCGAGAACCAACTTGACCAACCAGCTATCTATAGACATGATCCCAGTGTACCACCTCCTACGCTGTTGAATCAAGTCTGAAACACTGACTGGGGGGCTGCTCTCGGGCGATTGCATGAATCCAGCCAAATTTGACTTGTTGACGTGCTGCCTATTGGTCGAATATGTCGAATTAGCAATCGATTTTTGAGAGACTCAGGTTACATACGTGGAAAGCAAACCAAAAGTCTTCGGCAAGACACCCAGTGTCCCAAGTGACCTTGTTCTCTACTGCACCGTTAGTCAATATAAATGATCCATGCATCCAGCCAAGTAATGGACGTTTGAAAAGTCGAACTGGAAGTTGAAACCGGCCAAAGTCCTCTGCGACTCTGAAGATCTCAGCAGTGGTCAAGAATGAGTTTTTCCAATAATTATGCGATGTGTAATATATTGTTCCCTATGGAGACTTTAGTACTGTGCAAGATATTGATGCACGCGGAATACTGACCATACCAACATCCTCTGTTCCTCGCTCAATGAAGTCAAAGCACGCTTTCATCAGGTACTTATCAATCTCAGTTTCTTCGTCGAGATGAAGTACCCAATCAAGCTCAGACAGTTTCCAGTGCAGACGGCACCATTCCAACGCTCTTCCTTTATATCTGGCATTGGCCGGTTGAAATGAGGCTGGTACACTCACTACATTGACGAAATTAGGAAGTACGGGCTTGATGTCATCGGTAGAATCTAGCACCACGTGGAAAGTGACGTTCTGGTATTGTCGGCAATCTTGCCACGGTCTCGTAGAATTGACCACGGTCTGTCACTAATGCATGAGCTTTGTTGTAGTAAAGGGGTTCGGAGAGGAATGGTAGCTTACCTGCATATTTGTGCCCTTCGTAACTAAGCAGATTTTGAGTTCGCGGAAAGAACGTCCCTTGCCTGCCTTGTTATATGCGAACGGCCGCATCGGCAGACACATTCCCCATAATATCGAGTATGGTGGAAGCTGTCCTAGCAGAAACGGAGCGTAGACAATGGCTAGAATGGTGCAGTCTGGGGTCCATAGTACCCCTGGCTCCACAAACATGTCGTATATACCAGTCCAACTACTTATGCGGTACAATACTACACTGTTCAGGTACATGGTTTGGACAACTTGCTTATGATGAAACACGTACCAATGAAGCAGATGGTGGCTGTTATGGGAAAGATTGCCCAATTGTAATTTAGGCGTTCGTAGAATCTTTTTGTATGTTTCTCGGAAGGACTAATGCCTCTAAAGTTGACAGTGTATCCATTATTCTGGTTGTGGTTGTCCATCGTCATGCTGGACACGTAGAGACGTAGCCCAGACAAATTTGTAGAGGAAGCAGGAAATAGTATAAAAGAGCTTCGGGGCTATCCCAAGGGTAAGAGCCTCCGCTTTTATGCGACATCTTCTTTAGTGTGCAGTTATCTGTGAAACTATGCTCGAGGTGGCCATTAGAAGTTTTGGTTGTGTTTGATATATATCCTCCGGCGACAAAGCTGGAATCCTTACACGCTAGGATTGGGCTTGAAAGGGGAACAGCGTTAACCTTGAACCAACAGAAACACAAGAGAGTAGCTGAAATCGTCACTAGGTCTTGCTGTCTATCTATCCAGGAGGGAATCAAGACAGCCAGCCATACTGGGTTGTACAAGGAAACAGGTGCGACAAATCGCAGGTGGCGCGCAAAGACAGGAAAAGTACCTCCCGTCGGATTTGTATAAAGATATGCTCATCACCGACCATACATACCACCATTTGAGAGTCCCGACCGTGATGAGAACAAGGATGCTAGGGAGCTCCATTGGGCTCTTCGGTGGCTTCGTCCTATCTCTATCGTGGTTATGGCACATCTGCTTTCCTCAAAGAGAAAGATCAGAAGCACTCAGAAAGCAACGCATAATCTACGCGACCTATTTAAGCGCACCCACCGATAACAAAGATGACTTCGTCTCGGAATTCCACAATACCAGCGATCCATATTTTGACGCGGCTCGAATCCTCACATACCAGCTCCTCCACGCGCCCGAGACACGGACCAGGTTGGGAATTCCGTTTGTCGTCTTTGTTCATCAAAATGTCGATCAAGGGAAGAGAAATCGTTTGCAATCCGACGGTGCCCAAGTAATCGAGTGGTCCGATTTCCGAGTCGACTGGTTTCGACCGGCAGAACCCCGATGGGTCGATGCCTTGACAAAATTGCGGCTGTGGGAGATGATCGAGTACGACCTGATAGTGTTCTTAGACGGGGATTCCATTCTGACGAGATGTCTCGACGGGCTAGTCAGCGCCCCATCAAAATGGCTCAAAACATCCACACAAACCTCAGTATCCTTCAACGGGGTTGAAATACCTCTGCCAGAGACTTACATTGCTGCTGGATTGCCGCAGCTAAGGATGAATCACTCATCGCATCCCTCGCGTGTCCCAGAGGACTTCTGGGACTGGGACACCTTGAATGCAGGCTTTATGATCTTGCAGCCATCACTCAAGATGTTCCACTACTTCCAGGCGTTGCTTGCCGTCAGAAATAGCTTTGATACCAGCATAGCCGACCAGAGTGTCTTGAACTTTGCCCTTGCTCGTGGTGGCCCTACTCCGTGGACTACGGTGGACTTCTCGCTGAACATTCAATGGCCATGGCCGGAGGATATCAAGGCGGGCTATGCTGTTCTTCACGAAAAGTGGTGGGCACCTGTGCATTGGGAATCTAGGGACTATCTGCTCTCTTGGTATTGGCGAATGATGGGCTACTATTCTGCTTCAGGCCGATGACTCACATCCAGTTTGCGAATACGAGGATTTTTTGGTCTAGATCTTGCTCTTTTTACCTTCTTTATGCTGATCTCGTGATTTGGCGCACTGAGTTGCTGTTATGGGGTAATTGAGCACAATCTTGCGGTCTTCGGATATTCCTCCGTGTTGGTTACGCCTTGTCCAGCACTCGCTTTGCTTAACAATTTGCATTCTTTTGGAATGCCAAGCAAGCTAAACTATCATTCGAATTCTATGCCATATCTCGTTCTCTTGGTATCTTCTTTTCATCGTTGAAATGTCTACTGCCACAGTGGAAGGCACACTACAGACCTCGGAGATCGTAAAAATCATTCAATCTTCAGCATCTCCACCAGCCTACAGAATCGAGACGTTCACACAGAGCGAGCTCCTCAAACAGCCCTTCCTTCCCGAACTCTGGGATGTCATCAACGCTAGCTACTACGATACCGGTGACAGTCCTCTCGAAAAGACGGGACCCCGGATCAGAAGCGATACCCAGCTTGCCGACGAACTTCAAGAAACTGGCTTTACAGCAATTGCTTTCGCTGAAAACGCGATTATCGGCACTGCAAGCTTGAAATTCTGGTCGTCAGATTCCGAAGGCGCCGTGTGGAAATCTCCGGGCCATTTTGAACAGTTCAGTGCAGATGAGATCTTCTCCGCGAGCTCCACGGTGCTGGATAGCCTCCACGATGACTCTCATAACATTCTCTGCGAGGGAGGCTTTGAAATTGTAGCTGTCGCGATCACGCCGGATCCTCAATATAGGAGGAAAGGTATTGCAGATAGCTTGGTCAAGGCGTGTGAACAGGAAGTGAAAAGGAAAATATCTCCTGTGGGTTCTACCGAATTGGCTCGCTCATATATTACGGTTAAGTCCATTCGCGAGGTACAAGGTTCTTATTGGCTGAAAAAGGGGTTCCGCATCGTGGGGGAACAGTATTGCCCCCCCCTTTACTTGGGCTTACAACAAAGGTTTTGTTCTTTGGGCCATGAAGCGAGAGTTGTCGGCTTAACAGTCGATCCAGGGTCAAATTGATTCAAGCTAGGTCTAGGATTCCGGGATAATCAGCCCATCTGGCTCAACTTCGCGGTGTTGCATGTCTCAAGCGGGAATTGCTTCAGAATCAAAGTACGATCCTTACGAGTGACTGAGTATGCAACCCTGCCCCAAGACTCTGTGAGGACAAGCCGAGGAAGCCAATGGATGATTGGTAGGGGCCCTGGTTATCATGCACAAAATAACCCTTTCGGTCTGTTCTGCGTCAAGATGGCAAGATCGTGATACTATGCTGCATGCGACGTCATCTCACCTCCCCTGGAGTAACATGTAACCCTCACCGATGCTACATATAATAAATAGTCAATTCAAAGACGCAGGATTCCATACACCAAATCATCTTCAATGGCGGCCATACAAATTTCCGATGATATTTTGGAGGGAATCAAGGACAAGGTGGTTTTCATTACTGGTACGCCTACTCGATATTCTATCACGATCAACAATGGGTCGAATTCACTGATGGAAGTAGGTGGTCTCTCGGGAATCGGGAAAGCGACTGTAGAATTATGTCTCAAACAAGGCGCGAATGTGATCATCGGTGACCTGAACTCTCCACCTTCGGATTTCGAGACCTCAGAGAAATTGCGTTTTATAAAATTGGATGTTTGCTCATGGGATGACCAGCTCGATGCATTTATTCAGATCGAAAAATGGTTCGGTCGAATTGACCACGTCTTCGCCAATGCAGGCATCGGACCCACGATCAATTTCATGGATGACGGCCTTGATGAAAATGGCCTACCTACCCCTCCCGATTTACGGACGATCAATATCGATCTTCTAAGTGTCGTCTTCACCGTTCGTCTTGCAACACATTACATCCAGAAGCATTCCGCTCATCGTGCATCTGGCGAACTGGGAAGTATCGTGGTGATTTGTTCTGGGGCTTCCTTCCGGGATTTCAGCGCCGGTGATTACACGATCGCGAAACACGGTATTCTGGGACTCGTCCGCGGGATAGGGAGTCAGGTTGAGGGAAAGGTTCGGCTTAATGCTGTTGCGCCCTCTTGGACGGCAACTAACATCACTAATACGCCTTTCATTGAGAGGCTTGGTGTCCCGGTTCAAGGACCGGAAGCTGTGGCCCGGAGTGTAGTCCTTCTTTTCAACGATCATCAGCGCCATGGGGATGTTATATACAGCTGGGATGGGAACTATTTGGAAGTTAACAATGCAGAAGGTGGATTGCTGGCGGCTACGGATGGAATCCTTGCAAATCCAGATAAGGAGGAAACCGTTGTGCTCAAGCTCAGAGAAGCGAAGATTATCTTCTAGGTTTGATCTATGCCAGCTGTTTCTGATAGAATACCTTCGGATGCCTTGCGTTTGCCTTATTATCATTTCATTTATGGACCAATGGGATAGGAAAGGCATTTGGTTTCTCGGCTTCAACTACATACGAAACTCTTGCTCTCTGGCATATCCCTTGCTGCGATGCCGCTTATGTCTCTTGTGGCATGTCCCATCGTGGAACTATATATGATAAAAAAAAACAATTTCTTTGTAGGCAATTATTGACTCGTACTCAAGCAACATCAAGAGTAGAGTATGCTTGTGTCGACTTCACCCGGGACGTACACCGCACAATGTCCAGAAACAAATCACCTAGTGCTACATTGTACCCTCTTCTAGATGGAGCTTTGAGGCACTACAAACAGTTCAACTCATTGAGGGTGCCCTGGATATGTAGGCCACCATGGAATACACAAATTTCACGGACAGTCGTGATCCGAATTTCCCCTGAGTATTACTGACAACAATACTGCAGCACTTTGTACCTTGCAGTCAAATGAAGTGATGAGACAACATGTAGTCAACAGACTAAGAAGATATATCTGATCGCGTGTGAACCCCTAGACAAGTCACATCTATCATAATACATGTGTTGATCACTTTTAGGATCACTGAGAAGATCAGGTAGCCACCTCACACTAGACCTGCATTTAGCTCATAAAGCACATAGGATATATCCAGTCGACTCACAGAAACTTTTAACGAGAGAAAGATGAGATATAACGCAAAAAAAAAAAAAAAAAAGAAAAAGAAAAAGAAAAATCTGGAACTGTGCTCACTTGCCTGTTTGCCTGTACGATACGATACATCTTCTAGCTACCCCCTTCGTCACCTATAAACACTTACCTTCCTGGGTTATCTATTTTTCATTTCTCACATCATCGTCACTTTTTCATCGGTCATGCTAGATTCTACACTCAAGCTAAGACTGGGTTTCTAGCTTCCATTCAAGGCCCGAAGTCATGAGTTCACAAGTATACCCAAAAGCCTCAAAATATCACAGTGGGAACCTCAAGCCTTCTCTCCATCCCGCTGGGGCTCAACAATGATAATACTTGGCTTTGGATTACCTCCCAGCATACGTCAATCTCGTGAATTGTCACTAAGTGTAAATATGTCAACCTTGGAAGCGGTAAGCGCTAATATGCTAGTGTTTTATAGAGGACCTACTACACAATACGAGCCATCCGACAATAATCCATCTCCATCTCATCACTCACTCCTGCGTCGACGGATGTATGGCTGACTCTGGACCCTGTCGATAAACCAAAATTCCACAAGCCTCAAATAGCGCAATCCACAATTGTGATAGGTTGCGATACTTTGGCCCCGAGCAACCCTTTCTAAACCACACCATCTTGGTATAATTATACATATAGCCTCAATCGCAAAGGACATTGCTGTGCATCTAGCACTCAGACAGACAAGATACTGGAGAGAAATGGTCATTCGCGTGTGCGGTGCGTCAGCGAAGGAAAGGGGGAGACGAACGTCGTCAACATGACTTTGAAGCGGAGGATGCGCGGAAGATCTTCCAATTTACCAAAGCCTACTCAAGCAATGGTGTATGAGTGAGCTATCCTTGGCAAACCCAAGACACATCTTGAGAGTGGCATCCTAGCTGATGCATGCGGTCTGGGAAATACATTGACCACCCTCGTCCCAAATACCCTGGCCGATACCTGGACCCTGGAGACCACTCCACATTTACCCGACGCTCGCGCAGTGATCTCCATGATCGCCTTTTCTCCTTATATTCAACATCCCCGGTCCAAGATTTACAAATCGTGTCATCTTCACAGGGGAGTACATTGACCCTTGAGCGATAAAGACGAGGGAACCATCGGAGAAATTGCCGCTCTGATCTGTTTCAACTCAGAACAGCGACTAACGCTACCCCAAATGTACTGTGGGGGAGATTTCGAGGCTCATCCAAGCGTCACAGATCGCGACCAAAGCAAATCGATGAAACAGACCCCAGGTCTCACATGGGCTCCAGTTGCGGGTACAATCAAGCAGCATGCCGAGGTACTTACTTCCTTTCGAAATCACCGACTGATCTTGGGCAAAATATCTAACAGATTACAGAAGCATGAGAAGATTGATCTTGCCCTAGAGAAGGGAATAGCGAATGGAGACTACCAATATCTCAGTGATGAGCTGTAATCATTTGACAAGGCGCAGCACAATGCCCAGACGCCCTCCGTTTGTTCAAAATGGGAACTTCGTTGAATTCTGTCGCTCCAACCGAGCCAGAATTGGATTTTCATTACAGATCTAGCTTGATTCGTCAATTCAGCCGTTGGCACATTCAAATTGCCATTTCAGCGGTTCATCCCGCGAGCTGGGATACTCTCCATCTCATCTTTGAGGAGTCTTCCAGATAGGCCAGGTCAGACTCTGGGCCCACATTGCCTGAAACATGTCTTCTTGTCGGCCTTTCACTCGTCTAGGCTTTTCATAGATATAACCCACAGATACTGGAAATCATATTCATGGCGCAAGCACATAACAGAAAAAGGGTATTAAATATACACAAAAGCCAACAAACCACCAAACAGATATCACCGATCCCACTGCCGGTGGGTAAGAAACATAGAACGTAGAACATCAACCATGAACATAGACAGAAATGATACACAGCCCACACATAGCTCACAACTTATCAAGATCAACGCCGGCAACCTTGAGCGCAGCACGAACATCCAGCTTGATTTGCATTTTGTTCGCAGCCAGCGCCTTGGTGAAGTACGGGATCTTCTTGCCGTGGTACACGCTTGAGTTGCCGATGATGTCGAAGGGAAGAATACCGTCTTTGTATGGGTTTTTCTTTGACATGAGTAATTCGATGATTTGGCCTTGGTCGACTTCACCGGTGAGTGGTACGGTGTTAGTGCCAGGCTTGAGAACCAGGTCGTTCAGGTAGGTTGTTCCGATTGGTTTGCCGTCTAGCTCGAGGTTCATGGTTACATTTCCCTGTGTTTGTTAGCTACGTTGTGATAATGGGAGATAGAAGGGAAGGATATTTACCATCTCAATGGTCATGACAGAGGGATTGGGGATGGTGGCGGTGCCGTTCATCCCGATACCGTTCTTCGGTGGGTAGATGATGAAGAACTCGGGCACGTCGAAGCCCTTGAGTCCGTTCAGACCTGTTTCCTTGAGTTAGTACATCTGGTTTCTCTTCGATAGAACCTAACATAAGAAAGGGAATCAATATACCCTTCATAGGAACAGTCTTGTTATAAGTAACCGTAGTCTTAGGCAGACCACCCTCCTTCAAACCAGGTCTTCCGTAAACATTCAACAAAACCTCCTCATCCAACATAACAGCAACGTTGTAGTCTTTGAATGCAGCAGCATCTGACAGATCAACCTTCTGCTCGAAGTGAAGCTCGGCCCCATCCTTGGACTTCACAGGGGGGACAGTGACATGAGCGAAAGGCTTCGCCGCGCCGCCCAGCGAGACGGCAGAATCAAATTCGTAGATCTGGGGGTGGAAGGAGCTGTGCGTGCCGATGATTTGTCTCTGCTCGAGGTGGAAGGACTCGGGCGTTGGGTTGGTGATGATCATCTCCCTGATTTCGAGGGTTGAATCGGTGATGCCATCCTGTGCAATCTTAGGATAGGCGACATAGACACTAGATGCCATGCAGTGAGTAGAATGTTCCGTGTGGCGTATGATCCAGTTGAATTTAAATTAAAGTGGACTTACACCGGCAGTAGAATGATTAGGAAACACGCGATGAATATAATCAAGTGCACCCACCACCATTTCTTGAAATGGGCGGCGAGGCGGGCACCGAAGCTCTTCTTGACTGGTGTCGGGTTCACAGCGGATTCCTCCTCTACAAATGAGGCCTTTGTGGTCGACATCTTGGTACTGTGATTGAATTAGGGACCGTCAGAGGGTAGACGGAAGATACATACCGACTCGGACACCTATAAGAGAAGAGCTTCGGAGAGAGAAAGAAAACGAAAGTGATAGAGTCTAAAATAGCGTGGGTAGTAGTCTGTACTTTATAATAAAAAGACTCTACCGGTAAATTGACTTGACAAGGTATACAATCTAGCGTCACATGTGTTATGCAGGCAAAAAGCCACCAAATGTAATCCGGAAAAAGAAAAGGGGAAGAGATCTCGACTTTTTCATTTCCTTTTGGCTCTATTTTTCTAATTATATATGGAGATGATAACTGTGGGTTTAGCGTCTGGGGAATCCCGGGGGTCCGGGGAGAGACGATCAACAAAATCTACGGTGTACACTGTTTCAAATTGATGTCTATACCACATGCCTGAAGACCAGAGCCGAGGTGAACTAAAATACCGTAAGAATTCTAAATTCTAATAAGCGGGATGCGTCGGGACGGATGCAACTGTCCTACCAGGGCGATTCCTTAATGCTGAGATTGGGGCGTTGAAGAGGTACTCCAATGGAGGAATGCACTAGTTTATTGAATAGCCAGGGTGATCATTGGTGGCGAGTAAGAACTAGCAAGGTAGCGTGCCGCCAAGGGGGGCAACTCTCTGAATTCAAGGAGACTGTGCGTATTCAGAGAGGTTTGATACGGGGAGTACGGAGCAAGAACAGCCGAGTCAAGTTCAATCTCCCTGATCCCCACTAATCCACAAAGAATAAGCCACCATTGTCTTTTGGGGACTAAGCCCGGACCAATCTAGATGATCTAGGCGCATTTAGGTCAATGCTCCGAGACAAAAAGCCGGGGAACAATGCGGGGGCTGTTTAGAAATGACTAGGAATACGGATCACTTATAAGATGTTATGAGTTCAAAATATACAGATCAACACTGCTGTCATGAGTTCATGAAGTTGCCACACTGAGGCATCAAACAAAATATGAGATTGTCCAGGGGATCAAACCCAAGAAATATAACCAAGAAGAGAAAAGAGGTGCCATGAAAAAGAGAAAAAAAAACACAGCAAATGAGAAGAGAGAAGAGAGATAAAAAGGGTATACACGGAGAAGTGAAGTATGAAGCCTGCGAGACACGTGAACCACGCCCGGTCCATGCTCGATAGAGCTGCCCAGGCGGCTCGGAAAAGAAAAGAATTTTAGACATGTGGAAGGGAAGGAATGTAAAGTCGACGGTGAAAAAGAAGAGAAGAAGAAAAAAAGGTAAATAAATCAAAGATCGGCTGGAAATGTTTCAAACGATTCGCAAATTGCAAGATGAATGGTTATTCCAAGAAAACTCGTCGAGGGAAATGAAAACAAAGAATAAGAAAAGAGTCGCTATGCCTCTGGTACGGACTTCTTGCGTTGGAAGATACTTCGAGTGCGAGACTTGCTGCGAGGCTTCTTGTCCTTCTCTCCACTGGCATTTCGGCCACGGGAGCGTGGAGGGGTCTCAGTCTCATTGTATTTGTCCTTGTAGATCCTGAATACAAATGTTAGTCAGACCGATGAGGATGTCACTACTAGGAAGAACGTACCAGCTGTTTCCAACCATACTCATACCCTTAGACTCAGCCTGGCGATAAAAGCGCGCCGCCTTCTTCATGTCCTTCTTACAGCCAACACCCTCCGCGTAGCAGAATCCGGCTTCGGCCATGGCATCAACGTCACCCCATTGACCGGCAATTTCGAAGCAGCGCAGGGCAAGAGACTTATCCTGCTCAATACCCCAGCCATTCAGATAGCTGACACCCAGTTCGTAGATGCTGAGAGCAAATTGAACCCGGTATGCCTTTTGTAATTCCTTCGCCTTTGAGGCACCAGGGGCATCCGGATTGGCCAACATTTCCAATCCGACGGAATCCACAGCTTTGCGTAACCATCGTACACCCTCCTTCTCATTAGACCGCATGCCCCAGCCGTGTCGACAAGCCAGCGCATAAAGCAGCATTCCCGTCGGATGGCCCTGTTTCGCGGCAACCCGCAGGTGATACGTCGACTCGCTCAGTGAGCCTCGTTCGTGGCATTCAATGCCCTTGGCGACGTGGTCGTCGGCCGTGAGGCCGGAAGCCGTCACCTGCGCAGTGGCAGTTTGAGGCCGCATGGTGCTAGCAGAGTCCGCAGAAGAAACGGTTTCATCCTTCTCGTTGATCGTTTCTCGGACGCTGTCAGCAGAGGGCCGTGCCGGCTCTACTGGCGAGTCAGGCACAGGCGGAGGGGGTGGGAATCGTTGAGACTTGGGGGTTTGCGGTTCAAGTTGAGCCTGAGGTGGAGATTGAGGCGGAGATTGGGGTTGGAAGTTCGGTGTTGGGGATTGAGGCTTGGAAGCTGGAACTTCGTGCATTGAGTGGGGTTTGGGTGACTGCGCCAATTGTCGATGGGGCGTGGGAGAGGGCGTCCGTGTCATTCGCAGTGGCTCCTCTGAATTCCGGGGAGGCGTTTTCTCAAACAACGGCTCATCCCACTCGAAATGAGGCGTTTGCAAGCCCGCAAACACCACGGAATCTCGTGAAAGGAAACGTCCGCGCGGAAGCGCATACTTGGCGTAGACATAGGACGAGACAGCGGACGACGGCTCGCCCTCCATGGCTTTTATTGCAGCAGCATCTTCGGTCGAGAGTTGCAAAACGAGCGGAGTCGGCTTTGTGCGGCGGTACATGTGGTTCGATGAAGAGCCAAGAATCGGTTCGGTGGGCGTTGAAGCTCCAGGGGCGGACAAGGTTGTACTCGAGCGACTCAACGGTCGAGAGAAGTTGAACGAAGGACGAGGTAGATGATTCCCTCCCGTACCCGAGGTCTCCGAGCTCATGGATGGCGATCGAGGATGCGGGCGTGCATGGAAGGTCGACATGGGAGAATATGGCAGTGACACAGCGCTTGCAGATGACAGCTTGCGGGAATTGGAGAACGTAGACCCACCATTAGAGCTGCTGTAATCATCGTCAGAACTCTCAGGGTGTGCTACTTTCGCACTGCTAGATGGTCGCGACCGCGGTGACACTGGTGGTGCCAAGGTACGCGGGATGCCCAGTCGAGAAGATGACGAATCGATTGATGAACCATGCGGCTCAGCAACCGCCATACCAACAAGCGCATCATCCGTTTCCGTTACATGTGACGTGGTGGCCTCTGGTGATTCGGCGCGCGGCATCCCGTACGCGTCCGAACCAGTATTGAGCATCGTTGTCCGGGGTGTGGCATTATCATCATCCTCGTAATAGCTAGCCTCCGTGCTAGCATTGGAAACGGAGCTGAACCGAGGATGTTCGGAGACAGGCCGGTACTTGGGCTCTGCATACTCGGGGAGTCCTTTCTGCGTGGGTTGGCGGGTCAGTTCGGTGCGGGATTCAGTTGACGACTTGGAGCGGCCGAAGCCCGGGCGGCCTTGCGAAAGTGATCGAGCTACACTCGCCGGTGGTAGCCGACTCATACGGCGGTCCCCTCGTCGAGATTCATCGAGTTGTCGGGCCAGGAATCGACTCTGGGCGGCGAATGCATCGAGGGGAGAAAGTGCGGGAGGAACTTCGCCGTCGAAATGCGCTACCCGCGGCGAAGATGTACCACTCCGCCCACTCCGCATGGTATCGTGGGATATGGAGCGATAATCGCTCAGTTTCCCTCGCATTTCCATGGTGAATATGTGAATATAAAGTGGTCGGCTATTGAATCATTTATCCTGAGTCTGTTGGATCTTTTGCTTGCACAGAAAGCATCGGAGTTGATGTTATCGAGAGGTCAGAGCGGATAACAAAGGGGTTTTAGGGCGGGGAGGCGATAGCCAAAAGGAATGACAGCCCTATACAATACACGGAGACAAAAATTGAATCAAGAGATCAGGGCATGGGGATATTGAGAAAGGAGAAGGGAAGGGGAAAAGCGCTGACGATCACCAAGGTAAACAGAAGCGTCCCGTGCACTAAAATAAAACACTTCGACTCCACCAGGTCTTGACGTTCTGAGGGGATCGTCTCAGGGGGAGAATTGCTCAGGGGGTCGCCAAGCATAACATTGAATCGTCTACTCCGGACTTATATCTTCTTATTGGCGATTCCATTACTATTTGCCTACTAGAATACTCTCCGTACGAGTTCAAACTGTCTTAGACTTGACTTTGCCTGTACGAGAGAGACTATCAGTTTGACCCGCTACCTTCTAGAATCCCATCCCCCTGCCGTCTCTCCCCACACGGGAGGTTTCATGTCTGAAGCACATGCATAGACCTTTTTGGTTTTGTTTTTAGAACTATGACACCATTGAAAATAGTTGCCTAGTGTGCCAACATTGACAATTGGGAGGAGTTAGCTTTCCAGAGAAGTGAGACCATCCCCTTATATTGCAAGCCACGAGAGCGGGTACGTTCCAAAAAGGATCTAGATGGTTATTAATGGAATATGGAATAGTATTGAATGGAACTCGGAATTGTTTCACACTAATTTCATGGTAAATCACCGTGTCCGGAACACATTTGAGATATACAACATCACCTGGAAAAGGACAAATATCTTTGAAGTCAGTGATGTCCACTATTCTTATTTGGGTATAGTGTCATCTCTTACTCATCCCTTGAACTTCAACCCTATATCAGGATGAATCTCTCTTTTCTTGTTCTCACATTGCCTTGATACTCATCTGACTCTCTTTGCTCTCCCTGTACTTATTAGAATCTTGGTCAATTGCATATGTGGTTTCGATGAGAAACTCCTTCGAGCTTGGCACCTGAGGCTACGCCTGATGAAGGTAATACCAAAACCTATGATAGATTTCACATTGTCTATATGTTGTACCTGATTCAGACTGAATATCCCCGTTGAGGTACTGGCCTTTCCTTTGCCCAGAGGCAGAAAACTAGACTGCATAAGATCAGCTCTATAAGACGGCTCGCACCAGGTATGGCCCGTGGTCATTGCGCTAATCCCGATCTAGATTCACGGGCCACAAAAGAGAACACCTTCGCTACGAAGCACTACACATCACTACCTGTCAATATTAAGCTAGTAACATTCTAGAATTTGCACCTTGGCAACACTTGGCAACGCTTAACAAACTGCGAAAAGTACCAGTTTCGAATTTTCTCTTTAGATAGTATCTCGATTCTCCGGGCTCTTATATTCTGCCGCAAAAACATCCCCTCAGGCTGCAAGCCTAAATAGAATGAATCATCTTCCACCCGAGCTCCTGCACCGAATATGTCTCAGTGTATATTATCCCCCCCCCGGGCTCTCTTTTTCGTGAGACACTAAAACCTTTAGCTTCATGCCGATGGGCTGAATTCACGCACAACCCTCTCAAATTTCAGTCGGCTCAATCACACATGTCATGGAATCGCCGCCCCTTTTCTTTATCAACACCTTTCTATCATTTTCTGGGATCCTCAAAGCCTCCGAAAAGCCGTCTCGGAGTTGACAGAAAATGGTCAAGGGCGTCAGTTTGTGAAGTACGCTAGGAAATTATCTATTATCTGTCTCGATCCATGTTTGGACGACGAAGGAAATGAGCTTCTTTGGAACTTGGAGGGTCACAAGAATCCTCGTTACGGTCAAGACGAACCGGCTACAAAAGACACATTTCTGGAGTCTCATTTGACAGACCCTAGTTTATCTGATGCTTATCGATTCTATTTACTCAGAGGCTGGTCGAGCTATAAGGAATTGGAAAGAGACTGTGGCCCACTTGTTGCCCTCATCGCCTGCCTGTGCCACCTTCGAGAAATCGACTTTCTCGTTGAGGCCGACTTTCCAATTTGTTTGCAGAAAGCTATATCACAGCATCATCCCAAATGTCAGCTAAATATTTGTGGGAAACAGAACTTGACTAGCATTTTGGAAAGTCTCAAAGAGCAAGCAAGCCCTCGAGTGGAAAACCAGATGACTTTGTCAGAAGGTTGCGCCGTCGATCTCGGTCTTCTACGTCTCCAGAATCTTCATACATTGTCCGTCGAAATTCCCCGCTTTCTTAATGGTAAGTCAGGTTGGATAGAGGTAGATGAAATGCTTCCTTTCCTTGTTTTGGGTCCCAATCTGAAGCACCTTATCTTGAAAAAGGATTTCATGCCCCACCAATTCTCCATAACTGAGCTGAAGGAAGAATGGCACAGGCTCGCTGTTATCACACAGCCCGTGCCGATATCTTCCTTGCGATCTATCTCAATTGCACGAACGGGGCCACATGAAAATATCCTTCTCAGGCTGGCGGATATCGTGGATATTTCCCAACTTCGATCCCTTGAACTGCCTGAGTTATTTGACTCAGCCATGCTTGCACGTGTTGCTGAGATTTTTCCTAACCTCGAGCGGCTTTTCATTTCCATGAATGGCTATAGCGGGCGTTTTCCAGATGCCAAGAATGATTATCATATCGGAATTGCTGGGATACTGGCATTCAATCCCTTGAAATTTCTCCATGTTAAAGGTGTTCGCAGCGTCTCCTCTTTGAATCAAATCACAGAGCGACATGGCCCTTCTTTAAAGGGTCTCATCATTGAACCGTCCAGTGGGATTAGAGCTACGATAAGTCCCGGGTTTTATGGGTATACATATCCAGAACTTGATTCCTTGGGTATAAGCCAGCTGTCCAAGTCTTGTCCCCAGCTAGAAGAGCTACGTCTTCCGATCAGAAGATCTATGGGCAGTCAAGAAGAGTGTGAGATCTACAAGGCCGTGGGGATCTTTTCAAATCTCCACAGTCTTGTACTAGATCTTCATTTCGACCCCAGACCGCGGCCACCGTACCCAGGGGGAAACCAACTCCCCGAGCCATCCGTTACCCGAACAATATTCGTAAATGCGACTATGGATGAAAAACTCGCTCTTCAGATCTGGCACCTGGTCTCGTCTAACCAAGCCTCCGGTCGCCTACGGAATCTGCGCGTTATGCCTTTTGGTCATGATCAACTCCCCAAATATGAACACTGGCTCGTTGATTGGTTCTCTCGTTCATTTCTGATCACACGTTACAATTTCCACAACGTGGGTGTACCGACTGTCAGCGAGATTGGAAAAAGAGAAAGGGAGATACGGAATCAGTTGCTGTTTCAAGAAATAGATGGTATCTACGTCTCCGAAGAACTACAACAGGTTCTTTCTGATCTGTGGCCATCCGAGTCTGGGTATACTGAATGGAAGTCGGTACGGAGCAGCTTTCCTTTGCAGTCAAATGATGCTTGAATTTCCTGGTGGTGGCAGCCGCCTGGCACATGGAAAATGAGATTCAGTATGAATACATGTAGCAATTTTCATAGGCTGCAGAAAAAATCAACACGTTACGCACCGGATTGACACAAGAAAAGAACCTGCAGAACTAATTGAGAGGGTACCTTTGGTCTCATACTATACACCAGGTTGGATCCTCCGTGAGACTAAAAGCAATGGTACGGCATGCGTCGGTGAAAGAATAACTCCTGGATCTAGTTTTTCTCAAGCCTCCCTACAGGGTATACATCCGGGATACAGCCCATATTTTGGAGTGTCTCGAGCGTCTTGGCCTAAATGCTGATCATCAAGACAGTCTCAAATCCCGGTCCTGCTCGATATCAGACCCTCGGGTCAATTCCGAGACTCAGCCCCTGGTTCTCATTTAATGCCAGATTTAATCACAAGTTTCCAAGCTCTTTTCGGTGTGTGGGATCAGCACTTGTGAGGATCAAATGGACCTAGGATGGGACTGGGAGCAAAGGTGCCTGCACCGACTGGTTCTAATCCTCGTGGTCTACCCATAAAGGCGCAGAATGGCTTGCGAGGTCACTCTAGATCACGGGAAACAACAGACATGAAACTCCCCGGCTTCCATGTAAGCATTGAGACACTGGTTTTCTAGTAGCCTGGGCTACCACATGTACAGCTCAAGTTCCTTTTCCTTGCTTGTTTGCTTCTTTCACTTCAATTCTCAAGCACATCAAAATCGCAAGAGACGAACCAACATGCCTCGACTCTCGCTAACGACTCTCTTCGGAGTTGATCAGACTATCGATGACAAGCACCACTTTGAGACATCTTGGATCTTGCCCCCTGCCATTCTCGCCGGTCTTCGCGCTCTGATCTCACTGTACATCTTCGCCTCCATCTTCATCTTCTGGGGCTGGTATGGTACCCACGATAAGCTCTCCTCGATTGGTCAGTCCTTCAGTTACTTCACCTGGCTTTCTTACTGGGGAATTGGCTTCTACATGCTATTTGCTGCCATTCATACAGCCTCTTATGCACGAACAGGCCGCTCGGTTCTCTTCGACCGCTGGCCACGGGGTCTTCGCGTACTACACAGCTTACTCTATGTGACAATCACAACATACCCGTTTCTTGTTACAGTTGTCTTCTGGGCTGTCATCTTTACTCCGCCGTGGTATAAGACCACCTTCACTAGATGGCAAAATGTACGTATCATCTTTCGACTTTTCCTCTGTACTGCCTTTTCGATATATTCCCCGCAATATTTCCCCATTGCGCAAATCTAGAGAAAAAGCCAGAAGATAAGAAATATCAGCCACAACTTCAAGCTAACCCATCAATTCCCTAGATCTCCCAACACGGCCTTAACTCTGCCGACGCCTTACTGGAAATTATCATCCCTGCCACGGCGCCGCATCCATTCATTGCAATGCCATTTCTACTCTTGATGCTCCTGCTCTACCTCTGCGTTGCATATATCACCCACGAAACTGAGGGCTGGTACCCGTACTCTTTCCTTGACGTTGGTGGCCATGGACATAAGAGCAAACGTGTGGTGGGATACTATTTCGGCGTCTTGGGTGCGGTTCTGGTCGTCTTCGTCATCTCCTGGGCGTTGATTCATTTGCGCTGTCGCCTGACCCACGGAAGGATTAAGCGGGCGAGACGGGATCCGCTGTGCTCGCATGATGTCTCAAGTGGTGCCGTTGGGGCGTGTGGTGAGCAATCGAATGTGATGAAGGGTGTTTCGGGCTTGGAGGAGGCGATGAGTCGATTCTCTTCTTCTGGGGGAGATTGCCTAGTTAGATAGGGATGGAGATGGCGCTGTGTAATACCTATGATATCCTACCCAATGCTCATCCGATGATTGAGTCAACTAGATGCAAGGTAAAACTATACGTCGATATGTGACGATGTGAATTAAAAATCAGGGGAACAGGGGAACAGGTCTATTGAGAGCGAAGAGTATTTTGAAAGATATTATATACAGTAAAGGATCATTCCAAGGTTCAAAGCAAGTGCTTCTAACATATTAAATACGGCATTGCCATAAAGATGTGTCAAAACATAGTACACGAGCTTAAACTCTCTCCCAGCTGGTTTCACTGCCGCTGCCACTCGGGGTCTCGGGGTTCATCCCATTCCCACTGCGGTAGCCCATCATCAGCGCCACGAGTCCACTAGGAACCCAGGCCCCGATCAGACTGTATGATCGAGCTCCCCGGCCCACGTACATCACAGATTTCTTCGACACTTTCCGGCCGAACATATCCCGTGAGACTGGCTCCAAAGCATCCAAAATAGCATGATGAAGGTTCCGCGCCGGAGATCCGCGTATTGTGCTAGGACCAGCAGAGGCGACTGGGCGCTGCTCAACGCTTGACAAATACTGTGACGCATAAAGGGCTCGCTGCTGGGTACTCCACGCGAGAACTTCTGTGCCTGCGATCTGATTCTGGCCATGTCGGTATGTAGGCCCTAGGTCAATGTTGCCTAGGTGTAGCTCGACGACATCGACATTGCCCTGTTCGAGGAGACGAAGTTCCTGGCGAAGTGAGGCTGCGAAGCCTGAGATTGCTCGGGCTGTGGCGACTTCGGGTCCTGCAAATGGTGCGGAAAGAGAAGATGATATGGAGGGATATGCGAACACAATGGTGCTACTATTGCTGCGGAGGGTCAGCAGGGGGAGGAATGCCTGGACTGTGAGGATAGGCGAGAGGAGACGGGTGTTGACCGTATCAGCCCACGATGACGGCGGGATTGTTGCGACAGGGCCTGCACTATAATTAGGTGATGGGGCCACGATAAGGCCGCTCAGTTGGCAGGTGTGCGGGGGCACTCCGGCGATAGGTGACTGTGCCTGAGTGATCAAGGAGCGAAGCTCTTGCAACGAGGGATGAATTTCGGACGGCGAGGAGGATGTCTAGTTTAGAATATTAGTTGAGTTCCGCCCTATAAGGAACACAAAATCATCACTCACAGTTGTAAGGTCCAACCAGAGAGCCTTAATGTCAACACGATTCTCGGACTTGACGATATGCTCTTCATCCGCGGAAGAAACAGTCACATATACAATATATCCTCGACGTTCCAAATCCATGGCAATAGCCCTTGTCATCGGCTCATGTGGCGATCCGGCAACAACTACAATCGCAAGATCAGCGCTCAGATCCTAGTACAGATCAAATGCAGCATTATGACACGTACCAACAATCTCTTTCCTTGCACCGTTGCTCGCTCTTCTGGCTTTTCTCCGTTTTCCGTGTAGCTTCTTGTTTCCATAGTATAAGACAACACCGGTGCCGATAAATGCGAGGATGGCCGCCGACCATGCGCGATTCCGAGCTACCCAGTTTTGGATCCGCTCCGTTAAGCCTTGCGATGATTGCATTCTTGGGGAACGACCTGGGCGAACAGTGGGCGGTAGCCATGACTGCTGGGCCAGCACATCCTTGATCACATGTGCGGCATGGTCGACTTGTCGGTCGATCGAGTCGGCGACTTCGAGGGAATACCGCCTTACGTCATGGGGTATAGACGAGAGCTGGATAATGAACTATTAGCGCCAAAGGCATTCATGAACGCCTTGCATGATACTCACATAGTCAAAGAAGAACTGGTCGTCGCTCGTCATCTTGTTTATTTGAGAACAAGCTGGAAAGAAAAAGAGCGAAAGTTCGATAAGATTGATGCTGATAACATTCTCGGTGTTATCGGAACGGTCACATGAGCAATGCTTTGTATAAAACAGTCGAGCGCGGGAAGTATACAGAACTAGCCATGGTTTTCTAGCTATTGCTTCTTGTTTTTTACACTATCCTTGATCAGAATCGCTTGAAGGTAGCAAGGCGGTGTTTTACTAAGTCAGTTACCATATCCATTTGAGATGCTGAGAATATATATCCTGACCTAACAACAACACTTCTACATAAGTTGAATAGATTGATTTGATCATTCTTATTTATATATAGGGGTAGTACAGTTCTAATTATTTCACAGTAGGTACAGTCTACTACATACCAATATGTGATTGCAAAAATCATTCTATGAAGACTTTGTTGATACAAGGCACGTGACCACACCTCTGGCCTGATGCATCAGGCGCCAATGTGTGCCTTGCTTATGCTAGAAGGCCATCCATGGAAATCCAAAACTTGGAATGATTCTGGAATTTCCATCACTGGCTATGTTCCTTTGACTCTTCCTGGCTCTCTGTATCGCCGGCTGTGTAATGCCACCATTTGGGCATGCTCGGATGTGAAATCTTTTCGTTCAGAACCTCGCCTCGGAGGAGGCCATCCCAACGAGGGAAGTAACATATTACATATTCACGGCGTCCTGTTTACCGCACCGCCCAAATACTTGATTAAGAATTTTCAAAAATGCGCGAGTTAGACCCTCTGATCTCAGAATACCGCCATGAAAAGAAACGCCCCCGAGAAGCAGAGGCCCTGTTGATCCTGCGCAAAGTCGCGTCATTGGTTAAACCGATCATGCGACAGCGCGCCTGGAGAGTGGGTGCGCTCTGTGAGTTCTATCCGCAGCAGCGAAACCTGCTGGGGCTGAATGTCAACTCTGGTCAGAAGATCTGTCTGAGATTACGGTATCCCTCTGACCAACGGCAATTTCTCCCCATCGAGGAAGTTTTGGATACTATGCTTCATGAGTGAGTGCTTCTATATCTTGAATATCCCACAGTACATATTCTAAAAAGTTCAGACTCTGCCACAACGTGATTGGTCCTCACAACCAGCAATTTCATGCGTTGTGGAATCAACTTCGTGATGAGCACGAGGAACTAGCCCGAAAAGGCTACACCGGAGAGGGCTTCCTATCTCAGGGAAAGCGTCTGGGTGGCCAGAGAATTCCGCTGGATGAAGCCCGACGTCAAGCTCGTGCCGCTGCTGAACAGCGCAAGGTTCTTGCCAAAAATTCCGGCAAGAAGCTTGGCGGCACCCGCGTGCTCCGAGGAACAGATATACGCAAGCTCCGGGCTGACGCTGCGCAGCGGCGAATTGAAGTAACTCAGGGCTGTGCATCTGGTACTGACCGAAGCACTGAGCTTGCGGAAGAGGCTTCGCATGGGTTCCGAACCCAGGCCGAGGAAGACGACGCAAATGAGCGGGCTATCATGGAGGCCTTTATTGAAATGATACAGGAAGAAGAACGGGAGAAGTACGAGTCGTCATATGTTCCGCCAAGTCAAGAAAACCCGGCAGGACCTCGAACAAAATCGTCACCGCCACCTACTGCTTCTGACATCCCGCCTGCGATCTCTGAAACTAAACCGGCGTTTTCAAAGAAAGGCTTGTCATCAAGTCGCAATGAAACCGTCGATCTTACAGCCGATAACAGCTCATATGAGACACCATGGATCTGCCCAATGTGCACGCTCGAGAACCCGTCTACCTTCCTATGCTGTGATGTTTGTGCAGCTGAACGACCGCCTCCGGCCAGTGCACTATCTAAATCTACTTCTAATCGGAATCCTACCCAACCAGTGCGTTCGGAGTCACGCAAGTCGCAGAAGAGGCCTTTACCTCTTGATCAAAAGGAGGAGGAAGCGAATCTCGGGAGTGCCTTTGTTTTCAAGAACCGAACCCGTGCACTGGACACCCTCAAATCCTTGGACCGGGGTGCAGACAAGAAGCCTCTTGGATGGATTTGCATCTCGTGCAGTAGCTTTATGGAAACCCAGTGGTGGACATGTTCTTGCTGTGGGACAATGAAGCCCTCCTCTTGATCAAATCTCGAGGGGTTTCACCACCACAGACATCGAACAGGAACTCATGACCTTTATGAAATTCATACGTGTATGACAATAAATATTGAGAGAATATTAAATATTATACAAATTTATATTCCGTATCGGCTGCCAGGGGTAGAGCCCAGCCCCATACAATACCAACACGTGACTGATATGACTAAGAAAGCTCCACCAGGCCAAATTTTCTCACAAAACTCCTAACCGAGCTCTTTCCTCTTCTCCAGCTCCAACCAACACCAAAATCCAGCGTGGACTAAATCCAATTAATGGGGTTGATTTTTGGTCCATGCTGGAAGAGCCCCCTGATAGGTATGTGGTACTAAAATCTCCTGCCAGGACCAGTGAAGAAACAACAAGCATCACGCCAAACAGACTCTATCATGATGAGATTCGCATTAGAACCGGAATTTTAATAGGAAGAGCCGGAAGAGGTATGGCAGGGGCTGAAATCCCTGTCGTCGATGCTTACAATGGTTCTCCTGAGTAGAGTCTTAGACTGCTTGTTGTTTTTTTCCTTGGACCTGGTCTTGGAAAAATCAACGTGTCGTTGCTTGGAGTCACTTGCTAACAATGTCTCTTTGCAATGCAGATCTAAGGTTGTCTTTGCATCATCATCGACGACTTGAATTGTTGGTGTGGAGGAATCTGATAGCTAGACCAACTGAATGAATTATGCCATTACTTGATACCCTCGTGTTTATAAAAATTCAGTAGACAATTATCCCAGGGAAATGATTATATTTTCGAAATTGAATTATCATACATCTCTTATATTCTCTTTCAACTCCCAAGGATATAAAACTTTTATATGGAACACAGGCAGAGAAGACCTCCAAAGTAATAAGGTCGAAAATAATCACAACGCCAATATACATGCTGGGACACAACCTCAATCCTAAAATCAGGCAACGCTAACAAACTGGCGCTTCTTGCCCGTACCCTTGGAGGTCTGCTGCTCCTCCCAGGTGTCCTCATCAACGTAATCTGTGGTACCCTGCTCGCGGATCTGGTTGCCGATGAACTGCAGCGCGGAAAGGTTGAAGCCCATCTCGTCCTTCTGACGGGCAAGGACACGACGAAGCGATACCCGAATGCTGTCGAGCATAGGACGCATCATCTTGCTGGCAACAATTTGGCGGTGGTGAGTCTTGAGGATGAAGAACAACACGCGGCAGGTAAGGGGAACGTTCCATTCGCGATCAGCCCAGATGTTGAGGAAGGTGAAGAGAGCGGAAAGTTTGGAGAAAGGCAGAACCAAGAGAGCATCCTGGAGGGCGGCTGCGGGAATTTTCTGGACGGTGTTGAGAACGTGCTGCTCGGCGGAGACGTTGTTGAGAGCGAGGTAAACTGGGTTACGATCGGGCGCGGCGGCGTTAGGGTTGGCGGCCTTGACCCTGCGCCAGTCGCGTACAACTTCGAGATCCTCCAGGCCTAGTTCCAAAGCTTCCATAATCTTTTCTCCAGCCATGAGAGTGCCGGTAGTCTGCTTGCCAGCATCGACGGCCTCGGCCTTCTCGCCATCTTCACCGTCCTCTTCCTGTTCAAGAGACGCGGTGAGAGTGCTGTCGTAGGCCTCTTCCATCTCCTTCTCACGCTCTTCCTCCAAGAACAATGGCTCGTCTGTTTGTTGCCAGATGCGGATGCTCTTGTCGTGACTGGCGCTGACAATGAAGTCACCAGTGTGACTCATGGCAAGTGCCCAGATCTCACCGTGGTGACCGACGAGACGCTGGATTTGCTCGAACTTGTCACCATCCCAGTATTTAATGATACGGTCCTTGCTTGCACTGAAGAAATTGTGACCGTTTCCATCCTTGTTGTGAGGAACGAATGCCACTGCCATAATACTGTCCTCGTGGGCCAAGAAGGCCTTGTGACAGTCACCAAAGTCCAAGCCCCAGAGGCGAACGGTCTTGTCAGCCGAGCAGGTGACGATTAATTTGCTGTCATAGGAAATATCCATGCTCAAAACAGGGAGCTTGTGTCCGTAAAGGTTGAGGAATAGCTTCAGCGAATCGACGAAGAAGACCTTCACGGTGTTGTCTAAGAGAGAAACCGCCAGAAGTCGTGCATCCGGAGAGAAACGAAGGTTGAGAATATCGTCGTTGACCTTCAAGGTTCGTGTGTGTACCAGCTTGAGGCGGGGAGTGGTACGTTTGGTGCCCGGGATCTCCTCCTGGACAACCTGGAAATTCCAGAACTTGGCTGTCTTGTCTGCGCTTCCACTGACCATAGACTTGCCATCTGGGTGCACGTCGAGTGACCACACGGGTCCGTCGTGGGCCTTGATGGTGTCGAGTAATGTTGAGGATGCAATATCAAAGACCTCAAGTTCTCCGTTCTTGTTACCAACAACCACGATCTTATCACCGGGAAGGAATGCGGAACATAGGGAATATCCACACTCGAGTGTTCGTAGACAACTTTCGGTGCGGACGTTCCAGATCTTAAGAGTGCCATTCGAAGCAGAGGCAAGCATTCGATCATCGGAGCTCAATGCGATCGACCGAATGTCAGTTCGGTGACCAGGAATGTCCACCGCCAAACTCCGAGTGTAGTCGGGATCCTCGCTATCGGTGTTCTTCTTGTTCGCTGGCACAATGTTATAGGCCTCAAGCTGGTTGTTTGTTGTTGCGGCTAGGAGGTTCAATCCACTTGACTTGTTGGTCATCCAGTCAAAGGAACGAACCTTTCCACCAGTCCGCACGATAACATGTTGGACGAATACTTCCGATACAGGAGCGGCGGAAACATCCTCAGGCTTTTCATTATCCTCTGCCGGTCCGGTTTCCTCGGTGCGAGCATCCTTCTCCTTTCTTCTCTTCTTCTTACGGGCCATGCTCTTTTGTACCTCCGATTGAGAGCGAATGCGCCAAACCTCGACTGACTTGTCGGAACCGTGGAATGCAACATAGTCTGAGCGGGGGTGGAATCGGATGCCAATTGTGCGATCCTTGCCATGTCGGTAAAAAGTTCCTCGTTCTGTGAGAATCCGGCGACCATCCGCGCCAATTTTCTCCCTGGAAATCTCCATCATAGCCGCCTCGTCAATCGACCAGACCCGAAGTTCACCATCATTGCCGGCTGTAATACATCCGCCCTGGTCAGGTGAAAGACCCAAGCTCCAGCACTCGCCATTTGATTGTGCCACATGTGTTTCAATACAGTGTTGAGAGGCCAGATCCCAGACTTTGATCAATGCATCCTTGCCTGTGGTCAATAGGAATCCTGAGTGTTCACTCAACCCGGAAGCAGTGAGCAATTCTGGCGAAGGGAAGAGGAAGTGTAGCGATGTGATCTGATCGGTGTGTCCGCGAAGTCTGAAAAGACCGGTCTCGGTGATCAAATCCCAGAGGATGATATCGGTATCTTTCGAGCCACTGGCAAGGCGCACGCCGGCGTTGTCGAAGGCAAGCTTGGTGACGGCAGATTTGTGACCGTTGAAAGAAATAATGACGGTGGCTGTGCGCGAATCCCAAAGACGAATACTTCCATCCTCGTAACTAAAAATGGACATGATAGTCAGAGAAACATCCCTCACTAGGCCACACCGGAGAACACTCACCCAACTGCGAAGATATCTTCATCTGTCATGCTCTGAGTGATCACGCTGACCTGCGCTCTGCATGCAGAGTCTCTCCATCTTCCAAGAAGTTCTCCCTTCTTCACATCCCAGCATAGAACTTCCTCACCTGCGCCGACAATGGCTCGTCCGGCGCCGGTCTGGCGTGCAATGCCGATTTGGTCATCTTTGGCCCAAACCGCATTCGAAGACGCCGAGGCGACGAGTCCGAATGTATTCGAATGCTCGAATTTACTGTGTGAAGGTTAGCGCTTAGATCAGAGGATTCCAAATCACAAAAAATCGCACGTACAAGTATGATTTCACCATCGTTGAGGGTGGATGGGAAAATTTTTGGAATCTCCGATTGCTATCGATAGGACAAAATTAATACGGGCGGCCACAGCGACCTCTCCGGCTTCCCCCCACCGCCCATGACGATCACGGGCAACCTCACAACAGCCACCCATCTGCACTACAAACCAGCCATTGTCCTGCCCGTCATGCTTCTCTTAGATTACCAGAATGCTTTGATCCAGTCGCTCCTGACGGAGCGCTTTTCTGGGTACGCTCTGTTCCTCCCCCCTTAGCACTGCGACCCCCGCGCATTGTATACACATCACCCCAAATCAGGCATCCGGCTAACAAGCTGAACCCAGAGCATCACCCGTCTCCATTGACCAAGTGGTCTCCGACTTCGATGGTGTGACATTTCACCTATCCACCCCCGAGTCTAAGACCAAGATCCTCATCTCGATCAATGTGAAATGCTACAAGGAATTGGTTCAGTATGGAGCCCAGGAGGTGCTGGAGAGAGAATACGGGCCATACATTGTGTCACCGGAGCCGGGCTATGACTTCTCAGTACAAATCGACCTCGAGAACTTGCCCGCAGAGGAGGAGGCCCGGAATGACTTGATTATGAAGCTTGCCCTCCTGAAGCGCAACGCAATGGCTGCTCCCTTCGAGAGAGCATTCGACGAATTCAACAAGCTCGCCGAGGAGGCGTCCAGATACACCTCAGAGTCAGCGCCACAGGGTATTCAAGAGGGCGGTGAAGTTATGGCAATTCACTACCGTGAAGAGGAGGCCATCTATATCAAAGCCAACTGGGACCGAGTCACAGTGATCTTCAGCACCGTGTTCCGTGAAGAGACAGACCGGATCTTCGGCAAGGTCTTCCTGCAGGTTCGTAACTTGCCACAATTGGTCTGCGGATTTATGAGAAAGTCTTACTAAAGGCCTATAGGAATTCGTCGACGCCCGGCGCCGTGTTTTGACGCTTCAGAATGCCCCTCAAGTCCTGTTCCGTAACGACCCTCCTCTTGAGCTATCAAATGTGCCTGGTTTGAATGCCACTGGAGGCGAAGTCAGCTATGTCACCTTTGGTACGAATGCATAATGTGCTATTGATCTCCATTTCAGTACTGACTCGGCTGGCAGTTTTGTTCCCTCGACACCTGACCCCGCAGCGTCGTTACGAAAACATATCTCATATCCAGACCTTCCGTGATTATTTCCACTACCACATCAAAGCCTCAAAGGTATACTGGTTCTTCCCGTCTTATTTAGATGTTCATAAAGAATTGATGATTAACCGTCGCAGGCCTACATCCACACTCGAATGAGGAAGAGAACAGCAGACTTCCTTCAGGGTACGTGTCACCCAATCAAAGAAAATATGGTTACTGCTAACTCATACCAGTCCTCAACCGAGCTCGACCGGAGAATGAAGAACGTGAGCGCAAGACTGCAAGTGGACGCACGTTCCGAGTGCAGGGTTAGAGCTTTGAGTTTATTTGTTTGTATGAGCCAATTCAAGTCTATTGTTTGTACAGTTTTTCTTTGTTCAGATGCTACCCAGCAGCATATCTGCAGTGTTAAGTTCTTTGTTGTCTCGGTGCTTAACAACCCAGTGGGTTACCCAAGCCATTACTTAAGCAGCCCAACCACCTAGGCACTCCAAGAGGTCCATCCATGGATGTCACGGTACATCTCAACGTCTCAGTTGCTAGACTTCTGTTTCTAGACTCTATCTCGACCTAGAGACATACTGTCTATGAACATCACCTGAGGTTGTAGCAAATGGTACATTGTAGGTGAGGCTAAAGCTTTCGAAGACGAGGTGATAGGCGCAGGAATTTCCGGCCGAAGCTCTCATGCATGTTTCACAGCTTTAGATATGCGTATGTAAGGATCTATTTATGTATAGAATACAAGATCCGTCCTTCTTCCGGGTTCTTCTTTATCTGCTTGCGTCTAGTCGCCCAATCACGCGTAGAGGATTCCCAGCCGCTTAAATTTACTTCCATGTATAATTTCTTCTTGATTCGTTTGCGCCTTTATATGATCCTGGGCATGTGAAGGAGATCCCCAGCCGCTTGAATTTCCAAAATTGGAACTAATCTTAACATATTAGAACCCGGGTACATCGTATAACACTGGATACGTGCATAGTAGAACCTCGGCAGAGCACTAAACATGGATAGAGCATACAGATTCCGCTATAGATTTGAAGCACTGACTCACAGTGGAGAATTATTGTGAGTAACTTGCCAGTGTCTTCATGTAAGTGTCAAACTTTTGATACCTGCTTCAAGACTACTCGAGCAATGTGGCTCAACCGATCTATAGTTGTCGATAATTGATTGCACAGGCACTTTAATTAGACAAAGAATCTTCACAGAGGCCCAATTCACTAAGCTCCAAATCCTATTCGGGTATAAGTGAACCGGAGTTCCTCATATATGAGTTTCTATAATGGACGCATAACGCATTTTAAGGTTGCTGTCGCGGTTCTTTTCTTTCATGCAGCAAATCACACGCTGCCGCTTCCCAGCCGCTTGAAATACGCATAGCCCTGTCATTTCCTAGATAGTACTAGTTTTGCATCATATACCTTAGCTCGATATGGCATTGGTGCCGCTTATATATGGAGTCCTGGGATGGACCAAAATGGCAAGATGGAAGGATCGAATGAGCAATTGATCGTAGGTTCTGCCGTCGCACCTGCCATGAATGTATGTACTTCAGCTGCTCGACGCCGAGAGTAGAGCGCAGTAAGCTAAGATCTAACAAATAAGAAGGCCCTAAAGTTCTTTCTCTCCTTCTTTATCTTCTTTCTTCGCATAATTCCGTGTTTTCATCCTTGCGCGACATCTCATGTGAAATAGCGACAGTATGGCGCCCAAAGGCCTATGGGGAGCTGCTCTCTCCAAACTACGAAAGACGCACCCACGTGAACCAGAAGTCCCCCATGAGACTGCGCTGCCTGTTTATCCCCGATTCACTCGTCCTGTGTCAAACCAATCCAGCGTTTATTCTGAATTCATGTTCCCCCCAACTCCTTTACCAACTGTGATGACCGATTCCAATCTTGACCCTCTAGCAATGGCTTCGACCATTTCCCAGGCTCGTCTGAATGCTCTGCAATCAGGAGAGGACGTGGATCTGTTTTTCCAACGGGGTAAAGACTGTATTGATGCTTATGCTCAGGCCACCAAGGCCATGATGGAGGATGCCTGTGCCTGTGTCAAAGATGGCGAGGACCCTCCCTATGAAGAGATCAAACAGATGGAGCAGCGTTTCTTCAGATACTGTCAGTCAATTGTGGAGGAAGCATTGTCCCTGCTCTCTCGTACTGGCAACCATCCCCGGCGGGTCCATGTTTCCAGCAACTCGACCATGCCTTCGCTCATTTCCTCTACTTCGAACACGACTGGGTCTGAGCCAAAAACGCCCTTGCAATCTGGCTCATCTGACAGGTCAGGGTTTTCTGAAGCATTGGTAGGTGACTTGTCTTCATACATTGATTTCACTCTCGAAATAATTGACTCCTGACCTTTGATAGCTTGCATCTAGCGGCCGGGGCCGTCTACGTCTCTACACTGTGAGCAGCGATGAATGGGTCATGGTTCCATCCATGCCCTCGCCCACTACTCCAGCGAAGGTCGTGGCCCCCGAGGATATGGACCCTGTCGAGGAATCCATTCATCTTGGTGTCATCGTGCGCATCTTTGGCAAGTTGTACACCATGTCGAAGATCATGGAGATAATCATCCTGTACTACGGCGCTGAGGTATGACTTGACCCCACAGCTTTACTCTTTCTCCATTGTTTTACTTATTGCTACTTCAAAGCGCAAATACTAACGCCAATGTGCTACAATTAGAACGACACTTCCGAGACCGGCCTACCATACTGGATCAAACGCAGCGAGCAGAATGTGCGCTCCCAGAAGATGGCCGTACTGATTGACACCGTCGAGAACCTCTATTATGCTCTCTATGCTCGGATCACCATTGAGCTGGCCAGCATTGAGCTTTGCGGCTCCTACCGAGTCGACACTAGTGCATTGCGAATCGAGCTTCCACTCCTCATGCCAGAGGCAGATCATCTCTACCGCATTGTTCTCGCGTTCAAGGATGTGCTGGACTCTCCAGAGATCTGCGCAATCCTTAGAACCGACGTCATCGCCCACTTCCAGCAAGGATACATTGATCAGGTTATGGACAAGAAAAGAAAGCCAGAACTTCCCTGCTTTGACCCCCTCGGATATCGCCCGTTTGCAATGAAAACTGTTTCTTACCGACACGGATCTTACTGCGAGAAATGGAAAGCAGTCATTCCATTCTTCAATTTCATCCCAGCAGAGACCATGGCAACTATGTCGGAGAAGTATCTCACCATGACTCCCGTGACCATTCCACCTGACGACATTCCACTTGTGGAGCTTCCTTGGATTTTCCCAGAGGATGTGGGTATGGCGGTCTGGGATACAGATATTGTGCGGGATTATCGCCTAGCTACCATTGCGAAACAAACGGGCACAACCATCGGAGAAGAACGCAAGAAGGAGTCTGCCCCTGGCCTTTACCACCTCATCAGGCAAGGAAAGTGCATTTGCAGCTCTATCTGTTCATGTTCCTCGCAGTGTACCGAGGAGGTGGAGCGCGGCTGCACCTGTGCGGAACGACATGTACGCATCATGGCGACCAAGCGTGGTCTTGCCCACAGACGGAACGGACCTAGTTTCGCTGCTACTGCTACTACCACTGCTCGCATGTTCTTTCACGGTTTGTCGGAGCTCAGACGTATTGTTGAAGCTGCTGATATTGCCAATGAATTGGACCAAGCCTTTGAGTTGTTCGCTCTGTTGATCTCCGCGGAACGAGATATGGCTCTCAGGGAAGATTCCCAGGCAAGCTGCTAAGATCGCAGCCCTGTCTGTCACTTCGGCCACGACTTACGATGACGAATGACGACTGACGACTACAAATGCAACTAGGATTCATGATTCAATTCGGTCCTAGAATTACAATCATACGAATGGATTGAAGGTTCCCAGAGTGGGTATTCTGTACACTCGACTTTGATGAAAATCATCCAAAAGGAATTCAATCTGTAAAAGGAAAACAAAAGAAGAAAACGGAGAAAAAAGAAAACGAAAACGACCTTAAAAAACAAGCGACAAAGGGAGGAAAGGTCAGTCAAGCAGGGGAAGCGCTCGGAGAGAAAGCATCGAAGGGAAATAATGAGAGACCCAAAGGGTGAATAACATCGTTTGACAGATATTGAGAACTGATCATGAGCCATGTCATTTATTTGATGAAGCCACCACGAGAGGTCTACATATCGAGTCTCGAAATGAAATTGATTCAACCCCAGATGAGACCTAATGATCCGTACAGATTCGCCCCATATCCGATTCAACTCTAACAGCAGAATAGACGGCTGCAACCTTCAGGAACCCACGATGAGGAATACAATTTGGATGACCCGGTTTCTTGGAATTCCAGTCCAGCAATCACAAGAAAATCATCTTGGGTATCTTGTATGGAATATCTTCCAATTCCCCAATTTCGGCGAGCTCGGCAATTGGGGCCAGGCTAGTATGATTTTCACTGATTTATCGTCTCGTTGGACATGTAGATCAGACGGTAGACCCACTCTTTGGACTTGCTAATGGGTGCTTTTTGTAGTCCATTTTGAAGACATCTTGCATCTCTTCGACTTGGCTGGGTGATTTCAGAAATGGTCTTGACTGCGAGCTTTTAAACACTCATTTTTTTTCTCTTCTACCATGTGTGAATGAAGCGAACTAAAGAGCTGTGAGGAAAAATCTTGGCCTTCGGCGATATAAAGAGGCTCATTGGATCGGCGGGCATCTAGATCAGTGACCGTAGCCCTAAAAGTCATGGGAGTTTTGTATGATCAACTGCCCTTCAGAAAAAAAAGACCAGATAGATGGACAAATTCAACAAGATTTAGATCAATAAGGCAATATCGAACAAAAGAACGATCAAAACATCAGGAAAATGTCGAGATTTCAACGATTTTCATATTCTCAAAGATACTCCGTAGTGCAAGGTACAGTCGGCGGCGCAGACCAGTGATATCTTCGAGACATTCTCGGCCTTCACCGGTGACTCGCATTTTTTTTTCTTCTCGGTGCCTCCAAGTCCAGGTCTGAGTCAACAATTGTTTTACGTTGTCTTCTCCTATTCTATCTCTTCATTTTTTCCCACTTTTCATGCCTTAATGCCCCAGAAATCTGCGGTGCCCACCTTGGCGCACAGAGAGCCAAGTTAGGGATGGTGACCAAGGCAGTTTCACAATTATCATCATCATGGACATCCATTAGCAAGTGGATCGCGAACATAAGCATAAATCAACCCCCGATCCAGAGTGCCCGCCTCCGACAACCGAGCACGGCACGGCCATATCACGCGGCAGTGTGGCCCTCCTACGGCATCACCACTCCCGTCCCCGACCAGCCATTCGGTTCCCCCAAATCGCCCTTTCGATTCGACACCGGCTACGCTCTATGTGCTAAACGACCCTCACGACCCTTTCCTCCACCTTTCCTGTCCCCACCCTCTTCATCTTTTTCGGATCCTTTGACGACACACGGACTTAGTCAGGATAAGAGATTATCCGTCAAGGGCGAGCTAGTCCGTGGCTTGAATAATGGAGACGATGCGATCATCGTTGCCGAGAACTTTATAGGCGTCGACGATGGCGTGGGCGCTTGGGCTACGAGACCTCGTGGTCATGCTGCGTGAGTTCTCTCGTCTCGATTTATATCCTATGCCCACGGTCGCTGACTTTGTTTAATTCCTGACACAGACTGTGGTCTAGACTCCTATTACATTTCTGGGCACTCGAGGTCGAAAAGAACGTCGACCACCGCATGCCCACCCTCGACCCGGTCGGATACCTGCAGTATGCATATGAAGAGACCCTGCAGGCAACCACGTCTCCTACCGAATGGCTCGGCACGACAACCTCCGCCACTGCCATACTACACTGGACCAAGGAAAAAGACGGCACGCAGAAGCCATTGCTATACGTTACAAACCTGGGTGATTGTAAGATCCTCGTGATTCGGCCCAGCGAGAACAAGGTCCTTTTCCGCACTGCGGAACAGTGGCATTGGTTCGATTGTCCCATGCAGCTTGGCACAAACAGTATTGACACACCCCGGAAAGATGCGGTCTTGTCCAAAATTGCGGTGCAAGAAGACGACATCGTCTTGGCGCTCTCGGATGGCGTCATGGATAACCTCTGGGAACATGAGGTCCTGAAAGTAGTGATAGACAGTATTCACACATGGGAGGAAGAGCGCGCGGCGCCGAAGAATGCTGCGCGGCACAGCCATATATCTGATGATCGCAATGTCTTTGTTGCCCGGGAACTGCTCAATGCTGCTTTGACGATTGCCCAGGATCCCTTTGCAGAGAGTCCCTTCATGGAGAAGGCTGTGGAAGAGGGTCTGGCTATTGAAGGAGGCAAAATGGATGATATCTCCGTCGTCGTCGCATCCTGCCAGAAAAGCGATGGATGAGGAGTAGCCATCCGTTTTACGATCAGACTTTCTTTCGCCAATTTCCACCGGACCTTGGTTTCTACCCTACTCTCGGAGGTGTGGCAGTTTTCTTGATACCAAATCTCGTCCCGCAAGGCCGGCTTCTATTCCCCTCTAGAGGCTCATGTATACCGCCAAAAGCTTGTCCGACCACATCGCTATTGCGCAACTATGACACCTTGCGAGTGTCGAATCAGGACCCAGACATGCATTGCAGTCAAACACTCATCCTTGGGAAATGATATCCCCCAGTCTTCCGGCGCCAGGCTTGATTTCTTAGTCTCGCCTACTCATCATACTCCAATCCATTGGTATCTTCCATTGGCTCACACAGCTATATGACCAACAGAGAATTTGCATCGATGGTGTGCCAACACTCCGAAGACTTGTGCCACTCTGTTAACCTGATGACCCCTACCTATAACCAATATCCCCCTCTACCACATTTGAGACCCCTTTCCTTACGCATTCACCCATGAAGGATTCAATTATTGGCGCGATGTGGCTGGTTTGTCCATCGTTTAATAGCCATTTTCAGTCTAGACAGCACAAATAATAATATCTCTTTGACTTGGTACATTGTATGCTATGTCATTCCTCATCTTCAAGTATGCGGATATCAGTAAATGCAAAGTATAGGGTACTTAATTTTAAGACTCAATGCCCCACTTGAACAAAGTACCGGGTACCTCACCCTCAGCACAGACCATAGCACCGCTGCTTCCGCCCGGCAGAATGAAAAAAGTTTCGGTCGATGTAGAAGCTCATGACTTTCGTTGTATTCAATCCTCAAATACTTGACATTCATCACTCACAATGAGGGCCAAACGTTCAAAGAAGTATCGCAAGCTTATGCACCAGTATGAGCTCACTTTCGGTTTCCGAGAGGCCTACCAGGTCTTGGGTATGTCCTATTTAATGCATTGTTCTGACGTACAGTACTGACTGGCCCTCGAACAGTTGACTCGAATTTCCTTCGCGCTACCGACTCCTTCAAGATGGAGTTAGTTCCTGCACTTGAACGAACAGTTCAAGGCAAGGTCAAGCCTCGTGAGTCGCATCGAACACTAAAATTCTACATATCCCAAGACGCATTTCAACTAATCATCTCGCAGTATTGACAAAATGCTCGCTCGCCGCCATCATGGCCGCACAACCCATCAATCCCAAAACTGAAAAGCCATACCGACCTCTCTTCCTTCCCCCGCCCACAGAACTCCCACTTCGCCACTGCTCGCACAATGCGGACTCCACGCCCATCGACGAAATCGAGTGCCTCCTCTCGCTGCTTTCACCCAACGCAGAGTCAAAGAAGAACAAGGAGCACTACATTCTCGCGTCCGCGGATCCAATCTTGAGGAAGACCAACAATAGCGAGAACCAGCCCCGCAGACGGAAGACAGAGGAGGATCGTAAAGAAGAGGAAGCTATGCGCCGTTCTCGCGCATTGCGCTCCGCTGCCCGCTCTATTCCCGGTGTGCCTATCATCTACGTCAAGCGCTCAGTGATGGTCCTCGAGCCCATGAGCGGCCCGTCCGAGATGGTGCGGGATGGTCATGAGCGTGGGAAGTTCCGCGCTGGATTGGATGTGGACCCTACGCTAGGCAAGCGCAAGAGAGATGGTGAAGCTGATGGCGAGAGCGCTGATGAGGAGGAACCCAAGAAGAAGCGCGGTCCTAAAGTTAAGGCGCCTAATCCTCTTAGCGTGAAAAAGCCTAAGAAGAAGGTTGAAGCGCCTGCACCGAAGAAAAAGGCTGCACCGAAGGAGAGTGTCGCGGATGCTACTGAGCAAAATGATGGCGATGAGTCTGCCGCGCCCAAGCCTAAGAGGAAGCGCCGTCATGCTAAGAGTGGCCCTCGCGAAGACTTGGAGGGCGCTGAGCCTAATGAGGCCATGGAGGTTGACGCTTGATTGAATCCTCACGGCATAGGCGACTCATGATGCTGGTTATCATTGCATGCATTCTCAACCTTATTTCACTCTAGGGTGCGGCGTTCAAATCGGATGGGTTATATCTAAAAGTTCAGTTGATGTACATAATAGTAATGTACATCCGATATCATTCAATAGATCCTATCATCCTCGGTATATCGTAGTAGTCAAGTCTTGGGTTTTGGTGTCAGACGAAAAAAAGGGACAGGAAACAGGCCCAAGGCCAGTCGGCTATATGTATATTTACATGTTCAGATATCGTACAAGTGTTCTTCCCCAGAAATGAGAGGAGATAATTGGGGTTGGGTTTGCTTGTCCCCATGCATTCGTGAGAATATAATCCCAGTTGGGTTGCAATCTGGGAGCCATGCAGAACGCTGCCCCTAATACCACGCAGCGGTGCTGGCTTTTCAGGTATCAGTCAAAACAAAGAAGAGCCATAAAAACCACACTCCAAACTCCAGTCCCAAACATGATGGTATGTGCTCATCTCACGGCACAGCCTATTGGTTTGCAGCACTAGTAGTAGTCGCCGGCACGGCATTCGACGCCGCAGTAGCCGCAGCAGGCCCTTGATCAAGCTCTCGCTCTTTGGCCCAGATCTCCTCAACACGCCGGCGGTTGCTGCGCGCATCATCTCTGTTGCGCTTTGCGCGCTCATATCGCTCTGCGGAGAGGCATTTGTTCACGTCGCGCTTGATATCGTTGCAGCTTCCGATGACCTTGTGCAGGAATCCCTTAGCATGACATTCGTCCAGGGCAGTCATGATCTCTTCGCAATCTGTGAGATATTAGTCAGTATCGGCAATTATAAAGTAAAATGGGACGGCTAGATGGATCTGCCGGGTATGTGGACTCGACGTACTGGCATTGTAGGAAGTGTGGAGGTGAGAATGCATATTTGCGGTGGTATTAGGGTAGAAATTAGAACAAATTGGAAAACAATTGCAAGTTCAATCGTACGATCAACGCAAAGCAAGAACATCGCGGGTCCGCAAAACGTCCAGGCGGTAAGGAGATCGGCCTGATTCTGCCGGGCGGAAAGCCCCTCGAGGCACACCGATAAAAAAAAATATCGCCGATAAAAAAAAAGTGGACGGTGATCAGTTTTGTCACAACTCTTTCACAATGTCTTCCATGATTACGACTACGACATGGGTGAAGCGCGGTGTCGCTGCCCAGTTCCCTACCAAATATGAGATTGACGAGGCCGAGATGGGCCGTATATCTAAGCTTGCGCGCATGCAGCTCGAGGATGCGAAGGACGATATGAATGCTGCCCAGGGAGGATCTGGAGATGAGGGTGACGATGCCATGGTGGATGACTCTGAGGAGAAGACCGCAGCCAAGGGCACCGATTCAACGTGAGTAATGTAGAACACCGTGAGGATCTAACTTGTGCTAATCGGATTCACAGCGATGATGATGATGTGTTGAAGGAATTCGACATGGATAACTACGACAAGGAAGAGAGGGATGAGGACGGAGAGAAGGTCACCATGTTCGGCAATGTCCAATCCCTGGCCTACCACCAGCCCAACGAGGAAGACCCGTACCTTGTGATCCCCGAGGACGAGGACGATGAAGAACGCGAGGAGCTCCAGATCATGCCCACCGACAACCTTCTATTGGCCGGAAAGGTGGAGGACGAAGTTGCACACTTGGAGGTCTACGTTTACGAAGACAAAGCGGACAACCTCTACGTGCACCACGACATCATGTTGCCCGGCATCCCGCTTTGCACAGAGTGGCTCGATATCCCCGTTGGTAAGAACCCCGACGGTCGGACACAAGGAAACTTTGTGGCTATCGGAACCATGGAGCCTGATATTGAGATCTGGGATCTGGATGTCGTGGACTGCATGTACCCCAACGCTATTCTCGGACAGGGTGGCCAGGACGCCGATAAGATGAAGAAGAAGCAAAAGAAGAAGGCCAAGGTCAACGACGAGTACCACATTGATGCCGTCTTGGCGCTGGCCGCCAACCGTCAGCACCGCAACCTGCTTGCCTCGGCCTCAGCCGATAAGACCGTCAAGCTCTGGGATCTCAACACTGCCACCTGCGCCAAGTCCTACTCCAACCACAAGGACAAGGTCTGCTCACTAGACTGGCACCCTACCGAGTCCACCATTCTGCTCAGCGGCAGTTACGACCGCACCGTAGTGGCAGCCGATATGCGTGCGCCGGACGCCCAAGCTCGCTGGGGTGTCGATGCCGACGTCGAGTGTGTGCGCTGGGACTCACACGACACCAACTTCTTCTACGTTACCACCGACGGTGGCATGGTCTACCGCTACGATATGCGCAATATCCCCGCCACCCCGGCCGAGTCCAAGCCCGTTTGGTCCCTGCAAGCACACGACTCCTCCGTTTCATCCTTCGACATCAACCGCTACATCCCCGGCTTCCTGGTGACCGGCTCAACAGACAAGACCGTCAAGCTGTGGAGTGTCGAGAACGACAGACCTACTCTGATTGTCACTCGCAAGCTTGAGGTCGGCAAGGTATTCTCTACTTCCTTCGCCCCCGACCAGGAGGTCAGCTTCCGGTTGGCGGTTGCTGGTAGCAAGGGTAATGTGCAGATCTGGGATGCTTCGACTAACGGCGCTGTCCGTCGTGCGTTTGTGTCTCGTCTGCCTGATCTTGCTGGTGATGTCCAGGAGCGCACTGTTGGTCTCAGTGCTGATAATGATGAGTCCGATTCGGATGAGGGCGAGGATGATGGCGAGGACGAGCCTCGTGGTGGTGATGGCTGGGAGTCGATGGATGAAGACTAGATGGATACAGATACCCGTTGATCCTTCCGTTTCATATGCGCCAAAAAATAGATTTGCTGTTGGGTTTTGCATGTTAATGACCAGTCTGTTATGAAGTTTTGGAAATATGAGGACAATTACAATGACACCCATGGGAGCTTGGATTGACAAGGACAAGTAGTTTCTTGAGAGGATCCAATCTATGTTTTATGTCAATGAAGCCAAGTCCTTGAGGAACAAACCATGAACCTTAGCTACCTTAACTTCATATAACATATACCAAACCCCAGCACGTGACCCTAGCCCGCTTCCAAGGTTGGCATTCTTTTAGCGGGCCCACATAACGCAACCTTAATTCTAAACCAGACATGTGCTGTAGGCAGTATCTACCCAGGTGAACACTAGTAGCATAAAGGGGTGATATTTGGCCTGATACTCTCCATCATAGATCAATGTTTTAATTTGGCTTGTGGCTTGTGGCTGATATGATGGGGACAGTCTCTTGTACATACGTGACGGTACGTCTGCCACTGCCAGTACCCCGTAGCTGCTCAAGGAAAGGGAAGTATGTCAGTGGACTCTCCGTTAGCCCTTGATCGCTTACAACAGAATGTCTGCCGATTGCTAATTAGCAAAGCTCTATCACGGGAGGCCAAAGGAGCGTGAACCGAATGAGTGTAGTGCCTGAAACGGCATTGCGACTTTTCTGGGTCTAACAAGTGGCAGCAGTTCCAAAGGACATGATAGCCACCATTACTATGATTTTCTATACTCGCTTTCAGTTCCGCAATATAAATTTGAATTTCAGGCAAGATCTTTTGGAAAGGCACTGAAGCAAGGTTTCAAGTGAATTGCAGATGCTAGAGCTATCTATATCTCATACAGTTTCTATGCTAGGCAGTCACAGATCTATTTACTTTCGGTACAGGTACTATATTTAGCCCTCTTTTCGAGTGTTTCTAGCTAAATGGGATTGTTAATGTCTCGTTGATCTTATCTTTCGTTGAAATCATCATTTACCTAGCCTCCTAATGAATTTCAATTTTGCTATGAATTTTTGGCTCTCTATATATATCCAGATTTGAGAGTATCAAGAAGCCAAGAAGGTTGATTTGCTATTGCTAAGACGCAACCATTGGTCAGGCTTTGCTAGTCTTGGTCTTTCCTCAAGGTGAAAGTCGCTTCTTCCCGGCGAGATCGCTCTTTCTCTTCTATCCCTGAGGAATATCTACTTGGAATATTTCTTCCTTCAACCTTCCCAAACTTAGAAGATCCGCTCATTTATTGACGGCTCGCTTGATTCATGACTAAAATGACCATGCTGTGACAAAAACCAACATTCTTTCAATAACTGCGCCTCCACTCCACCCAGCGAGAACGTGGATCAATTCATCAAGCCCAGAGATAATGAGCGAGATATTTTAAAGTCTCGATGTCAAGGACGTTTATGCATCACGACTAGCCTGCATTACATTCACACTGACAACTCACGGCTATTTCGCCAACCAATCTTTCAACGAATTCTATCTTGCCCTTACAAGTGATGATCTACGAGAGTTGAGTACTTGGTTGGCCACGCAGTCTTCAACACATATGAGTGTATCCATCAACACTGAGACTTCCGGTGGGATGATGGCGGATGGCGGCCTTTCTCTCACTCCAGCATATTAAAAAGCCTCGATGCTGATCTTTCTCTAGCTGGGGCAGCTGCCCGTTCGTATTTCGTCGGCACATACCCCACACCATGAGCGGCACCAATTATACGAGTAGGTAGGCACTTGCCCTTTAATGTCTGAAATGTTGGGAAGCAGTACAGAATATGGTATACAAAGAACATGTATTCTACTTCTTTGTATGTATATTTTCATCTTAGACATACTTCCCTTGCCTGAACTTCGAGGCATTGCACTTTCATCCTGTCCAAATTAGGGCTGTGCACCCATTGACGTAATCAAAGCTCGGAGCAACAGTTGCTCCGCGAGAGATCACATTGGCTGTCGGAGTGGTTGATCAGTGCCCATGCACCCACTATACTTAGTCCCAAAAGGGACCCCGAGTACTCCATCACAAAAACTAATAGCTTATTATTTAACACATCCCTCCTAGTACGTAGATTTTCTGCATCTGTATCAATTTCTCAAACATGGACACCAGTTTCCAAGCCGCCATCGACGCCGGCAAGATCAACGGCGCTGTAATCTGTGCCACCGATGCCGAAGGCCACTTCGTCTACAACAAAGCAATCGGAGAGCGCACTCTACTCTCAGGCGAGAAGCGGCCACAACAGCTCGACGATGTACTGTACTTAGCCTCAGCCACCAAATTGTTTACCACCATCGCCGCCCTACAGTGTGTCGAAGACGGCCTACTAACTCTAGATGGCGACCTATCGTCCATCGCCCCAGAGCTTGCTACCAAACATGTTCTCACCGGCTTTGCCGATGATGGAAGCCCTCAGCTTGATCCGCCAGCCCGCCCCATCACCCTCAAAATGCTGCTCACTCATAGCTCCGGCACCTGCTACCACTTCATGAATCCGCTCATCGCCAAGTGGCGCACACAGTTTGCCAATCCACAGAATGATGACCCTCGCTCCGTCGAGGAGATGTTCAGCTACCCGCTCATCTTCCAACCCGGTGCTGGTTGGATGTACGGGCCGGGTCTTGACTGGGCGGGGCGTGTGGTGGAACGTGTCACGGGTGGCACGTTGATGGAATTCATGCAGAAGCGTATATTCGACCCGCTCGATATCTCAGATGCCCAGTTCTATCCTGTCACCCGCGAGGACCTGCGAGCCCGTCTCGTCGACCTCAACCCTGATGACCCCGGTGCTCTCGGTAGTGCCGTGCTCGGAGGTGGCGGCGATATGAACTCACGGGGCCGTGGTGACTTTGGTGGTCATGGGCTGTTCTTGCCCGGCTCGGATTTCATCAAGGTTCTGCGCTCGCTGTTGGCTAATGATGGCAAATTGCTCGATGCCAATATCGTCGACAATATGTTCCAGCAACAGCTTGGCCCGGAAGCGGCAGCAAGTCATCAAGCGGCGCTTGCTAGTCCCATGGGTGTTTTCTTCCGCGTGGGCACAGATCTGGGGATGAAGCTTGGCCATGGTTTGGGCGGCTTGGTGACGCTTGAGGATGTTGATGGATGGTATGGTGAGCGGACGTTGACTTGGGGTGGTGGCTTGACGCTTGCTTGGTTCATTGATCGGAAAAATAACCTATGTGGTATTGGTGCCATCCAGGCTGCGCTGCCAGTTGACGGAGAATTGGTGGCCGAGCTGAAGCAAACCTTCCGCCATGATATTTACAACAAATATACTGCGTGGAAAGGCCAGCAGTAAACACACTAGGTGATCGAGGGGGAAAGATACCTCTTTTCTCGTTGGGTATGGAATTTGTTGGAATACCAGACATTTAGCTCTCACTTTTCTTGCATGAAAGATAGGATTCACAAGCCGAGGGTCCCCTTGATGAAGGTCGCCCTCGATATATGGTATACCTAAGTGGGACTCACGTAGCATTTAAAAGATTGATCAAGCAAATTCACATTTCTATTGTACAAGCGACCCACAAGACCAAGGCAGGCCAAAAGAGATATCAGAATTAAAAAAAAAAAAAGCAAAAAGATCACCACATGAAGCGCTGAGTCTTGCCAGGCTCTTGGGGCCACTCAAAGCCCTTATACAGGAAGACATAGCCAGTGATCAAATTGATGATCAAGAACCAGATAGTCTCCACGAACTTCGGTGTGTTGATAATGAAGTCAGAGCGGCGCTTGGCTTCCTCTGTGCGGGGACGAGTCTCCCGGTCCCTGAACAGACATGGCAAAGGAGGGAGATGCACACGCCACATAACCCACGGGATGATGAAGTAGCGGGGTTCGACAAGGGGTGCTGTGATGAGAGAGAGAGAAGTAGCGGCCAGCCAAACAAGGACGAAACTGACGCGTGGTGCCTCCAACAATTCTCTCTGCCGGGTGAGGATGTGTTGCTGGACCCTAGCCAGGATCGCGGGGTCATTTGGATCCGTAATCTCTGCCGGTAGCTCAGTCAATTTGGTCTCTGCTGGTGGCTCAGGCTTTTTGGCTTTCTTGTTATTGGGCCGGTTGGGCTTCTTCGTTCCCTTCGGTGGCTGTTGGTGTGCCGGAATAGGCTTGCGCGCAGAGGGCGAAGTAGGTTTGGGCTCTTGAGCTGCTGGAGCCGGAGCTGGAGCTGGTACCGGTGCCGGTGGTGTAGTTGGGGTAGACTTCTGAACTCGCAGGGTTTTGGGCGGACGTTGAATGGTGGTGAATCCAAAGGCGGAGATCACGACCCATCCACAAAGGAAATAGACTGGGACTGCAGCATACTTCACAGCTGGGTGGAGCAGAAGAATGCGAAACACATAGAACACATAGTGTCGGTTGTCAGCCAGGGTGAAGGGGTGCACAATGGTGTTGAAGTGAACCACGGCAAGCATAAGCGGAACGACAATCAGGGCTGCCTTGAGCTTGGGATATTTTCTCTGTTTCGGGGGAAAGCCGAGGTTCAGATATTTGGGGAGCGGCTTGAGGGCGAGAATGTTGATCAGAGGAACGACGAAAAGAGGCCATGAGAAGAAGGTGAAATACGGCCAGATGTAGAGCATCTGAGCGAGGTGGATACCAGCGGTATGGAACTCCTTGTGGCCTATTGGATAGCAACTATCAGTGAAATTCGCATTTCATGTAATACAACAGGACACTCTTACCTAGAACGACTCCGTTGTTCCAAAGCACGAATGCACCAAAGGCCGCAAGGATGATGAGGTGAGGGATGACAGAAACGAGGAGAGAGAAAGGTTGCTTCAGGGCGACAGTTGCAAGTGAAATAGCGGTCTTGAAATAATCTATATGCTAGGTCAGAATGGTGCCCTGTTTGTTCTATATTGTGCATTCAATAGATCGATTTACCTTCAAAGGAAGCCTCCGAAACCAGAGGATCATACACCTCATTCTGTTGACCTTGCTTCACGATAGTTGACACTTTGGATGACATGCAGGGCTTGGCAGACTTTCGAATCTTACGGACCACTTGAAGTCCACCCAGGAAGACGGAGACCCAGAAGATGTTGGTCTGTCGGCAGACCAGTGCAGCCAGAGCGAACCCCAAGAATCCCAATGTCTCCAGAACACCATTGCTGGGCGCTCCTTTCGCACCTTCTCCCGACTCAATTTCCTGGTCTCTCTCTAGATCTCTCTTGAGGTCCCAATTGTAGGCTTCCACCACAACCAGCAAAGCAAGAACATCTGTGTAGTACAGACCGGAGAAGAAGAACAGCGGGGGGAACAAGCAGATATTCAGCACGGTGTGCGAGATGTTCGCTCCTAGCGGCCGAGTATTTTTCGTTTTCTGCAAGGTATCAAGTAATGCTTGCATTCGCCATGGGAGAATGACTGTTGTCGCACCAACGTTCGTCATGCGCAGGACATCCGGAGTGAGCTTTGTCGGGGACCCACGTAGCAGCAGCACCGTAGCGAAGATGATGTATGAGCAAAGATACAGACCCGGCGGGGTTGTAAGCTTCGGATCCCATTGCGTCCATTTATGCGACCAGTATGCTTGTGCTTGCGGGACATGGAAGACTTCGTCGAGGTAGGGTTCGGGGACAGCCTTGTTGACAAGACTCACCCAAAGAGGAATCAAGACCAAGCAAAAGGGAACCAACCATCGAGCACTCCGGCTGCGGTCTGATTCTGGAGGATTGGCCATGCTGTCTATATGACCATTTGCAGCAATCTTGTAAAGTTGCCAGACGAGCTTTAATTCTTCGGCCACCGAGTCCCAGGCGGAGCTTGCGGAGCTCATCCGATGCAAACGTTTCAAACGTTTCGACCGTTTCGAAGTTGTCATCTCGACGCGACTTGAGATTAAGTGAAGACATTTAAAGAGTCAATTGAGAAGAAGATCAAAGAGATTCAAACAAGACAAGAAGAAAAAAGGGAAACGAGAGAAACGCGAAGCAGACAGTCAAGATCGCGAATCGCGACAAAAACGACCTATATCATCGAAAAACGATGAGATCGCGACTCTGACAAAATTGAAATCGCCTTCACTATCATATTCACATCATGGCTTTCCCTCTTCCTCGGGGCGTCACAGCCTCAGAGATCGCCTTTCTGGCAGAGATGGAAACAGTGACAATTGTGCCTCGTCAACGTCTAGAAGGCCTCGAATTACTAGGAGTGAATGCGCCTCCGATCTACTTCACCTGAATTCCCCAAAGCTGACTATCTCCAGGGCCCCATTGAACCTCTCATTCCACCCCGACGCGCCTCACTCCCCCTCTGGCTCGCGCTCCTCCTCAAACGCCAACGCCGCGCAAACATCATCCCACCAACATGGCTACACCCAGAGCCACTAGCTCTCATCCTCGAAGTCGAGTCCCAGCACCAAGACTACAAAAATGCTTTCTCCCCACCTCCTCCCCTGCCCGGTCAACCCAGCATTCTAGACCGTGACGCCCTACCATCTGCTCGGCCGCAATTTACACCAGATGGCAATCGATACTATGCGGCCCCGCCTTTCATACCCCAAAACACAGCCCAGACCGTGACGTCTTCGACGGAACCGCCCTCACTGCCATTCCACTGGGTCGAGGTTGGAAATATGCTGCTCGAGGCCGCGAGTGATGATCTCGTGGACCCGGACCAGATACGGAGACTGCTGAAGGATCTGCGCGAGGTGCGCATGGCGAAAATGAGGTCTGGTGTGGACGTACTGGATGCTGCAGCAACCGGTGGCGGTGGTGTTGCTTTGACGGGTGTCGGTTCTATGGAGCTGGGAGAAGAGCGAGGGTTTATCACTGGTGTGGTGGATGGTCTTCGGTATGTTTGATATCATTCTTGGACACTGACATGTCCGAGAATGAATATAGGTACGAGAAATTCCATTACTAACTAGCGCATAGGAGAATCGGGGCTTCCAAGGAACAGGCCCGCCGTGAACAGATGGCCGAGCAGAGAGCAAACGGCGGCTATGATGGCACCCAGGACAACGACGAAGAAGAAGACTACATGGAGTTCTGAGCATTTTGAGCCCTTTTTTTTTCCTGTTTTTGGGGTGTCTTTCATTCGGAGTTATTCGGTGCATACGTGACGCAGACCAATGCCCAAAACGACTTTCATGTATATAATCCAATATACCCTTCGGATCCAATGACCAACGGTTATAATCGAAGTTGTTCCAATTTAACTAACACCATACAGCATGCGAGCGCTTTAATACAAGACGAATGATGTCGCGAAGCAAAACCTAAAGAATGGAGAGGGTATATCGGTCCCCGGAAAACATTAGTGCCGGGTTTGACCAGGGTTATGGACGTCTTTACCAACGTCAAACACATTGTACAGAAAGTCATATTGTCGATAGGCAAACGTGGCAGTTCTCATATCATTGGACATCGCCCTGATTCTTTTGCATCATCTTCCTCCGCGCCGCCAAGATCATATCATCTCGACGCTTCTGTAGTATCCGCTGGCGTTCTTCCTTGTTCTGAGACCAGGAAGACTTGGAAGGTGTTTCAGGTTGTGACTCTGCAGGAGGGCTCGCGGCCTTCTCATTCAGATTATACCGGGATATCAAGTCCTGTGCGTCGGCTTTGACTGCGGATGCGGCCGTGGCGGTCTGCGTCGGCGGGATGTTGGTGGGGGGGATTGCAACTTGAGGCTGGAACGAAGGAGGGGGCTAAAAGAGTGGATTAGTCAAGGCTTTGAAATTTGAAGTTCATATTTGAAACCTGTAACCAAGTCCAGTTGCCTTGGGCAAAAGTAAGGCGGGGGGAATCAATGACAGCATCAGCTTTACACGTACCGTTTCCAACCCCCGTCCAGTCAGAATTCTCTCTGTTGTTGCGGCGACACTTCCGCCGTTACGCTGAAGATCCCACATTATATCCCGAGTGCTCAGTTGAGGGAACATCTGCGCGATCTGTTCCACCTGTGCCGGATCGACGACATTGCCACGCCCCCGACCTCGGGTTCCTCCTGCGGAACTCTCGTCGCGGTTAAAGAACCACCGGATCACAAAGTATGACACAACCGCTAGAGTGAGAAGTGAAGGTATGTTCAGCGAAGGTTCGTCGTCTGTCATCTTGTGTTGGCGGAGCGCAAGTTGAGTCAAGTATTCAGGGTCCCGGTGATGGTATGTAGCTGTAATGGTTCGGAGGAAGGCAAAGCTTAGATTTCAGTATGATTCAATATAATTTCGAGGTGAAATGTTTCGGTATCGACTCAATGGGGTAGAATGAGATCGCAATGCCCATTGGAAGGTGGCACCGGGTGTTCAGAATCGGGCACGTGCCGGCTATCGGAGTTTCCAAGTTTGTCCCCAACGACACTTATATTGGCACTCTTAAGGTAATATTGTGCTCTATATACTCACGAGGCAATCTGATTATAAAAACTAACGGCAATTGAATCTATTCTCTTTTTGTGGATATCCTCTATGACCCAAACTACTTGAGAAATGATTCAAATGGTGCCCTCTTACTCCTGGGCGACCATTTATATATATACTGAGGTTCTATACAAGATCGCAAAACACAATCCTTATCTGAATTGGCTACGCATGTACTTATGTAGCATCAAACCCAATAGAGTGGAGGGCAGTACCCAATTGAAATGGAAATAGACTTTACCATGCATAATTCGTAAAACAGAGATCCATTCCCGTCCAAAAACAACCAAACACCAAGGCCAGACATAATAATCTCGTACCCAACCGGACCAACACACCAAGAAAGAAACTATAGACAATAAAGTTCATGTGCATACTTATTTCAAATCCGCGGCAGTCAAGGCTTGAACAATACTGGTACCCTCGCTGAACCGTGTGCGGAAGATGCGGTTGGCGTTTTGGAACATACCATCCTTCAACGAGACAACGATGAACTGAGACCCCTTGAAACGGGTCTTGATCAGTCGACCGATGTTTTGCGTGTGTGACAGATCTAGCGCGGCATCCACCTCGTCCAAAATGTACATTGGGGCAGGCTTGAATTGCAAGAGCGCCATGATCAACGAGAGAGCAATGAGTGAACGTTGGCCACCACTCAGTTCGGTCAGACTCTGCTTCCAGACCTTGCCCAGGGACACCTTCACTTCGAGACCATCTGTGATGTCTTTGCCCTCGGGAGGGTCCAGCTTGGCAAAACTGCCCGGTAGGAGCTCGTTGAAGATCTGTCCGAAGTCGCCATTGACCTTGACCCACGTCTTGTGGAGGGCTTCCTTCTTGTATTCGTTCAGGTTCATGATGGTCTCTTCGATCTTTCTCTTGTCACGGATGACTGTCTTCATCATGTTCTTAAGAGCAGCCTCCTTCTTCTCCACGCTGTCAATCATGTTCATGACCTTCGGGTTGATTTTCTTTTTCATGCCTTGGGATCGCTCTGTCAAGTTGCGTAGGGTAGATTTGCACTCGGCAATGTTCTGGTTCTGGAAATTGTAGGGGGTGTTGACACGTCCGAAGTTCTCTTTCTCGTCTGCAATCCACTCGTGTTCCTGTTCCATGTGAGCCACGGCCTGGCTAGCAGTATGTTGATCCTTCTGGAGCTTTTCGAGCTGATGGCCAAGCTTCTGCGCCTCTAGTCCATCCTCGGTGATCTGAGAGGATTTGCTCTTCATGGCTTGTTCTAATTCTCGCAATTCCTCGTCAAAGCCGGTCAGTTTGGCCCTCTCATCATCAAGGTGTGCCTGTGCGATATCATGGGCATCCTATACTTGTTAGTCGAATTGTTATTGAGTAGTGTTGCGAGAGCATCACATACCTTCAGCCGAGCTTGCTCCCGTTTTTGTGTTTCAATCTCTTCTACTTGGGAACTGAGGGTGTTGTCCGACTCAACCAATTGCTCCTCGGCCGCGGATAAGTCGCTTCCAACTTGCTCAGAGTCTAGTCTGGAAGTTTGCAATTCCTTCTGCAGCTCTTTGACTGAGCTAGAATTCTTGGAAAGGCTCTTTTTGAGTTTATCGAGCGTAGTCTGCAGCTCTTCCAACTTGCTATCTTTGTTGTTGCTGAATTCACTCATATCTTTCTCGATTCGCTTGATATCCTTGGATGCGTCCGCCTGGCGAGACTTAGCGTCGGCAATGTCTTTCTTAAGCTGTTCGATATTTGCTCTCATCTCTTCGACAGCTTGAATGATCTACTTTGAGTTAGTTGCAAATTGCGGGAAACGGATGAGGAGAGACACATACCGAAGACGAAGAGTTGCTGTTGATTTGCTCCTCGGTAAGCTTGATCTCATGGGTCTTGAGATCCAAATTTTGTTTGATGGAGCGAACGGAATCGAGCTTCTTTTTTCCCTCTTCATGTGATCTTCCAAAGTCGCGAGCTGTCGCTCTTTGCTCCGCAACTCCTTGGTAATTTCATTGAGCTTTTGCAAAGTAACGAGAACACCGCTCGAATTGGGGGAGCTTCCACCGGAAAGCGTGCCAGACGGATCATACACATCGCCCTCCAGCGTGACACTCTTCATCCGAACTGACGGATCAAATGTTACCCTCTTAGCTGTGTCGGCGTCCTGGCAGATGAGGGTATTGCCAAAGACATAATTCATTGCTGCTAGAACTTCCTCGTCGTATCCAACCAAGGATAGAGCGAGATCAACCTTCCCAGGGGCAAGGTTTTGTGCAGCTCCGATCTTTTCGGCGGAGGCCCTGAATGCAGAAATTTTATTGAGGGGAATGATAGTCACGCGCTTGCGCAGCTTGCCTTTCTGAAGCAGCTGGGTGCCGGTCTCTGCGCTGTCCACGACCACATTGTAAAGACGACCACCGGCGCAGATTTCTAGGGCAGTCGCAGCTGGGACCTGATCCTTGTTGAGGGTGAAGAGCTGAGCAACCAAACCCTTGACCTTGGACCGGTCAAAGTTGGGATGAGGATCTGCGTAGTTGAAATCGATGTTCGCTGCCTGTCGCTTGAGCCCATCGGCCCGCTGGCGGAGGTCGCGAATATCCCGTTGAAGCTCAGTTTGCTCCTGATACATTTGTTCCTCCTTGCCAGGCTCAAATCCAAGTCGAGTCAGCTCGGACTCCAGCTTGTTGGCTTGCGACTTCAACCCTTCAAGATCGCGCAAAAGCCCCAAGTTTTGCTCTTTTGCCTTCCTTGCGCGAGGCTCTTCCTCCTTGATTCGCTTCTCAAGGTGATTGATTTTGAGCTTGGCTTGCTCTTGTTCTGTGGCGGCATTGCTTGCGCGATTACGGGCATCTTGCAGTTGACCCTGGTAACCACTCTCTTGGCCCTCCTTTGAGGCGACACCGGTCTGCAATGTCTGGAGCAGTTCCTCCTTTTGCTCCACTTCCAAATTTTGTGCGTCCAACTCAGCCTTAGCGGTATCATACTGGGCCTGTAGCTTCTCATAGATCTTGCGCTTCTCCTTCAAGACTTTTTCGAGATCAGTGACATTATTTTGGATAGTCTGTCGTTTCTCTTTCTCTTCGTCCATGCTTGCCTTTTTCAAATCAAAGACCGTGGTCAGTCGAACTAGCTCGTGCGAGTAGTTCTTGACCTCATCCTCAAGCCCCTGGAATTTGCCGCCTTTTCGGAGTTCCTTGTCGCGAGCTGCGCGTACTCGTTTCACGTCCTCCTCTAGATGGGCAATTTCATTTTTCAGTTTGTTTGCGTTATCTTCAAGTGCTTGCACTTTGTTACGTTTGTTTTCGCACTCTTCGCCTGCAATTCTCAACCGCTCGCCGCCACGAACATAGTCATGGGCAACAACAAGTCGGGTCAAGCGCTCGAGGTCGTTCTGCGTCTGCTGGAAGTCGAGGAAGGCTCGTTTCTCGGATCGGAGCTTCTCGAGCTTAGGCTCAATCTCTTCCTTCAGCAGTTCTTCGATCTCGCGCAGCTTCAGCTCTTTCTTTCCCATTGTCCTGTTTGCCTTTTCTCTTCGATCCTCGAACATTCGTGTGCCAGCTGCTTCCTCGATCATCGACAAGATTTCGACAGATTTCATGTTCAGGACTTTGGTAATGCGACCCTGCATAATGAGGAAGTTGGGGTTGTTGATATTCAGCTGGACACTTTGGAACAAGTTCTGAACAGTCTGCTGTTGCGCACGGTGTCCGTTGATCAAATATTTGCTCGTACCGCCTAGCACAATCTGTCGAGTCACGGAGATATTCGCATATTCCTCGAATCCAATCGGCGACTTCGCGGTATCCCGGTTGTCGAAAACGATTGTAACACTGGCTTTCGTGACACCAGCTTGGCCGCGCTTGTAAATGAGATCTTGAAGGTTTTGCGCGCGCACTGTGGTCATGTTGGTGATACCAAGCACGAAACAAATGGCATCGAGGATGTTGGATTTACCACTGCCGTTAAGGCCGGTAATCGAGTTGAAGGCTTCGTCCCTACAGTGCGCGATTAGTAAATTTGGTCATCCGATTCTGGGACAAAGCCATGGCTTTATTCATGCTTGCAGGCTGGGGATTGCATACCATCCCGAGATCACCGTACGCACAGCGTACGATTTGAAGCCCTGACAAGCTAGTTAGCGCAGTGAATAGCAATCGGAGAATGTTGAGACTTACATCTATGACAATTTCAGTGATCCTCATAATTGCGACTCCGAAACGGCGTTTTGCTCGTTAGGAGAGTGCATAGATCGGCCAGATGGGGGAGGTGGAGGGAATTGATTGTTTTGCCGCACCGGCTGTTGATGGTTTGCCCATTTGGGTCTGGCGTCGTTTGCTGATGTCAGCGCGGGGGCTTTGTTATCACGTGACATCGAAGTATGTAAAAAACGGCACTCGCCGGCTGAAGACAAGATCTCTTCATTTGATAGAATTCGTTTACTGGCTGATCGAAAGCTTGAGAGCTTTGATTTTTGAACCTCATGACACATGTCAGCCAGGGGTTTGTCACTTCCAATTTCACTCAGCGTACTTCTCTTTTGCTAATCCCCTCATACCTAATGATCACGATGTGGTGTAAGAGGACCCTGGGAGTTATTAGTACACCCCAAGTACTGCGCAATATCCATCTCCAACCAATCATTGTTATTGGTAGCGTCGAACTACGGTGTAAGATGGGGCCGGCTTACCATATGCCCTTTCAAGGTACATTCTTACAATTGACTCAAATCCACTCGCGGAGACATTGTCGGACACTTTCTATATCGTGCAACTTTTGTAGGACTATCTGGTGTAAGGCTAGTCTGTGGCAACCTTGTAAGCCTGTAAGCCCCGGGGCAATTCTGAATTATTTAAAGGGCTGTCTAGACCCAGTACGAGCATCCATCCATGATCTAACTTTGTGACATCACTCGAGATCTCTTCTAAAAAGACATCTTCATCGAACAGCTTCAATCACATACCCAGCCACCTCACAACTTTATCAACCATGGCTGAAAAATCCCACCTCAGGGAGTTCTTCGAGAGTGAAGCCTATGCTAATTCATTCAAATGCGTGGAGATGATCACCCGTCCATTCGCTGAAATTCTGGTTGACCAGAGCAAGGTGGTTGCCGAGTCCAAGGCCAACCCTGATCAGCCCCTAGTAATCTTTGACAATGCCTGCGGTACTGGTGTTATCTCCAGCATCCTCAATGACAAGCTTGATGACATTGCCAAGAAGACATGGAAATTGACCACTGGAGACATCTCGTCAGGGATGATCGAGTATACCAAGATCCGTGCACAACAAGAGGGCTGGCCAAATACGGAGACAAAGATTGTCGATGCGGAGAAGCCTGAGCTGGCTAGTGCTCAATTCTCTCACATCTTCACTGCTTTCGGTAAATTGGATTTTGGATGCACCCCGATCTGATTTGAATTTGGCTAATTACTATGCTCTTTCTACAGCCTATATGGCACTCCATGATTCTGTTGGGGCCCTCAGTGGTAAGGATCTTTTCTTACCTGTCTATTTCATCTAATGCTAATGGAGACGAACACTAGAAACCGCCCGCATGCTGCAACCCGGTGGTACTATTGCTTTCTCAACCTGGATCGAGCGTGAGTATCCGAAGGATTGTCTTAGATGACAAGTTTACTAACAAGAAAACAGCTGGCTGGATGCCCTTCGCCCGAAAAGCGATTCAAAGCATGCCAGGCAATTTGTGTTTTCCTGAGACCACAAAGATCTTGGCGGCCATGACTGACGGGAAATGGGACTCGAAGTCTTGGATTGAGTCCCAGCTCGAGGAGCTTGGGTTTCAGGACATCGAGGTCCGCTCAACGACAGTAAAGATGACTCTCACATCCCCTGTCTTCGCGGATATGAGTTTGATGATGCTTCCCATGATAATGAACTCCTTCTGGACTGAAAAGCAACGGGAGGAAAACAAGCAGAAGGTTCGTCCAGCGCTAGAGAAGTACGTGGAAGACAATTACGGATCTGGGCACATCGATACTGAATGGGTGGCTATACTGTCCACCGCACGCAAGTCCTGCTAGATGGATAGTTCACTGAGCATTCGGATGATGTCGTATGGATATAGGACTCTATAGCAATCCTTAGTGTTTGTAGCGTTTTACAGAATTCTGACAAGATCATCCAGGTCATTGATTTGCAAAGATCGTATTCTGGTTTCCCACGTAGCCCGTTTAATACCCAAGAATTCAACGCGCCTTGTTTCCGAAGGTTCATGTACTATCGGCCATCCCGGAGCAATATAACACAGACCAGTAAACCAAACGCCATAGTTGATTACTTGTATTCTGCATGCCCACGCCTACATCGTATCAGCTTCAGATCATGAGGCGTGATGCACCACACCAGGTGGACGGGCAGGGCCTCGGTTAGGATCCAACCGATTGTCCAAATCTTCATATCGAAGAATGAATTCACGCTGCGGCCAACGTTAGCTCGTCTAGTCCCTCAAATCCTAACGAGAGATGAAGGTTACTTACTCGGACCTTCTTCCAGGCCGAAGAATCCCACAAAAGATACACGCCACGTTCCGTTACACCACGCTCCACATCAACCGGTCCAGGATATGTCTCATCACGAGTCAGCCAGCACCGTTCAAGCTTGTGGTACCGCCATTTGCGGCCCATCAATTCCTCGGCCACCAGCTCCTGCATGATATCCCGAGGCATGCTATAGAAGATGAAAAAGAGTGTCTCATCACTGAACCCAGGGATACGAGACTGAAGGGGTTGAATATTGGCGACATTATAACAACCCGGTAAAGAGAAATCTTGTTCCAAAGGGACGGCTGACATTGATGACACGAATGGTGATGCAAACGATGTGTGCAAAGGCCTGAGCGAAGAATCAGATTAGCATGTGTTAATAGTATGGGAACAAAAGAACTCATACTCTGCCTGGTTCAGATCCAATCCTAGTGTCATCAGATCTTGACCAACGGCGAGACTTGCAACATCAGGACTCTCGCTGTGAATCATGCGCAGCAGACCCGCCAACCCGAACCTGTCAAGTTCACTCATCTGTGCGAGGGGCGGTTGCTCACTGCTCTGAGGTGCATTTGAGACATCGTGTCCATCGCTACTTTCTGGCTGCCTTTGCTGTAGCTGTGGATCGCTAAAGTTACGCTGCCCTGGAAGTACACCATTGTTCAAGTCCTGTTGTGGAGTTAGTCCCGCTTTAAAAATGGGCATGATGGTAGAGTGATACTTCTTTCTCTTGCCCCAAGATGCCATTGGGCACTTGGCTGACTGGTGACCGCGATGTTCCCAAACCAGTTCCATAGCCCCCAAAAGCTGCACCTTGCATCAACGAACCAGTTCGACCGAGAGGAAGCTCAGCAGCAGCATTGCGACCCAAAGGGGGAAACTCTTCAATATTGCCTGTCTGAGGTTGGCCACCCGCACCGAGTTGGCTACTAATACCCTGGCCACCATTTCTAAAGTCGTCAAGTCGATTGGCAAACTGTGTACCAGAAGGAAACATGTCATCATGCGGTGGTTGAGATTGTTGAGATGTGGGAAGACCCTGAGGTTGGGAGGAACGGGAGGGGGTTTGCGAGGTCGGGGGAAGCTGTTGTCTTTGGACAGGTGTTTGCTGAGCAGCACGTTGACTTGCGTTGGCCCACATTAGCTGACCAGGAGTTTGTGACTGTGATTGCTGTGATGCTCCTGATAGCGAAGGGAACTCCCTAGAATCACCGACCTAGTCAGTTCGGAGACAAATTGGAGGACCGAGAGATACAGGAGACCACTGCAAACCATGGCAAGAGAGCACTTACGAGAGATCAAGTGGCGCCGCAGATTGAGATCCTCCAAGACTTTGCGCGAAACTTCCCATGGTCCCCATTGTGCGTTGTTGATTGCCCGGTAGGCCAGATGTTCCACTAACAGGTAGATTAAAGCTCCAATTCGCACCGCCGCCTATCAACACTCTCATGTTAGCATCCCTTCATGCAAATAATGTTGTGTCCAGAAAATATGTCTCGAGGCAATCGCACCCAGTCTCCCATCTGACAATCGCGCAGAGGCTAATGATGTAGTTTGAGCTTGTGCTTGATGGTGCGTGGGGAACCCCGAGATATCTCTCAGCGGCTGCAGGCCAAATCCTGACACAGGTGTGACAAGTCAGCACGATTGTCGCATCAAGGGCTGATCAGGTCAACGCCACAAGACAGGAATGTGCCAGCATGCACTTGCAAATGCCTCGGTCGCAAATGTAGAACATCTAAACCAAGGCTTGCCATTGGGGTCCCCGATGCTTTCGCAGTGCTGGGCGACTATCCCGATCAAGGAGAGTATCACGCAGCAGAGAAGCCAAGTATGACTATATCAAGTGTTCCGCGGAGGTAGGTGGGACGATAAGAAAGACAAGGGTTTGCGAAGGCATTGAAGGAAAATGACGAACCTGGCCTATTCATAGTCGATACTTCCGAAGAAGAAGGTAGTTCCCGTTAGCCCGGGATATTTCAAAATTCAGAAAAGCAGGATTGACCGAGTAATAAACCGGAGGTAAATCTGTGGAGGGGAGAGCAATCCACAAAGGCCTCTTGGTCACGCTTGATGCGGCACTGCTCCGCCGAGCAGGGTGAGTAAGTCGATTGGGTGATTAGACGCGCGTGTGCTAAAGAATGCACAGGCCAAGTCTAGAGTTAAGCGCGCCGCAACGTCTAAAGAGGTAAAGATCAAAGATATCTTTGAGGAGTGTACTTTTCAGTCGTCGTTTGCTTCTGGAACTGAAGATTGACATAAAAGAAACAACATGACTTGGGAAAAAACGTGTAGAACCCGATGAACCCGAGGCTGGCAACATCCAAGCTAGTCTTGGGTTTGGTCTATGGCACGTGACCAGCCTTGCCGCCTTTGCGAAAAAGGCCATCAATCTCCGATCCCGACCGTCCTGGGGAAAGCCATCACAATCATGCAGCAGGTTCCACGCATTGTTAGCCGCCTGAGAGGGCTGGCTATGGCTGAATTGCCTCCCACTTATCTCGCCCCATCACTTCACCCCTCCGTGACCCTGTCAGCCATTCAGTCTTCGAGCTTTTCTTCCACTGCCTCCGTCGGCGCCAACCCTCGACGCGACAAGAGCAAAAACCGTGGCGTATCGGCCATCAATCGTACCGGTCCCAGAACCCCATTCACCGTATCAAGATGGCCATTGCCCAAACCTGTGTCGCCGGAAGATATGCAGCCACGGGAGACAAACCCCAACCATGGACTCTGGGCCTTCTTCCCCCTAACCGGGAAGCATTGCCTACCCCAGCTTATGACAACGCTCATGGTTAGTTTGATTGGTTTCCAATCTACCGAATGAATGCTATATGGGCAATGCTGATGTTAACAACTCAGGTCGTCCATGGACTATCCAAGAACTCCGCGAAAAGAGTTGGGAAGACCTCCACGGTCTGTGGCACGTATGTGTCCGGGAACGAAACCGCATTGTCACATCGGATTTTGAGAGAGAGAGAATCCAGGCCGGTTACGGTCAATACGAATCTCAGGAACGGGACAGAGTGGTGAGTTTTTCCCCGGCTCTACAAAAACCGCCTCGTTCATCTATATATCGTGGGAAGCAACATGGAGATTTTTACTTTGTTACTTCGAAGACAACCATCAATTGGTGGTTGAACTCATTTGAACACGACTGACCCATTCGATTATGTTAGATTCGAGGCACCATGAAGAACATCAAGCACGTTCTACGTGAACGCTGGTATGCTTGGGAGGACGCCTCACGAATGTACAAGCGTGGATACCGCCCTGAGAACTTTTACGGGCTCGATGACGTTGAGGTCGAGCAGGAGAGCAATGGAGTAGCCCAAGGCAAGGAGCAATAGGCATGAGAAGAGGATTCAGATACAAAGGGAGCGTTCAACTGAGTCTCTCGAGGTCAATTTAGTATGTAACATTAGCTTTTTTTAAGATGATTCTAGTACTCCGTAGTGCGCATGTCGAAAGTATACATAGGATATGAGAGATGGTTCATTCGACACAAACTCCCTATCATTTATGTCTATGCCTAAGAATATGGGATGATCCTATTTACCCCTGAGACGAAAAAAAAAAGATTTCATATACATATTCAGGGGCTCATTGAAGCCAAATTCTCCCATATCATTAATATCGTGAGGTAACTCACTAGTGGCGGATCCGTCAAATAGTTCCCCTTTCTTACCGCTTCGCGGGGAGACAGTTCAACTTTCTCTTTTTCTCATTCTTTTTTGAATCCTTCTATTCTTCACTACCTCTAGTATCTTCTTCATTATGGATGAGATCGCCCCAGAGTACGATGTTGTGGTGCTCGGCACTGGTAGCTAACCCCGCCATTTCCCCCTCTAATGTCAACACTGACCCAATTCTTTCAGGCCTGACCGAGTGTGTTTTGTCTGGGTAGGTCTTTCTGAGCTTCGATTCTAAATGTTTCTATTTTTCTCATTGTTCTCGAATACAGCGTCCTCAGCGTGAAGGGCAACAAGGTCCTTCACATCGATCGCAACGACCACTATGGAGGGTAAGTCAGGCGGAGAAGCTCGCGATGACGGCACCAAGATCAAAAATAGCTCACAATGGCCACAGAGAAGCAGCGTCCATCAACATCGAAGCAGTATGTGCACCCGATTATCTCTCGACGTATTATATTGACACCTTTTGCAGCTGTTCAAGAAATACGGCAACGTTCGCCCCGGCGAGGAGCCATGGAAGAAATACGGGAGGGTCAACGACTGGAACATCGACTTAGTCCCCAAGCTGCTCATGTCCAATGGAGAGTTGACAAATATTCTGGTGTCTACGGACGTTACTCGGTATCTCGAGTTCAAGCAGATTGCTGGCAGTTATGTCCAGCAAGGCAAGGGTCCCAAGGCGACCGTGGCCAAGGTGCCTTCAGATGCCGGTGAGGCTCTCCGCTCATCGCTCATGGGCTTGTTCGAAAAGCGTCGAGCCAAGAAGTTCCTCGAGTGGGTTGGTGATTTCAAGGAGGATGATCCAGCCAGTCACCAGGGTGAGCATTTGCAACCTCAGTTCGCCAATGCCTCAAAGCGGATAGCTAATGCAGACCAGGATTGAACATCCATACCTGCACGATGAAGGATGTTTACGACAAGTTTGGCCTTGAGGATAACACTCGCGATTTCGTTGGTCACTCTATGGCTTTGTACCCCTCGGACGAATATATCAACAAGACTGGCGCCGCCGTCGAAACCATTAACCGCATTCGCCTGTACGTCAATTCTATGGCACGCTACGGAAAATCGCCTTATATCTACCCTCTCTACGGCCTGGGTGAACTGCCCCAGGGCTTCGCTCGTCTGTCTGCCATCTACGGCGGCACCTACATGTTGAACACTGACATTGACGAGGTGCTTTACGAGAACGGCAAGGTCTCCGGCATCAAGGCGACCATGAAGGACCGCGACGACCAATCCGAGGCCATGAAGTTTGAGACCAAGACCAAGAAGATCATTGCTGATCCTTCTTACTTCCCGAGCAAGTCCAAGGTCACCGGATACCTGCTGAAGGCTATCTGTATTCTAAACCACCCCATCGATAAGACTGACAGCAGCGACTCTGTGCAACTGATTATCCCTCAGTCCCAGGTTGGACGCAAGCATGGTGAGTCTTGTATGGCCTCGATCTATTGACGGTGCACTGACCCCTTCAGACATCTACATTGCCATGGTCTCGTCCGCGCATAACGTCTGCCCCAAGGGCTACTACATCGCCATCGTGTCCACCATCGCCGAGAACGATGCCAACCACCATCTTGAGCTTGAGGCCGGCTTTGAGCGTCTGGGTAAGATTGAAGAGAAGTTCATGGGTCCTCCCATTCCCCTCTACGAGCCCATCGACGATGGTTCGGAGTCCAACATCTTCATTTCTAAGAGCTATGACTCCACATCACACTTCGAGACTACGACCGGTAAGCTATTCCATGACTGGAAATATATCAATCGTTGACTGACCATATGTCCCAGATGATGTCCGTGATCTGTACCGTCGTGCCACTGGCGAGGAGTTGAAGGTTGAGGGTCTACGGGAAGATCAGCAACTGGCCACAGAGTAAAAAGGCTTGATTCGCCTTGACAATCGGATAATCTAGTACTGCTTAGATTCGTTGATTATATTTCTCTTGGACATTCACGATGGTCTCTTATTCTTGTGCGCCTTTCCTTGTCATCACAAACGCAGGACAATCTTTCTGGTCACCACAGCCATTGATTACACTCTCTTCACTCGTACTTCGCTCGTACAATGGCTAGAACTTGGCAATCCTATTGATGTAAATGAAATCTATACAAATTGATATCCAAGTAGCTACCTCCAAGAACCCGGCATCCACCCAAAGCCCAATCAAATCCTCTGCGTCACCTCCGGGTCAGTATTGGCCTTCTCATGTTCACCAACCACGCAAACATCACCAGTCTCCGCCTTCTGAATCTCAGCCCGAAGCAATGCTAACCGCTTGCCAACATGTACAACCTCACAAACGAGACGCACCTCCATCCCCGTAGGTACAGGGCGTAGATAGGTCACCTTGAGGTTACGACTGACACCTCCAAGAGCGAACCTGCCCGGCTCGGAGACGCCCAACAAGATAGTGGTCGACAGAACATCGATCAAAGTAGCAGCGCAGCCTCCATGGAGGTTACCCATGTAGTTGCTCAGGGCAGGAGTGATTGTCAAGAGGAACGAGACTGTAGCCGGAGGACCGCGCGTTGCGGATTCGAAGCGAAGGTTACAGCCGCGGGCATCGACATCCCAGTGCTTTGAAGTTGGGATAAGGGTAAGTACTGGAATTTACTTATGTGTAGTAGAGGTGCGTAGATGTGAGGTGCAATCATGTTTCATGCTGCACATGGTACTTACTTCGTCGCTCCCCATGCCCATTCGTCCCGTATACTCGTAGACAAGCTGCTCGAACTCGTCCAATTCCCTAGAAGGGGCGCTTATTGCGTTATCTGACATGATATCTGAAAGGAATGGCAATTGCAAAAAATCAAATGGGGTATGGGGGAAGAAGTGTTATACTAGAAGTTCAAGTAGCTAAGCACGATAGCTCGGGATCGCCGATATTGAACCTCGGCTGTGGTGAATTCGGTACCTCAACGGATCAGATATACTTAAAAGAAATACAATGCTGAATGAGATCTAGCCATATGTTCACCTTGTATTTTATTTTCGTTTAATTGTGTACAAGATCTAAGTGAAACCTCTGATTTTAGCAAGTTGTAGGTCACAAAAGGCGACTTTACAAATCCATCATATCAAGGAACTACCGATAGCACATGTTAGCTAAAAGAAATATTAGCTGAAAGAACATGGCCAAGGATAAAACAACAACAAGAACAAGAAAATACTTTCCAAGTCTCCAAGGGAAGACTTGGAAGTGAGGCACCTGACTTCGCGTCACGCGTCTCGGCCTGAGGCGAAAATCGGCCAATTTGTTGTCCGGCCGACCCTTTTGAACGCAATTGAACAATCACCCAGGACTTTTGTTCGGATCTGATTCAGACGGGCTGCGCTTGGTAGCTTTAGTAAAGGACAGATGCGCCATTGATTTTCTCATAATTGTAAGTCAATGCATTGGGGCAAGCTCCTAGGTTCAAGCTGGTCGGCAATAAACAGCATTGATTGAATCTGATTCTAACTAACATAGGCGCATACACATATTCGACAGGATAAACACGAGGGATTCCCGGTTTGACTTTTGCCCCGTCAAAGCCCCTTTTGATCGAATTGGAAACTCCCCAGCACTAGCGATTCCATATCTTCAAACTACAGCCATGAAGGACATCCGAGCAACGAAGAGAAGAAGGGTCTCCGAGGATGCTGATGGAGACATCGAGATGGAGAATGATAATCAAGATGTATTCTCCGTCCCGTCATCTCCCAACAACAACAGAACTTCTCCCACGCCGGTAAAAAGTGCATCAAGGCGTCGATCTCTCCGTGGGGAAGACAAACCAGACACTGAAACGACGGCCCAAGGTAGCGACGGGAAAGATGTGGCACAGACTCCCCCACGCGTTGGGACACGATCAAGTGGGCGGCAGCGCAAAACACCTAAAAGATACGAGGAGGAGGTCGTGACACCATCATCGAGGAGAAAACCAGCAACCACTCCTTCACGAAGCGCGCGTGCCACCCGAAGCGCACAAAAGCCGCCCCGATCTCCAGCAGAAGACGAGAATGAGCCTGATTCTGAAGAAGAAGAGGAGGAGGAGGAGGAGGATGACGATGACGATGAAATGGACCTCGATGAGTCGTCCCCGGAGCCCGCCCCTCGTACAAGCACAAGGAACAAATCGAAGAGAACCACCGCGAGAGCCAGCACGAGGACTACCGCGAGGACCACTACGAGAACGACTGCGAAACCCAGATCCAAGAGAGCTGTGGCCGCAGAGCCGAAAGAAAAGTCGCCTTCGCCTGAGTATCAGGACGGCTTGGACGACCTCGTTACCATGCAACTACAGGAATATATTCATCACCAGCCCGAGATGCCGGAGATTGTCGATGTTTCGGAACCATTGCCAGAATATGCTGAAAAGTTCCAAGCGCTCTGCCAGGAGGAGGGCCTTGAAGAGGAAATACGCATTCTATCGACTGTCCTACTCGAAAAGCTATCAGGGAAGCGACAAGTCCCAGTGCGAGGGCTTGAACCCGAATACCAAAAGGTTCATCAGCTCATTGAGCAGACGGTCTCCATCGGCGAGGGTAACTCCATGCTTCTTCTTGGATCCAGAGGATGCGGCAAGACCGCGATTGTGGAATCCATCATTTCGTCTCTTAAAAAGGAACACAGCAACGATTTCCACGTTGTTCGTCTCAATGGATTCCTGCACACAGATGACCGTCTTGCTTTGCGCGAAATGTGGCGCCAACTTGGCCGTGAGATGCATACCGAGGAAGATGCGGCCAAGGTCAGTTCTTATGCGGATACGATGGCGACGCTCTTGGCTTTATTATCGCACCCAGAGGAACTCTTCGGGGCTTCTGGAGACTCAGGGTCAAAAACTGCTGCGAAATCCATCGTGATCTTGTTGGATGAGTTCGACCTATTTGTTACTCACCCACGACAAACACTGTTGTATAATTTGTTTGATATTGCCCAGGCCCGCAAAGCCCCCATCGCGGTCATTGGGCTCACGACAAAGGTCGACGTAACTGAGATGCTCGAGAAGCGTGTCAAGAGTCGGTTTAGTCATCGGTATACTTACGTTCCTCTACCTCGATCCTTTGAGATCTTTTCAGATATTTGCCTAGGGAGCCTGGATCTCAGCGACGTCGAAATGGCTGATATTGCAAATGAACTTGGGTCCGAACGCACTCTAGTAGAGTCAAATAAATGGAAGACGCTGCTAGAGGGATGGAAGGAATATTTGAAGGTAAGATCACTCATGTTTCCCTGTTTCCCTTCATCCAGTCAACTGAACCTTTGCTGAACCTCGCCCTTGAAATAGCATCTGTGGAATGACAAGGAGTTTCAATTCCACCTCAAGCGCATCTACAACCAAACCAAATCAGCAAAGGAATTCTTCAACAGCGCACTTCTCCCGATCAGCGACTTGCTACAAAGTGTATCAACCGCCGACACCAGCATACCCGAAGTCCCCACCCCGAAAAATTTCGCTTCCCAGTCCCTTGATTGCCCCGACCCAGCACCTCTCCCTTTCTCCACATCTATCACATCATCCAGTCCCTCCTCATTGCCATTGGCTCTGTTGGTAGCCGCAACACGCCTAGCAGCCCTGTTCGACCCCGGAAACGATGGGTCTCAATCACATAGCATGGCACCACTTTCACTGTCATTCCCTGCCGCGTATGCAGAATACGTTCGGCTCCTGACCTCCGCCAAGATATCTGCTTCGGTCTCGGGAGCTGCTGCCACACCAGGCCGTGTCTGGGGCCGAGATGTGGCCCGAGAGTCCTGGGAAAAGCTGCTCAGCTGGGGACTTGTGACTCCCGTGGGCAGTGGGAATGGCACTGCTGACGGACAGATGTTCCGTGTGGAAATCAGCTTCGAGGAGGTTATTGAAATGGCGGGCTCCGGAGGTGCTTTGGGTCAGTGGTGGCGCGAATAAGCTTGTCAGCAATTTGGATATATTGCGAGCATGTATTACTTTGTTGCATTGTTTGCGCCGGCGATCAGCATGTCATTTGGGTTGTTGACTGTTCAGTCTATCATGATATGCGTTGGTAGGTCGGAATACATCTTTTAATTTCCAGTCATTCTCCTTTGGGTCTGGAATTGATATCAAGACCTTCTGTACCATTCCAGTATACAGTCTTAGAAAGAGAGCAATATCACAACAACCATGCGCCAAATACATACAACATACACAGACAAGCAGTTCCCGGAATTCTATAGAGACGGGAGACTCAAGTCAGCCCTAGGGAATTCTCGCGACAGATGCCCCGAACTCAAAGCTATCGGATATATCACAAAGCACGCGAGAGCAATATGGAGTATACCCACAGGGAAAAACAATAAGCAAGCATCCCCCAGCTCTTTGAAGCTGAACCTTTCAAGCCTCCCAAATCTGCCGATCTTTTCCCTCTATCCTAGTTATGATAAATCACGCCATCCTTGCTTTTACTTCGATGGTGTATGCATGGCTCCCAGTCTAGAGAGGGTCTCGTTAGATATGGATCCCATCTACTCTATACTCCGTAAATTTCCAAACTGGCTGGTTCTTAGACATGTAAGGTAAAAGGACATGCCTTGCATCTTCTTTGCCAGTACTTTGTCTTTCTCATGGGGACATGTGGCAATGGTACGGAGTACTGCAGGCAGCTTTTTGAATCTTGTTGCCTTGAGTTGGTCTCCTTGCTCATTTGCAAGGTAAAATATCTTGCTCCGTTCTCCGTACTCCGTATAGGGAGATGCAAATGCTTCTAGATTGCCATTCTGTGTTCTATTGGCCCAACACGCGGCAATTCAACATATGCATGTGGCCTGCCATGTGTTGAAAATGACAGGTCGGATTCTCATGTCTTTACCCAGAAGGAAAAAGGGGGGCTGGTCAGTGGCAAGTTTGAGCATATTACTCTGCATGCAACACACCGATCACTGGGGTACCATGTGAAATCTCCAGCTGGTTATTCACAGGTATTGATGTTACATTGTTATGAGACGGAAGATAAAATGGTCTTATACAGTTCAAGCATATATATATATATATATATATATAAATTTATTCGAATATGAAAAAGAAAATAGAGACAGAAGCCGTCCAACTCCACAATGCTGCAACACTCGCATGGCTGTGGACTTGAGTCCTTTTGTTCTAGAAGTGGCCATTAGGAAGTGCGCTCATGCTGCAGGTTGCAGATCATTGCTGGATGTCTACACATGTGCAAAGCCCGAGTGCATGTAGCCCGGAATACCCTTCCGAGTAAGGTTAAGGACTGGACTGGAGAGAAAACAGACTGGTTTCAATAAAAAGCGGGAACTGGGTGTGTTCTCTTAACGGGATTTGTAATATGTTCGTGGCTGATCTGCAGACTCGGGAGAAAAAGGATCGCTAAAACACGTCTAGAGTACCCCGCTATGTCCTCTCCCTTGCACCTTTCTTCAGGCGTTGTGCCAAGCCTGTGCAGAGTTATGGAAATGATCGGAGGGTTATCTCGCGGATGGTCATTCCTTCGAATAGGAGGGGATTGGGGAAGTCAATGCGTATCAATTTGATTGGAAGCTGTTGTATGTCTTTGTGGCCTTTGATGGCGATCATCAATCGGACAACTTCCGTCTCCATGTGGAGAAAACGATGTATTGTGGGCATGGATGGAAATAACTCGGATAAGAAATGTGCAGCCTTCTCACAATAAAGTTGATCCGCCATTAGCTCATGTAGGGGTGTTGACCCTGTGCTTCCTTGAAGATGTACAAGTATATGCAACTCGTTCCCGTTGCGAGGTGCATGATTCTCGACATGGTGATCTGCATTATAGGTGATTTGCCGTACGCAGTATGATCATACCATGCGACTGGGCCGACTAGACCGGAATCATGATATCAACTGAAAATCCCCGTCACACCAACAAATCAAGTGGGCCATGAAACAAAGCAGGTCGCTCTGCATCCGTGCCACATGGGTGTGGAAACTCCAGATGATGTACTGTCAGTTATGTCAAGAGCTTGAGATCTTCGAAAACGGTTTCAAACGTCATACAGCTTGTATAGTGGGCCTCTTATACGGCCTGATCATGTCTTTTGGATGTCCTAGGATTTCTGCCTACATGGTGTCTATACACTCAAACTCTTAAACAGACTAGGTATCCTTGACGAGACTCTGTACTGTCTTTCCCAAAGCCTGTAACACCCGCTTCATGTTAAACTGAGGTGCCAAAAGGGCCTGCTCGGAATTAGTAGGAAACTGGGTGTACGGGAGTACGCGTACTTTCTAAAAGCAGAAGAAAGAGGAAAGAGGAAATTCAAAAAGGTGAGATAGTCTTGTACCGGGTCTTGTACGCCAAAAGTCTTGCAAGTTCATTACCATAAAGGAGAAAAGGGAGGTTCTATGGACTACCAGTACGTTGCTTCCTTCTCTCTTTCTCTTATATCACGCCTCTCTTGGAGTTTGGCGCAGCTTCTCAGTTTCATTTTGCGCGTTTGCCTCTTCGTAAGAACAAATTCCAAACTTTGCTATCCTTATACTTTTCTTTCTGATGCCTCAGCTTACAGACTACCCTCCCTTGATTTCGAAGAGTTTTCCTGCTTCAGCGTTATGCATATCTCGAACCCTTACATTTGCTTGAAAACACTTGGTTTACCTTGTCAGAATACAGTTATAGCGATCGAACCGCATGGCATATTTCCATCACACCGTGTTGACCTCTTGATCAACATCAATTCAGCCAAAATTCGCCCCGGTAGACCGTTCAACGATATGCATCGAAAAGCTTTCAAATATCGATAACGACTCACAACTTAACCACCTCGAAGAATAGTTAAGAACAGTTACGGAAACTCAAAAAAGTACGTTGCCATTGACAGCGGAAACTCGACGAAGAGGAGTTTCTCCTTTCTATGGAACCGTTGAGCAAGGGCTACAATCCCTCGAATGGTGATCCTGGCTAATTCTCACGGGAAGTGCTTGTTGAGGACTGTATCAGCGAAGTAGGTTCTTGTGGCCGCAACTGTGGATATTGCGAGAGATATATTATCCTCTAGAGATGGGAAATGGATTGGGCATTGTACCGTTGAAGTGTATTTTCTGTCTACATGACCGAGGGTGGGACTCTACGGCGAAGTGGAAGAAGGATTTCGATGATCCAGTCCGCAAGCTACTTCGATCTAATAATCCCGTCTTTCTTTTGATGCGTACTTTTCTTACCTTCATGTCTAGAAGATTGAGACTAACAGAAGGTATAATAAGGCTTGGTTATTGCTATTTGGTTACTATATGTTTCCTGTTGCTTGAACTTATCTTCCGGAGGTATATTTCTTGCCCCGCTGCCTAAAATATATATATCTGCAAATAAGAAGCAAGCTCTGCGTAAAAGAAAAGAGTGTTGTGTGAATTTTTTGTTTCTTTGTAAAACAACATTACCGACTTTACTTTCCATTGTTTCAATGTACTAGAAGATAACAAGTGAGACCATGAAGCACACCATATGCTGGAAAGTGCGCGAAAGCTATGGAGAAGAAAGCAATACGTGAGGTTTAACGATAACAATAGTCGGCTGCTTATGCCTCGTAATGTCTTGGGAGCCTTCTTTCTCTGGGTATATCCCCTCCTATTACTCCGTAGTGTGAACCGCGAATTATAGAATGTAGGCGGTAAACAACCTAATTCGTGTACAACATAGACGAGTTTCCTAGATCTAGCCAGTAACAACCTCGCATTTAGTTAGTCAGAAGTAGCGGTATACTATCTCACAGGCTAACCAGGTAGGGTTGTAGCTGCATATGTAGGTCGGCTCTTTGTCACCGGTGTTTTGCCGATCTGCCACGTGGACTTGAAGGTCCTTTGTCCCCGTGTGGCTCTTCTGCCGTGTGTAGTGGTGGAGTTGTCTGCCCGGTGGGTATATGGATACGGAGTATACGGGAGGATGTTGTACATCAAAATGGAAACACCCATCGGAGAGTTTTTTTTTTCTTTCTTTCTCTTTCGAATTTATTCCTATTTTACGTCATAAATTAGATCCAAGTAGATCCAATATGAGACTGCTTATAAAAATACTTCTTATACACAATATACCCCGTATGTATTTTCGTTAACAAATACCTAATTGGTTAGATGCATTTTAAGTAATCCTTAGTGCGGACATGGCTCGCATTTGACACTTGCCAAGCCTCTATTCTATCCTCAGCCGTACCCCGAGATCAGAGGAGGATTCCAGGAACAGGAAAAGAAACACATAGAATCATGAAGAATGGACACTACAAACAAGGTTTTATCCAATACACTGCCCCTTAATCACAAGAATGGAGTAAGAGAAACAGGCATTTTGATGTTGCGCTGAACCATGGAACAATCCCACACGTGGCTTCTTAGCGTCTTCTAGAATCCTTCTAGAAGGCTTCTAGCGTTTCAAAAGTTTTTGCCACCGGAGTTCGCCGCTGACCCCAGTTCGGCCGGAACTGTTCCAAGGTTATTACATGATTCAAGTCATAATTTAAAGTCTGGTTCGATTCATAGTCTAAACCGTTCAAAGTCTATGACGTGATTCACTTTGTACCGCACTATCTGTTTTCAGCAAGTGGAGTCGATCCATGAACGGGGTCAAATTTCTCGTATTATCTTTACAGGTATAATATACACGTATAATACATAAACACGGGCAAATGGGACCTTACTATAAACGGCCTAAAGGACCTCGGGAATACCCCATACCTTGTGTACGGAGTACCTAGGTACAACATACGGAATATACTTGAAAGGTTCCGATTCACGTGAGCAGAACAAGGTTCAACTTCACCACATGGAAGATCCTCTCTTATCTACATACTCCGTATATACCCGCTAATCAGTGTCGCTCAATTCGGAAGGTTCTCCCTATCGGAATGTCCAAGAACAATTGATCTTCACGTCCGAGCGAGTCAAAAAGTACGTCAAAGCCACACGTCTGACGACGG